ACCATCCTCCCAGAAGAGCTTTCTTGCTCTGAAGTTTGGATCTGTATCATATATAATTAAATTGTAAATGTGTTACTTTTCTGGGTGCAGATGTGCTTGCTTACCTCTGTGCACGGTTGTACAATACTCCTTCATTTGAAGGGACTGAAGAAACATTTACTTTCTACCTCGAAGATTACTGAAAGTGATCTGTTGTTCCCATCTCATGGAGAAATCTACATAGTTCCTGTTGAGCTACAGCTCATTCAAGCCCAGTAGAGGGTTTCTTCCTTGCCAGGCAGGGCTGTTGCTATCACCTGCTCATCAGCCCCACAAGAAACATTTTTAATGTGAGGTTAGGATAAAAATCTTACAGGTCTTTTATTAAAATTAATGGAAACTTTGAAAGAGTAATTTTCCTTCTGCCATTCACTTAATCAGGAGCTCAGATGCAAAGGCTCAGGTGAAGCTTCACTTCTAAACTTCAAGTTTTAAAATCTAGTAGCTCTTGTCACGAGTTCAGTATTCTGTTGAAAACACACCAGTTCCCTATCTGCAATTTTGTCATGTTACTGGGCCTGGAGTATGTATGTTTCCTTTAAAAGGCACCAGAATTAATGCAATGCCCCTCAGGCAGAGTGCTTGTGATCAAAGGACTGTGAAAGATTGGATGCTGATAGTCTTTATATTTTTTTTTTAGTTTTTCTTTTTTCTTTTGACCCACAACATCCTTAAATACAGTTCAGCAGTGCAATAACATTTTACGTTAAACTGGAACTAGATTTTCCAAGATGTTTGTTAGTAAAATGCAATGCCTCCTTTTTCTTCCTGAGAGTGGACTAACCTCTATTTTTGTCCCTGGACTTTTTGCCTGCTGTGCTGCAGATCTCAGCAAACAGATCTGTTTGAGGGTATGTGTGTGTTTATACATATGCACGAGTATGAACATAGCTGGGGGTCAGGCTGCACTTTTCTAATATCGGTAGTGTGGGTTTTTTTTGTTTTTGTTTTGTTTGGTTTTTTTTTTTTTTTTGGGTTTTTTTTTTTATTTTTTTATTTTGTTATTTTTATTTTTGAAATTGACTTCTCATTCTTCACATGAGTGGGAGTTTGTCTAATTAAGCAGCCAGTATTGTTCAAGCCTCTCTGCGTTCCAGAATTTTGAACACCAGTTGCTTGCTGCCCTTGTGTACAAAGCAACCTGCTCACCACAGGCAACAGGGATAAAGTGTTCAAAGGACAGTGGGACGTGATTCAGTCTGTGTTTCACCTTATAAACTTCCCTTTTCCCCTGCCCTCCCCCTTCTCCTTCTGCTTGGCAATAAAAGAGTGTCCTGTGTAATAGGAGTTGGGAGAGGGGGAGGAATAGCAGGCTTATGATAGACCTAGCTTTGCTGAAACATTGGATGATGTCCAGTGTGACCATGCAGAGGGATGAGCTCAGGGAAATGGTTGGAAGTTCAAAGGCCTTTTTGTATTACTCACTGTCAGTTGACAGATGTGCTCTCTTTAGCTGTTGCTGCCCAGCCTAGTTCTTCCCACTGACTCCCCTTCCTTGGGTTTGCTCCCCATCCTGCCTCTGGCTCTGCCTGGGGAGGCAAGTTAATACCTGTCTGTCTGGGCATTTGCCTGCTTTCAACTCCATCCTGGGACTTGCCTTGGCTCATCTCTCTTAGGAAAATATTGTTTATTTGCATTGATAAGGAGAGATCAAGCTGGAATTGAGCAGAGAATGGGGGTTGAGGCTTAACTGCGTTTACTGTTGGCGTAGCCTAATCCTGCTGTGAGTACTGGTTAAAGCATCTTACTACAATCTATGATTGCTTTCTTATCAGGGGAAGCAATGCCTATGAAGGACTTGCTGCTGTTTCAGAAATTAATAAATATCCTTCATTTTACCATTTGGAAAAGAGAGGAAAAGAGGCAGAACTGTCCCAGGGTCATGCATCAATATCAAGATGGGATGAGAATATGGGGATTCAGTTTCTAGTCTTCTTGACGCTAATCCAGCTTGTCCTCCAGCAAGACGAAGAGGTCTTGTTCCACCTCTGTCAGTGAAAAGAGTTCTTGCTGCTTCATTTGTATTTCACGTGCCTACCTTGTGACTATGGCTTTTAAAGTTAGCTGTATGAGTAAAAGCAATACACTTACCAGACTCCATTATGTCAGAACAAGACATAGAGATGGTTGAGTGTCCTAAGTCTGACCTCCTAACTTTTGAATTTCCTCTTAACTTGAAATTTCCAAACACTTTGGATGTATTTACAACAGTATTAAACATTCACTGTGGGCTAATAATATGGCCTTGGCTTTAACTCTATAGAAATAAAGCTCATCAAAATATGAGGTGATAAATGGCCAACAGAAGAGCTGATTAGTAAGAACCCTAGAGCAAAGGGCTGTGCAGTGGAACTGGAGCCTGATGTCCTTAGAACAAATAGAAGGAAACTGGAATGTTTTTGTGTAAGCAGTGTGCTTTTTAGTGGGAAGAAGGGATTGAGAGGGCAGAGCTAGGAAGAGGGGGATTAGGAAGATTGCCCCCATGTGAAAGCTGCTCCCAGAATTTCTTGCATCTTCTTTTGAAGCATCTGTTTCTGACCATTATTAGATTCAGGTTACAGGTTTATGTGGATCCCTGCCCTGATCCCATTGGCAGTTCCTCTGCTCTAGGAGACATCATCCCTCATTCATCAGTTTGGGTTTTTTGGTCTCAAGTTGGGTTTGTGGTTTTTCTTCCTCCTTTAAAGGAGAGCTCCTGTAGGAGCTTTAAAGGAGATTTAATCCCACCCTGCCCCCACTCCAGTGTTGTCTAGGCTAGCACACACTTGCTCTCTGCTGGGTTAGGGAATTTTGTCCTCCTTTGTATATGGCAGTTTGTATTTTGCTCTCTTCCCCTGTGCTTGAAGTTTGATTTTTATATCTAGGGGCAGTATGAAATTGGCTGAACTGTTCCCTGTAGGGGTGGAATTTCATTTAATGTTGTTAGCTCATGAAGGGATGCAGCAGTTCAGTGGGATAATGGTATCTGCTCTGAACCAGCGCTAATGGCTTAACCCTCTGGGAGCCTGAAGAATTCTCCCCTGGAGAGTGAGCATGCAAATTCCCTTCCAGGTGGCTCCTGTGCAGTCCTTTGGTGATTAGTCATGCTAAAGCATATGCTGGGAGGATGGTCTTAGTCCTGAAATTGTAGCTGAGGCCAGGGAAGATTTTTCTCAGCGTGCAGTGTTTGGAAGTTGTTCTTAGGGGAGAGAGGTCTGATCTGTGGGACTGATCGTCTGAGTCCAAAAATGTCCTGGTTTTGTTTGGAAAGTGGAGCGTTTTCTACTTCTACTTGCCCTGAGGAAGAAGACAAAATTCCTTCTTCATTTTGCTGCAGCAAACCAGAGAAAGTGAAATATAAGGAAAGGGGTCAGCTATTGGAAGATCAGGACCAATAGCTGTCAGACCTGTAGAGGGAAAATACAGATTTTTGTGCTTCCATCTCCTTCATACCCTTCTGGAGCCTAGAAGTAGCTGGATATGAGATGGATAGATATCTGCATGGGGTAGCCTAGAATGATGGGAAGGACCTTTTCCCAAGGGCCAGTGCCAAATTCTTTGAATGTTGAGAACAATTACATCTGTAGTGATGTCCTCAGATACAGAAATGCCTGCTACACAACAACTGAAAAGATGATCTGAATTTGTGGTTAGAAAAATACATGTTAGAGAAAGTCTGAATTTATCTGCCCTAATATATTCTTAGAGAGGGGGGCTTTTAGGACAGGCCCTCGGTGAAAAATGTTGGACGACTTTCTATGGAGGGCAGTGAATGATTTAGTATGTATAATGCATGCTTCTTTAACAGGACACCGGTGGCAGTCCTGGGCCAAGGAGAAACTGAGGGTTGAGAAAGCTGGAAAAACTGAAAATGTGACTGTTTGTTCACCTTATTAAATCATCCTCCTTTTGTGTGTGGCTGCTGTCTTCACCTTCCTTTTTTACTCACCTCCCTCCACTCTCACTCCCACCTCCAGGATAGTGTTGGCAGGAAAGGGAGTAGCAGCATAGCAGAAAAGGGCTGGCCTGCCTGGTGACAGATGGGAATTGCTGTCGGCAGGCTGGGCTGGGATGAAAGGGTTTCAGGCAGTAGCCTTTCTAGCCCTCGCCCCATCACATCGCCAAGCAAATGCCGTTCTTTGGAGAACACACCTGTCAGGAACAGTCTTGTGCAGCCCCTTGCTTACCACAGCTGGCAGCACTTAAAAGCATTAACCTCTTGGAGTTGAGTGTTCCTCTCATCTGTGGGGGAAAGAACAGGAATGATGTTCCCCCTTGAATTCCAGCTTTGTGGCTCCAGGCCTCTTCAGACACTGTGGATGTTGTGGTTCCACTCCATTGCACACAGACTCTTGTGTAGGCAAGCATCATCCTATGTCTGTCCCCTTCTTCCATCTCTTCTGGATGGAAACCTTGAGCAGGCTTTGGATTCTCTTGTCCACACCTGAGGTACAGAAAATTATCCCCATCAGTGGATTCCTGCTTCTCAGCTTCTTGCAGACTTCTTAGGCAAAAAAACCTGACAGAGTCCCTATGCTGAAACACACTATAGCATGTTACTTCGTAAAGTCAAAACATTGCTTCTGATAGTTCTCACTCTAAGGAACTTGCTGTGTAATAGAAACAGGATGGACTGCCCTGGGAAGCATGCAGGAAAGAGGTAGATAGTTTAATTTTGCTTGTTGTAAACCAAGTGCAATTATGGGAGGACAGCAGGCTCAAGGTTGAAAGAGGAAAAAGGAACTCAATGGGGCAATTGAGACAGCTTTGTTGTGGAAAGGTCAGTGTTTCTCTGGGGAAGAGAGACTGCCAAGGTACAGACCTACCCTGATCCCCCCTCTAAGGAACAGCTCTTCCTGATGACTTGAAATTTTGTCTTTTGTTTCTAAGAGATTTAGCTTTACTCCCTCAGGAGGGAAGGAACTTTGTTTTCAGGAAGGAAGCTGGTTGCAGCTCCATGAGGTGTTTCTTTGCTCTTTCAGTGCTGCCCACATGCTCCCCCTTGGACTTCCACTGTGACAATGGAAAATGTATCCGCCGGTCGTGGGTCTGCGACGGAGACAATGACTGTGAGGATGACTCTGATGAGCAGGACTGCCGTAAGTCACCTGTCTGAGGGAAGAGGGTGGATGCAGTGCTTGCCTGCTGTGACTGGGGGAAGTTGACCCTTTTTATTACAGGAATGTAAGATTCTATCCACTGAATTGAACCACTGGGTTGTAATAAGCTATATTCTGCCTGTGACAGAGCTGTGTACCTGTAAGCCCTGCTGCCTTGGCACCTGGCTTGCTGTTCAGCTGCCTGTCTTGGGGGAGGGGATGCTTCTTCATCCAGCTGTAGAACCGTTTATGCCCTGCAGCCTTGCTAGTTAATGTCCCATGAAGCACTTCCCTGAGCTGGGCTCTTCATGCCCTCCCCTGTTAGTGGAAACACCTAACCCCTGCCAAATCCTACTGAACTGCCTGTCTGGCTGACTTCCTGTGGCCTCAGGTTCCACTGTCTGACTTTTCTGTGGTGCTGGCCTGTCACCAGCATCCTGTCCCTTCAAACAGGGCTCCTTGAGGAGAGGGAGGTGCTGTAGGGATACTGCCTACACAGAATTGTGTGCATGGTGCTCCAGAGTGACTCTGTTGGAGGAACCCCATTTGAAGAAATGTAGGAATAAAGCTTTTGACTGTAAAGTACTCCATGTCCACTGCATGCATGGAAATGAGTTCACTTTCTAATCAGTTTATCCCTGATTTTTGCCTGCCTTTTTGGGCAAAGAACTGGGAAGTAAAGTTCAGGGGCTGACGTCCTGTGTGATCCTCTGGAATGCAGGACTAAGCTCAGTTTTCCAGTCCATTCAAATACATTAATGAAGGAAAAGATGTGTAGGTCTGAATCTCTGGTTTTCTGTTTTTCAGGAAAGGTTGAAATGCCCTCATATGTAAGACAACAGTTGAGAAGGGTGTGATCAAAAGATTTGGAGACCAGTGAAAGGAGGAAGACAAGGTTCTGTGCATGAGAGATTCCTGGAGGGGTTATTCAGGCTAGCAGTAACCATAGGAGGGTTTTTGTTGGACTGGAGTCCTCAGGTGCTAAATTTGCAGTTCCTTTCCTTTCCTTACTTGTCTGCAGACAAGCTTCCTTAGGAGACTGGCAAGGAGAGTGGAAGTAGGCTGCAAATACTGAAGTTCAAATTTTCTCTCTCCCTCTTCAGTGAACATGTCCTTTGTTTTGAAGACAGCTTTGACATTGTTGTGAAAAGAGGGTGGAAATACAACACTGCTAGCAGTTATCTGTTAGATAATGATAGAGACTATTAACTCATTTAAAAAGAGGCTTGGATTCCTTTTTTCTGTGTGGGATTGTCTTGAGTCTGGCTTGAGTACAGTGCTAGAATACATACCAGCATAGGATGGGTGGCTTCATCTCTCTCATGTTCCAGCTACTTCCTTCAACCTAAACCTCAAGTTTTAGAGCCTGCTGTACTGTTGGTGTGTGAATGGAGTGGAAAAGAGACACTCAAGAAATCTCCCAGGGGCTCTCCTGGTATTTGTTAGGAGAATCAACTCTCCAGCATCACTGTGTCCTTGGAGGATGATGTTGCTTGACTTGTAACACGTCACATATTTGGTGTTCTGCAAGCTAAATCTTCTTGCCTTTTCTTCACCTTACCCCTGTTGTGTCCTTGCAGCTCCAAGGGAGTGTGAGGAAGATGAGTTCTCATGTCAGAATGGATACTGCATTCGCAGCCTGTGGCACTGTGATGGTGACAATGACTGTGGGGACAACAGTGATGAGCAGTGTGGTGAGTTGATATAAACACTGCCCTCACAGTACTTTAAAAGGAGTTGTCCAGACTGTGCAATTCTAGGATTCCCAGAACACAGCTAAGGCTCCCAGCTGGCTTTTCTGGGCTGAACTTGTGGGATATTCCATTCCAAGGCTGGCTTCTTAGGATCTTGGACTATGTGCCTTACCTGCCAGGCAAAAAAAATCACTTGAGACCTTTCATTCCTTGATGTGGCATTGTGAAGTCCCCTTGGGTTCCTGTTGAATCCAGCACTGTGTGTTGTTCAGTGAACAATGATGGTTTTGCTCAGGCCCTGCCTGGCATGGGTATGTATGTTTTCATGAGCAATCTTGTTTGTGGGTGCCCTAGGAGCTTCAGGAGCATGTTGTGGTGCTTTCCTGGGTACTCTGAGAAAAGCCAAGGCTTTGTTTGCATTGCTGTCTCTGCAGATATGAGAAAGTGCTCAGAGAAGGAGTTCCGTTGCAGTGATGGCAGCTGCATAGCTGAACACTGGTTCTGTGATGGGGACACAGACTGCAAGGATGGCTCAGATGAAGAGAATTGCCGTAAGTGCTTTTCTTTGTAATCGCAGGAAATAGCCCTTTGGACCTGCTCTTGCCTTGGGTTTTGGCATGTTTTCTGCAGTAGAGATCAAAAACAAGTTAGTTCTGCCTGTACTGGCAGCTATGCTACCTTCTGCTGCCTACCCCTGAGGGCACAAAAGAGTGGTGCCTCTCTTGTGTTACCTCACAGGCATACTTCATCTGTGCTGTGCTGCTTCTCTTCCTTCCCATAGCTGTGACCTTGAGTCAGAGCAGGAGGTTTATGCTTTACTGAATATAGCTCTCTGTAAAACTGGAGGAGTTGAAGGGCAGCTGGAAGGCGAGAATACTATTCCCTTCTTTTTCCTCTTGTCTGATTCCAGACTGAAATATTGGAAGTGGAGGGGTACTCTGCTTATTGAAACCACCCTCAGGTATTGCACTCTGAAGACATCTCCTACCTGTCCAGTCTCTTTTCACTTAAATGCTTTTTGCAAGATGTTGCCCAACAAGTGACCAATGCTGAAGGAGGGAGGTGGTGTTGGGGCATGAGAACCCACAACAGTTGTTTCCTTCTTCACCTTCACAGGCTTGTAGCAAGTGGGACAGGAGTTTGTGTCCCTTTCTAATCCACACTGCTTCTCTCCTGAGTCTGTGAGCACTGTCCATGTCTCTGGAACTTGCAGTGGTCCCTTCCCCCTCCCTGCTCTCAAAGGCATTTTGCAGAATTTGTTCTAGATAGCAGGAAACTTCAAAAGGCTCTGGGAGGGGGATGAGGGCCGCCAGCTCCTGAAGGGCAGGGGGAGTGGATGCATGGGGGAGTTGTCTTTTATCTTTCCAGATAATGAGACTTGGCAGAAAGCCAGGGGCTGCAAACATTTCTGAGCCAGGAGAGGACTCTAAGAGGAAGCCAGCCTCTCTCCCTCTCCATTTGCTTTCTGCCCGTCTCGTTCCCTTGCCTGTCACTTCACCCAAGGCCATGAATAGACCCTCAGGAAGGGAAGAGAGATGTTCCAACGTTTCCTCCTATGGGAGTGGAGGGGCACCCAGAAGTGGTGTCCCTGTTTCTCTGAGCTGAAATGCTATTTCAGTCCTAGTTGTCAGTTGTCTCTATAAGACATTTTAAGTAACTTGCTAAGAAGTTCAGTTTGGCTACCTCCTGTTCTTTTATCTTCATCCATGTGGTTGTCATTTTTTTCTTATCTACAATCATGTTTGTCATTCATCTGGGACAAGGTGGGATTATACTCTTCTTTCTTGTCTGCGTTTTTTCTTTTCTTTTTGTTTCTTTTGGGGATGTGTGTGTTACAGTTGAATCATATAACATGATAATTTAAGTCACAGACTTAATTTTCTCAAGGAAACTGAAACACTCAGGCTCCTTTGGTGAAGGACACATTGACACACATTTTCATATCCAGCCACTGACACTCACTGAATTAAAGCTCTTAGCTCATGCCTTCAGGCTGTGCCCATTTCTTCAAGTCGGACAGGCAGGTGTAGTTCACTTCCTAGACTACTCTTCCTCTTCAGTCTTTCTTTTCCTTTTTGTTTTAATAGATTTTTATTCAGAACTCCTCAGCTGGGAGACTTGTATATCTGAAACGTACAGTGCATTCTCCAGATAGTATGAGAAGACATGTCAGATTCTGTTGTGTGGGACTCAAAATATTTTTCATGCCTTTCCACTTAGTGTACTGTTGAACAGAGAACAGTAGGCAAATCCTTGGCCATTAGTTTGTTTGGCCAGGATCATCTCTCTGGCAGTGCTCCTTACTGAATAGGCATGGTTGTTTTGGCCAGAGCTTGAGAGGAAAGGGAGGGGGAAATCCTCAAAGGTCAGGTGCTGGCCTGGACACCCTGCTGCTTGCTTGCTTCCTTGGGTCTTCAAGTGCTTATTTTTGTTAAAATTTTAAAGCAATCATTCCCTAGTTTAACTTTGCATTCTGACATGCCACAGTCCTTAATATGGAGCTATCCCTAAGGTTTCTTTATTTTTCTGTTTTTCTATCTATCTTTTTTCAGATTTATTAAACAATTTAAACACTTTTTTGGCTCTAAGACTTAGTGCTTTGAACATAAGATGGAAGGTGACACTCTTGGATCCTTTTTGAGGTGTTCCCATCAATTCTTCATTCATATCTTTTTCCTTCTCTAGAATTTAACAGCTTTTGAAAAGTTCCATCTTTATAGCCTAATATCCTATGTAACTTTTTTTAAAAATTGTATTTACTGGATTGTCTGCATGAGTGTCTTTATATATGAGTTTAACCTGCTTTTCAATGAAGCAAAACCAGCATTCTTCTCTGTAATACAAATCATGCAGTGATAAGCAGCAATGAGTACTTGCCAATCCCTTATGGGACTGAAAATGTTGCCTCTAAACTAGACTGTGCCTTGTCACCTCACATATTTTTTCTTTGATTGCCTTGTTAGCATCAGATGTTCCAGCTGCCACCTGCAGCTTGGAGGAGTTCCAGTGTGCATATGGACGCTGCATCTTGGACATCTACCACTGTGATGGTGATGATGACTGTGGGGACTGGTCTGATGAATCTGACTGCTGTAAGTCAGCACAGGGTGATGTCCTTGTCCAAGAATCAGAGTTGCAAACCTAAATGCATTTTGGGTTGGCTGGAGAAGGGGTTACAGTGTAGATGGCAATCTAATTTTCACACATAATCTGGCTCCTTCATTATTAGGGGTTTTGTTTAACTCTGGAAAGTGAGAATAGTGATGTAATCACTATTCTGTGTAATCAGTGCACTTCTGCTTACAAGAAATACTACAGTTTCCAGAAGAAATCTACTCAGGACCAAATTCCTTAATAATGGGGGGGTAAGGGTGAAACTGAAGATCTTTGGGGATTGTTACATTGGTAACAATCCCCAAAGTATGCTCTTTTTGTGTTTTATCATCTCTGCAGCATCTCACCAGCCTTGTCGCTCCGGAGAGTTCATGTGCAACAGTGGCTTGTGCATTAATGCTGGCTGGAGGTGTGATGGCGACTTCGATTGTGATGACCAGTCAGATGAGAGGAACTGCAGTGAGTGCTGGGAACTGGTGGAAACATTCTGTTTCTGTGGATGCAAAAGAGTGTTTGGGACAGTTAGCTTTGGAATTGGGTCTCCTCTGATCCTTCTTGCTCATCTGATGTTCCTTTTTTGGGCCCTCAGCTACATCTATGTGCACAGCTGACCAGTTCCGCTGCAAGTCAGGACGCTGTGTCCGTCTGTCCTGGCGTTGTGATGGGGAAGATGACTGCTCTGACAACAGTGATGAGGAGAACTGTGAGAACACAGGTTTGACATGCTACTTTTCTGCTTAATAGCTAATAAAGTTTCCTAAATCCTGACGATAGTAGGTAGTAATGTCTCTTTTGTATTGCTTCAGGGACTTGAGCCTAGAGTTTCTGTCCTTCCCAGAGAATGGGATCTGTAGGCTGTCTGATATGCTTGCCAACTTGTGCAGGTCTGTGTGCTTACAGCTAGGTGAAGGTGTTTTCTGGTCAGGTGTCCTCCTGTCTTGTCCCTACACTGTGAATTACCACAGGGCTCTGGGACAATTCCATTCAGACTTGGAAACATCAATAATGTTACCAAGTTACTACCTTTGTCACATGGGCTATACTAACTTTTGCCTTCTAGGTAGTTCTGGATAGATTTCCTGCTGCATTGTGAAGTTGCTGAACAATTCTAGTAGACAGTGGAATCAAGAAGGACATTTAATGGAAGAGAAGAACAAAACCTTTGTTTTTTTAGAGGATTAAGGGTGTCAGCTTCCCACTTAGATTTTTGCTTAGGAGTTGCTCTTTCTAGTATTCATTTCACATATTGCTATTCCTTTGTGTGATAGTGGTTATGTGGAGCAGGAGGGTTTCAACACACCCTAGTGTTATGGTAGGATTCAAGGAAGGTCTAGAATCTTCTCTTTTCCTTAAAGTCTTCAGGATGCCTGTAGGTTTTGTTGAGGACTAGAGTGCGCTGGTCCATGAATTTATCCTAGTGAGTGGAGCCCAGCTATGTGTACTGATCCTTCTGCATCAGTGTATTCTGAACAGTGGTTTTAGGGGTGACAAAATGGATTTGTGAAACTGTACCTCTTGTTTTGGGGCTGTTGTGGAGTGGAGAATGGCTGTTCCATGAGGACAGCTGAGCTCAGAGGACCTGGAGAGGCACACTTCGTAGTCATTTGAGAGCAGCTGCTCTTGATTGGTTAGCTGTTGTGAGCATCAATGTGGTGATCCTGGAAAAAACAATTGTACTTAAAGACAAGCTGGTAACCCTGTTTCCTGGTAACGAAGGTATTTAGAGATGCTGAAAGAAGCCAAGTCAAACTTCCAGAGCCATTGAAATTCACTGTCTCCATATCAAACCAAGCACAAGGTACAGTTACTGTAAGGTTATTTGTGCAATTCTACATTAGGCCTATAGTGAAAATTAAACTGGTTTTTCCAGAAAGTGTACTTGCTCATCTAAGTGACATAGTGTGGTGTACCAATGTCTGAAGCAAGAGTTAAAATCCCCTTGGCCTTAGAGCAGAGTTATATTTTTATTGGCCATAGAGAAGATTCCTAAAATACTAGGCAACCAGCTGGTTGATCTTTATGTTTGATATGACAAATAAAGTCCAAGTTTCAGAATCCTTCATATACAGTATTCCTGTGCTCTGAAAAGTGAATCTGCATGTTGTCTGGTTTTATGTTCCCACTTGTTATGTCTGTAGTTCTTAACTGTACTTGTTAATCTCACAACTACCCTTTTCCACACTGTTTACAGGCATTCTGCCAATCTGATTGTTTCTCTGCTGGGAACTGTATTGTCCTATTATCTCTATAAGATTATCAGAGGATGATGATTTAGGGACCGCTAATCAAGTTAGCTCAAGAAGTACAAGAAGTAAGAGGCAACAGGACAGTGCAATTATTGCTGAAGAAACAATCAGATTAGCAAAGTCCCTACAAACAGTATTACTTTGCTTAAAAGAATTCTGTACAGTCCCCTTGCCAACAGCAAAAGTTGAAGCGTGTAGGTCATGTGAAATCCTGTTGCCTGAATTCAGATTTCAGGGATGCATGAAAATCTTATTCCAAGTCCATCAAAGTACAGTTAGGGCTAGACAAGATGTTCCTTTCTAGGCAGGCTAAAGATCCATAGCTGTTCTGGTGTGACAGATGAGATTATGAAAGTGAGGAACTGACTCCTCATTTGCACATGCTGAGTAGGGTTGTGGATTCTGGAACCGAAGGGATCTAAGCCAGAACCTTCCAGTCATTCTAAGAGAAACTAGTCAGATAACTTCACAGTAAAGCAACAGTGGACGTGGACTGACGGACAGTTTGCAGACCTCCAAATCAGCATAAAAATATGTGGAGCAGTAAAGACTGCTAGATGGGCTGAATTCAAAGGAAGAGAAAGTAATGGATTTGTGCTCATATGAAAAGTTTGTAACAGATCTTGGAAAATGTTCTGTATTCTTTTCTTCACCATGACTATTGTTCCATCAGTAAGCTGTGATGTGCTACTTTTTCCTTCTTCTATTGCAGGCACCCCTCAGTGTGCCCCAGACCAGTTCCTGTGTGGGAATGGGCGTTGTATTGGCCAGAGGAAGCTGTGCAATGGAGCAAATGATTGTGGAGATGGCAGTGATGAGAGCCCACATCAAAACTGCCGTAAGTCCTCCCAAGTTCAGTCTTAGACGTAAATGGAGGCCCATTAATGTGTGGGAGTCTATCTGGTGTTACTGAAGGGTGTGTGTAGAAGGGAAGTCTGAGCTGTGATAGTGGGGACAAGTTCAAGGTTGAGGAAAAAAACCTTGTTGTTTTTGTCAGTTAAAGACTGCACACAAGGAAAGATGAGGAAAAGATATCACCATTTGTCTGCAGAGACACTCAATCCTAAAAACATGTTAATCTGAGCTCCGTTGTCCCGTTCAGTTGTGGCCTGCAGAGGAGAGCTCTGGCTGCAAAGAGGAAGTTTCCAGCACAGCTTGTGTCCTCCCCCTCTTGTTCAGCCTGCTTTGAAGGGTGACTGCTGCCTAACAGCTGAAGGCAAGAGCAGCTGCTTTGTGGTTTCAGCTCAGTTATCTTCACATGTTTCTTCTGCAGGTCCACGAACAGGGGAGGAGAATTGCAATGTCAACAATGGTGGCTGTGCTCAGAAATGCCAGATGGTACGAGGGATGGTGCAGTGCACTTGCCACACAGGTTACAGGCTCCTGGAAGATGGCCGATCATGCCAAGGTGGGTTTTTGGAGCAGTAGCCTCCTCCCTGCTCTTTTGGTATCTTTGAAAGTGGTGGCTGTGATAGGGTGAAAATCAGAGTATGAAAGCGTATGCAATCTGTCGTGAGATTTTCGGGTTTTTTGATGGTCTATCTAATGGTAACTTTCTCTGTAACATGCAGATGTGAATGAATGTGCTGAGGAAGGCTACTGCAGCCAAGGCTGTACCAACAGTGAAGGAGGCTTCCAGTGCTGGTGTGAGCAAGGCTACGAGCTGCGCCCTGACAAACGTAGCTGCAAAGCTCTAGGTAAAGGGGAGTTCAACCTAACAACACAGCTGGTGTGTGTCTGTTGGTCCAGTTATCATAATTATGTCTTTAGTGCTTCACTGGCAGCATTGTGCTGTTCACCAAACAAACATGTGAAGGAAAGGAGGTACCTGGATTTGTGTTAGATATGCCTACGTTGTTGATAAATGTTAGTGAAAATTTTGTGTGATTTTGACCACGGAGAGAGGTACTACGCTGTTTACTTTCTCTGCCAGGGTGATGGCCCTTGCCTTTTCTTCCTAGTCTTTTGTCATTCATTGTGACTCAGAACCCGGGACAAAACAAGCTTTCTACCTCTGTTCAGGAAGTGTCTTATCCTTTCCAATGAGTGAGGTTGTATCACAACTCCTTGTGGTTTGACCCTTTATGCTGGTCACCAATCCTGAATGCTGTGGATGGCTGCTGTATGGAGATCTGCTGGGGGTTTTTTAAAGATATCTATACACTTCTTTAACTTTATTCCTCCTCTAATGTAGGAGCTGAGGAATTAGAAATTTCACTTAAAAACTTTAGATTTCATTAGGAATTCCCCTAGTGATATCCATGAATGATGTTGATATTTTGGGGATGTTTTTTCGCAATGGAAATACCTGCTGAGTTTATATCTGGCTGAGGCAGATTTCAACTGTGTCCTGTCTGTATTAGAAGATGTAGTAGAGCATGTGTGTTTGCATGGCTAGGAAATGCATATAGGAAAAAAAAAACTCTAGTCCAGCTGCCAAGTGGGTGTATAGTGATATGGTTTCAGAGGCTGAGGGGAGGCAGGCTTAGGTAGGACCTGGAATGATTGCTTCTTGCAGAGTTAATGTTTGCCAGGTTTAAAACTGCTCATCTTTGAGTTAGGACTATGTATACAGGATGTAAAACAGCTCTCTGAAGTGTTCTTGGGGTTGATTTCTGCTGCCAGTACTGCAAAACTCTGTTCTGGGACTTGGTGCAGAGGGAATGGTAGGCAGGACCCAGTCAAACGCTGTCAAATACTCCAATGCTGTCTTCCTGTGTATTCTTAGGGCCAGAGCCCGTGCTGCTCTTTGCCAATCGAATTGATATCCGACAAGTGTTGCCTCATCGCTCTGAGTATACGCTGCTCCTGAACAACCTGGAGAATGCCATTGCCCTTGATTTCCACCACAGCAAGGAGTTGGTGTTCTGGTCTGATGTCACGCTTGATCGCATCATGAGGGCCAATCTGAATGGTAGCAATGTGGAAGAGGTGGTTTCCACAGGGCTGGAGAGCCCAGGTGCGTCACCGCAAAAAAGACAGTGGTGTAGGGTGGGTGAGTGGAGGAAAGTGGGGACCCAGCCTTTAGAAAAAAGTGCATCTCCCTGAGGAGGGGTATAGGTTGCATGGAATGGGTGTTAGGTGAGTGTCACTGTGGAGTTAATCTTGGCTAGCAGGAGAAGAAACTGGGCCTCCTCTGAAGCGGACAGAGAAAGGGAACTATTTTTTCCATGCAGATCCATGGTTTCATTCTGTATTTAACTCTTGTCTTGTACGTAGGTGGACTTGCTATTGATTGGATCCATGACAAATTATACTGGACAGACTCTGGGACATCTCGAATTGAGGTAGCAAACTTGGATGGCACTCACAGGAAAGTGCTTTTGTGGCAGAACCTGGAGAAGCCCCGAGCAATTGCTCTCCATCCTATGGAGGGGTGAGTGAAAATATGGGAAACCAGGGGGAAACCCCAGTGAACCCTCCATGTACATACTTTTTGTTGAACATTGAAAACCCCATTCTTGGTCACAAAGGTTACCTTGGGACTGAAAATGTGAGTTGGCACTAACAGTATGGGAAACCTGGCAATGCTGGGACCCTTCAGAGCCTTAAACGTGCTCTGCAGTTTTCAGCAGGCTGGGTGTTACTTTTTACTTCTCCCATGGCTGTGACCCAGTCTCATGCTTGAGGTCAGAGGACTGATGTTGCTTTGCCTTGATAGGGAGTGATGTTGGGTGCAGTATGTGGGCCACAAGTTTTCTAGCTGTCTCTCCCTGTCTCCTTCAGTACTATCTACTGGACTGACTGGGGCAATACTCCCCGCATTGAGTATTCCAACATGGATGGCTCTAATCGGCGCATCATTGCGGATACACACCTCTTCTGGCCCAATGGACTGACCATTGACTATGCAGGACATCGAATGTACTGGGTGGATGCCAAACATCACGTCATTGAGAGGGCTGACCTTGATGGACGCAATAGGAAGGCTGTTATTAGCCAGGGTAAGTAACAGGCTTTCTCCAGGGAATGCTTTCTGCAGTAAAGCCCACAGAGCAGCACAGTGCTGATCTGAGTTTGAGACACCGGCTCCTGCATCTGTGCTTGTCTCCTATTCTTCCACTGTGGAATGAATTCTCTCACCACTGAGGGATGCCATCTAGTCATCAGCGGCTGCATCAAAAGCAAGTTGAGGCAGGTGAATCTGCTTTTGTGAGACTCCACCTGGAATGCTGCGTCCATCTCTGGGACTCCAAACATAAGAAGAAAGTGGAACTGTTGGAGAAAGTCTAGAGGAGGGCCACAAAGTTGATAAGAGGGATTGGTGTACTCCCCTACAAAGGCTGGAAAGAAAGTTGGGGCTGTTCAGCCTGGAGAGGAGAAGGTTGTGTGGAGACCTCATTGCAACCTTCCAGTATCTGAAGGGAACCTACCAGGAATCAGGAAAGGGACTCTTCATCAGGAACTGTAATGTTGAGAGAAGGAGTCTCAAATGGACTGGATACAAATTAAAAAAGAAGGGAAATTCAGGTTACGTATTAGGAAGACATTTTTTACTTGTGAGGATGGTGAAGTGGTGGAACAGGTTGCCCTGAGAGGCTGCGAATGCCCCAGCCCTGGCACTGTTCAAAGCCGGGTTGGATAAAGCCTTGAGCAGCCTGGTGTAGGGGGAGGTGTCCCTGCCTGTGGTGTGAGGATTGGGGCTAGATGATCTTTAAAGTCCATTCCAGCCCCGTAATGTTCTATCTTTGATTATAGGACAGCAAAGAGGAATTGTCTGTTAAATTAGTGTGAAGTGTATTTGAGCAGCTTGAGTGTGGGGAAGCCTAAGGGCAGTGGAAAGAGTATTCCTTGTCTCCCTGCTAGCCTGAGTCATGTTAGATGTGATCATATTCCTGTATTGGATGTCTGTTGCAGGGCTCCCACACCCATTTGCTATCACTGTGTTTGAGGACAGTCTGTACTGGACAGACTGGCACACCAAGAGCATCAACAGTGCCAACAAATTCACAGGCAAGAACCAGGAGATCATCCGCAACAAGCTCCACTTCCCTATGGACATCCACACGCTGCATCCCCAGCGTCAGCCAGCAGGTAACTGCAGAGCGGGTAGAGACTCATTTGAGCCACATCCTGAGCCCAGCAGGTGGACACACCCGTGCCTGTGCCCGGGGCTGTGGCAGAACTTGCTCCACCGCCCTCGCCCTCGTGTTGAGGTCGCTCAGGCGGTGCCTCGGAGTTGGGTGTTACCGCAGCTCCCCCTGCTGACACCGGGGCTGGAGGCCTTTCAGTAGGAAATACTTGGGGCTTGTTTACACAAGAGATGTTTTGGGATGGGGAAAAATCATAAGTGGACGTTGTAATGACTGACATCTCCCTTACTCCTCTTCAATTGCCATTATCTACTCTCGAAGGGCATTGAGTTAAATGTTCATTTTAAAATTGAGCCCTAAAAATAGAGTTAGTGCTTTACATGTTTCCTTATTTTCAGTTAACTTCTGGGTTGGGAAGTTATATCCACATGGTCTTGACACCTTAGCTAGTGTTTTTCCTCATTTCTTTACTCTTTGCTTTATGTGTGGTTGCTCTTGTCTTTGGCTACTTGAGCAGGGAGAAACCGTTGTGGGGACAACAACGGAGGCTGCACTCACCTCTGCCTGCCGAGCAGCAAGGATTACACCTGCGCCTGCCCCACGGGCTTCCGCAAGACCAGCAGCCATGCCTGTGCCCAGAGTAAGTGAGGTGGGACCACGTGCTCAGATGTTCAGTGGGTGGCAGAGGGCTGGCAGTGGGACTGAGCATCAGTGGTACTTGCTTCCAAGGAAATGCAGCTGAATAGACTGAGTTAGAAGTATTAAGGGTCCTGCCAGAGGATGCTTCACCTTTTTGATGCATTTCCCTGTTCTGTATTCTCACTGCCCTCACTAGTCTTCATGGATGGGGATGCAGACAAATTCCACCCTTGGTCCTTATTTCAGGGCTGCTATTAGGACCGTGCTACCTGGCACAGCTGGTTGTTTTACTGAAATGCCCATAATGGCTGTTTCAGTGATGAACAAAAAATTCAGTCCTCATCATTGCCACATTTCTCTTAGTTTGTAACTACGTGAAAGAATTTGACCAACTTTCTCCCAGATTCTCACGAGCTATTTTAAAATAGCTATTTGATTTAGAGGCATGTCTATGCCATCCTTTGAAGAATATGGTTGCCCTTGTTCCCTCAGCATAGGTTACACCCCAGGAGAGAGCTCACAGCCACTCTGACCCCTCTTTCCTATCCTCTCCCTGTGATATTTTGCTTCCAGTAAAAAAAAAGACCTGCCAGTGAGAGATGATGTAGGTGGTTAATGTTGTGAATATAGCAGGGAATTGTCTGTCTATCACTGTATTGTTGAACTTAGAGAAATTAAAAGGAGACCTTTCGACCTTTGATCAGGTCTTGACAAGTTCCTGCTTTTTGCCCGAAGGATGGACATCCGTCGGATCAGCTTTGACACAGATGACCTGTCAGATGATGTCATCCCCCTTGCTGATGTTCGCAGTGCTGTGGCTCTAGACTGGGACTCAAAGGATGACTATGTCTACTGGACAGACGTTAGCACTGACTCAATCAGCCGAGCAAAATGGGATGGATCAAACCAGGAGGTACAGTATTCACTGTGTGTGGAGCTCATCTGGCCAGGAGACTCCTTGAGCATCAGATTTGAAGCCGGTGGGATACACTGGCTTTTTAAGGCACTGCAGTTCATGGTGGATCTTTTGTTCATTAGTGTGCCTAGTTCTGACAAACTGATGAGATCACTGGACACTTCATAAACAATTGGGTGTATGGAGAGCCTTGAATGGGGAAACATGAAGTGTGGTGGTTTGTGGGCTGTGGTCAATTTCTTTGTTGTAGCCCTAGAATCTGAAAGAAAGAAGTATTAAATCCTCTGTTACATTAAAATTGGAACAAGAGTCATGCTCTTTGGGAATGCTTTTTGCTCACACTTCTAGGCTGATGGTACTATAAATAAGGCAAACAGAGTTCCAAGTTTGGATTTGCAGTTTGAACAGGCACAAAAAGCCCAGAAGTTTCTCCAAATAAAAGCCTTCTTTGGACTTCAAAGTCCTTGATGTTCTCTGTTGTACAGCACTGCTCTGCTCAGGTTTTTGCCTTTTGAAAGTTAACATAATTTGTGAATGGGTAGTGCATTGGACAAGTACTTTCTCCCTAAGGTCTAATTTCACTAAGGATTTTTTTCTTTTTGTTTTCATTTAGGTTGTGGTGGACACCAGCCTGGAAAGTCCAGCTGGACTTGCAATTGACTGGGTCACCAACAAACTATACTGGACTGATGCAGGTACTGGGATCCTCTGCTTAATGTAGACTTCTGTCTTCCTTATCAGTTATGAAAACTGAAAATCAGCTGGGTAGTTCTGTCTGTTTCATTCCAAATTTATCTAATTTCTGTGTAGCAGAAAGATGGAGTTTCATGTCATGTGCTTCTAACTGAGTGTGAATTGAGGCACAACCCTTAGTTTAATTCTCTTTGCAGTATCCCCAGTACTAATTCTATAAAAATAGTCATCACTGTTGTCTTGTTGCTGAGCTTGTGATTGTGTGCATTTATGTATCTTCCAACAGTGTATCTTGTGGTGCAGCAGGTCATACTTGGAGCATGTTCTCTGCTGGAGAGTCATAGTTAAGAGAGATGTAAGGAAGATTATTCTTTTCTAGCTGTTCTCTCATGGTATGGGGGTTTAGGTAAGATGTAGATTATATACAGGACTCCACATCAGTGACAGGCACAGAGGTGACTTGAGAGGATGGAATGTGACACTTTAAGCCAGATTTCTTACCTCTCTTCCAGCTAAGAACACAGATGGATATAGGGGAAGAATGCACTGTTGTATGGAGGTTTTTTTGCCTTAGCTCTTGCAATTCCAATTTCATTTCTGTTGTTTTCTCTTGACTTTTGTAGGAACAGATCGGATAGAGGTGTCCAATACGGATGGGACCATGAGAACTGTTCTAATATGGGAGAACCTAGACAGACCTAGAGATATTGTGGTGGACCCTGTTGCAGGGTAAGAGAGTCTTTCTTCTGGGATGACTTAACAATTCTTGCATGTCTAAATACTTTCTGGTTCTTTGGTTTTGTACAATTTTCCTTCTTACTGGTGCCATTGTTCTACAACTTGCTAGTGACTGAAAGTAGAGATGTGATTTTAGATGCTAATAGAACCAGATAAGCAGAGGTAATTGCCTGTTGTGCTGTGGAGCTTGCAGGAGCTGGCTGGTGTTTTCATTTGTTTATCCTGAGGATGTAATAACTACAAATGTGGTACAAAAATGTTGAGAATGGGCCCATCTAGTTATTTTCTATTTCTCTGTTGCACATATATGTTGAATTTGTATTCAAGCTCCTGCTTGTCGACTTGACTTTCAGTTAGAAGGATGTTCTCAGATCTTTTGGAGGTGGGGATAGGGTGGGTAGGAAAAAGCTCACCAGCCATTGCTTTAGAAGTGTTGAATGAAAGAGTGCTATTCTTTCCTTGAGTGGACTACTGGAAGACAAATGCAGCAAGAGTGTACATTGCTAAATAATCAGTTAATTTAGACCTTGACCTATTTTCTTGAATTTTTCTCCTACACATGGTAATTAGGCCAGCCCATTAGCAGTAGAAGGTATGTAAATTTGATTGTGATCTTAGGTACATTACAAGAACCTAAAGCTGGACATGAGCACACTAATACTTTAATGCTTCTCCCTGCTAGGGCCTGAAGGCACCAGACTCGCTTGCTTCTCAGGCAGTGAAAAAGTGTGGGCATTCACTTCTGTCTGGGCTTCTTCTTAGGTTCATGTACTGGACTGACTGGGGAGCTAACCCAAAAATTGAGCGTGCTGGGATGGATGCCTCAAACCGCTTGGTGGTCATTTCCTCCAACCTGACATGGCCCAATGGCTTGGCCATTGACTACGAGTCACAGCGCTTGTACTGGGCAGATGCAGGCATGAAGACCATCGAGTATGCCAGTCTGGATGGAAGAAACAGGAAGGTAAGGAAGCCGTCTTTGAGGAGCAGGTCTGGGAGTCTGAACACAAAGTGATGATGGTTCTTGCCTCTTTTTTCAATGGAAAGGAAAATGTACAATTCAAAGTACAGAGTGGCTTTCACTAAGAAAAGAACTCCCTTTCAATTTGAAAGTATGCGAGGGAAGTTTGAGGGCCAAGGTTGGACCACATTCTCCTTTTGCTGTAATTGTGTGTTATGATGTTGAGAGGGAGCAAGGGAAGCCTCTTCTCCTTAGTGACTTCATGGTTACTAATATAGGTATAATTTTTAAATATATATATATATAAAAAATATATTTTTTAAAAATATTTTAATTTATATAACACAATATTTTTCTTTGGGTGATGGGGGTAATCTGAGCAGGTGCTGATTGGGAACAATCTGCCTCACCCCTTTGGACTTACTCTTTATGGTGAGAGAATCTACTGGACAGACTGGCAGGCGAAAAGCATCCAGAGCGCAGATAGGAGAACTGGGAAGTCTCGGGAAACACTGCAGGACAATCTGGAGAATCTTATGGATATTCATGTTTTCCACCGGCACAGGCCACCAGGTACAGAGCTCACACCGAAGCCCCACTGAGCTGAGAGCTTGCCCAGGCTCTGCCATGTGGCATATCTTTTCTGCAAGGAGCTGACCTGTCAGCCCTCATTGTCTTAAGTGTCTGTGTGGAGTATGAGAGCATGAGAATTAACTCTTGACTTGGTATTTGAGGGCATTCTAGAATGCTTTTCTATAGCTGCTGCGTCCCTTTTTTGTGCCAGTGCTACTGGCTCATGGATTTTTCATCCTCTTTTCCATAGTACATACAGCATGCAAAGTTAACAATGGAGGCTGCAGTCACCTGTGCCTTTTGGCACCTCTTCCAAAAGGCTACAGCTGTACTTGCCCTACAGGGATCAATCTGCAATCTGATGGCAAGACCTGCTCCCCTGGTGAGTGTTCTCTGTGGAATCCTCATTGCAGTTTTGTATCAGAGCTACATTTTGCCTCTGCCTCGTTAGAGAAAAAAATTCACTTTTATGTGCTTAAATGCTTTATGCCTTGAAAAACCCATTTGGTGCCTGTACCTTCAATTTGAGTGGGAATTACTATGAAGAAACTTACTGATAAATGGATTGATGAAGGAGACATTTTTCTTGAAATTATGTTGGCCAAGTAAACCAAATGTCACATTTTTTCCCATACTTTTGCCCTAATATTGAGGTGAATTCTTAAACTACAAGGTGATAATATTCTTTAATAGGTCTGTAAACACTCCTCCTGTGGACCCTCTTCTGTGGATGAGGCATTTGGCTTGAGGCCGTGGTAATCCACTTTTCCTCCCTAGCAGGAATAAAGTGACTCCTAATTTCAATTTCCCACACATATTAGCAGAACTAAGTCTTCTGTGAGTGTTATGCCTTGCAACTTGGATGTAAAGAAGCATTAAGTGATGCTCAAAAAAGTGAACTTTTTTTACACAGACTGTCCATAAGCCAAGATCTGTCTGAGACACTTTCCCTTTTCCACTGAAGTGGTTGTAACACCAAAATACTTGATAAATGATGCCTACAGTTGACTGAACTTGTTCCTCACTAATATCTGTCCATTGTCCACTCTGCAGGAATGACCAGCTTTCTGATCTTTGCTAGAAGGACTGACATCCGGATGGTCTCTCTGGATATCCCTTACTTTGCAGATGTTGTTGTCTCAGTCAATGTCACCATGAAGAACACCATTGCAATTGGAGTGGATCCTCCTGAAGGTCTGAACTTCTTTCTGTATCTGACTGTGTTTGAAAGGCAACAAGTAACTTCCTATGTAAATGTCTGAGTAAAGACTCAGGCACAGATCTTACTGTAGGCTGTGGATTTGGGTAGGTTTTTATTTTCCTTGTATATGCTGCAGATAATTTGTTTCCAGCGAGGAAAGGAATATCCTTACAGGAAAAAAGAGAACCTAAACTATATGGAAAAACACTGCCTGCAATATTGAGTGGGGTCCCTGTGTGCATTGTATTTGAGAAAGTTCCTCTTCCTGAGGCCTTTTACAGCTGTAGAGCTCAACACTGGTTGTTCTTGTGTAGTTAACATCCGATGCTGTGGTGGGTGTAAACTATGTTGCACTGTAAGGTAGATGATCTCATTTTGAGAAGTCAGAGGTGGAGCTCTACTAGTAGCTGATGGTATTGGGTGTTCTCCATCCCTGTGTGGAGGTCAGACCTTGTGTAAATATCCTACATATTTTGGGGAGAATTGGAACAAGAAAATTTGCAGTGTTTTATCACTCTAGCTTAATAATATTGTGCTGTTATTATTCCTGTACAATCAGATCCAGTTTGAATAGTGGAGCAGGTAGTCGGACACCTGGATCTGTTTTTTAAGGATTTTGCTGTTTGGTTGCTGGGGTTTGGTTTGGTTTTGTTCTGGGCTTTTTCAAGTTTCTCTTTCTTCTTCAACCCAGGAAAGGTTTACTGGTCAGACAGCACATTGCGGAAAATCAGTCGCGCTGCACTTGATGGCTCACAATTTGAGGACATCATCACTACAGGTGAGGGAGATTTTGGTCTGAGAGCCTCTTTCTCCTTTGCAGTATGAAAAAAGAGATTCTCCAATACCCTGGTAGAATACATTTTTGGTGGAAAGGCAAGCAAAGACTAAAGCAGTTGCCTATGAGATGGACAAGAGAAATACTAGAAATTCCTGACTAAATTGGGAGAAAAAGCAGTGACCAAAATGTTTTGCTATTTTCTCAGGTCTGTTGACTACAGATGGGCTGGCTGTGGATGCTATTGGCAGGAAGATATATTGGACAGATACAGGAACAAACCGGATTGAAGTGGGCAACCTTGATGGCTCCATGAGGAAAGTCTTGGTCTGGCAGAACCTGGATAGCCCTAGGGCAATAGCTTTATACCATGAAATGGGGTTAGTGTTGTCAAGAGATTGTCTAGGAGTAACAAAGGACTTCTGACCTCTTTTTTCATAATACTTGCTCGCTTCTCTCCAGGTATATGTACTGGACAGACTGGGGTGAGAATGCCAAGCTGGAACGCTCTGGGATGGATGGCTCTGCACGTGTGGTGCTGATCAGCAACAACTTGGGCTGGCCTAATGGACTGGCAGTGGATAAGGCTGGGTCCCAGCTGCTCTGGGCTGATGCACACACAGAGGTCTGATTCTGTTCTTCAGTGTTGTTTGTCATTGGGTGTTTGGAGGCTGCTTTGAAGCTCTTGAACAAGTTGTTGAAAGAGCAAGGGGAATGTAAGCTTTTCTGAGAGTATGGGCTATGGAGGGAGAGGTGAACCTGAATAACATCACTTGCCAAGATTGTTTCCTGCTTGCTACAGTAAGTGCTAGCAAGAGAAGTGTTTTGAGTATGGGCTGATGTTCCACTTCTTCCTGTAGCGGATCGAGGCTGCGGATCTCAATGGCGCGAACCGCCGCACCCTGCTGTCTCCAGTGCAACATCCCTATGGCCTCACTTTGCTGGACTCTTACATCTACTGGACTGACTGGCAAACTCGCAGCATTCACAGGGCTGACAAGGACACTGGTGCTAATGTCATCTTGGTGAGGTCAAACCTGCCTGGCCTCATGGATATTCAGGCTGTTGACAGGGCACGGCCCCTGGGTAAGTTGCGTCCGAGTTGGTGGGTGTCAGTGGTGGCGAGAGGAGTCCTTCAGAGCTTTCTTTGGAAACAGTCCTTTTGTGTAAAGCAGGAGTGACAGAGTGACTTCTCAAAAATCAGCTTTTCTTATGATGCCTTCTTTTAAAGCATCACTTCTTCCCTCTTTAACTATTTTTGCACTCCTCTCTGTTTACCCGGCTCTATAGGTCTAGTGTTGATTACTGCATGCTTTTTGACCCCTTTGTCCCATTTCCTTCATTGGATTGCACTGAGAACCTCATTCTTGCACACAGCAGAGCCACTTTGTTAGGACAACTGAACAAGTCATGCCATATTAGGCTTCACCAGACTGTACTGACATTGGACAATTTCCCTTCTATAACTCCAGAAAACTCTAATTCTTCTTAAACCAGTTGCTGAAATATTATTTCAAGTTCTAGTGTTATTTCCCAATCACTGCAGGCTTCATCTTCTTGCCTGCCTCTTTGCTCTGCAAAATCTCTTTAGTTGCTCTTAATATATCATGTTGTCCAACTATTCTGTGCCAGAGTCAATTCTTTGTTACTCTTTGGGGATCCTGTAACACCCCATCTGGCCTCCTTGCTTTTCAGTGGAAGTTGTTGCGTTGTGCTGTGGTTTTATTTTGGTGGAATTTCGCCAATACATGCTTCTGTAGGAAGCTCTGCTGTTTTTCCTGTGGTTACTAGCAGCAGAACATCACTCTTGACTGTATAACTGGGCAATAAAACTTAAAGCTGACCAAAAGTCTAGCCATCATATCCACATTGTCTTCTTCCTATTCCCTGCAAGTGCCTCCTGGGCTTATTCCCTCCTAGTAAATGTATGCTGGGTTCTTTACAATTTAAAAAAAAAATTATGTGACCCTAATATGTCAGGCACTTCCAGCCGGCTTCTCTGATGCCTTTGTTTATTTGCCACTGTGTGCAGCTAAGTTGAAACAGAAGCTTCTTTGTCAGCCTGGCCTCTGGTACATTGTCACACTATTTCCCTACAGGGTTGGATCTTTCTGTCAGCATTACCATTTGTAGCAGTAATAAAGTTAAACTGCAGTTGCATAAATCTGGGAGCACTTGGCTGTTTAGGAGCAGTTTTCCCTGGGAAAACTATGATTAGCAAGGAATGCCGGTTAAGATTTTTCTTCTAATGATTCCTCTTCTTCTGGACCCTCCTGTTCTCCTTGCCAATCATGCCCATACCTACCATGAGTCTTACAGAGGGAGAGCCTCTGTACAAAGGGTTGTAGCTTCCCAGCAAGGCTGGGATGGTAAGGATGAACTCAGCTGCTAGCAAGTTGTGCATGTATGTAGCCTTTAAAGTAAAGCTTTGGTCTGTGAGATCCTAAAACTACGCTTTCCCTGTTTCTGAAGGCTTCAATAAATGTGGAGTTCGTAATGGTGGCTGTTCCCACCTTTGTTTACCTCATCCCACTGGCTTCTCCTGTGCCTGCCCCACTGGCATCCAGCTGAAGAGAGATGAGCAGACATGTGACTCTTCTCCAGAGACCTACCTACTTTTCTCTAGCCGTGCTTCCATCCGTCGTATCTCGCTGGACACCAGTGACCACACAGATGTGCACATACCTGTCCCTGAGCTGAACAATGTCATTTCTCTGGACTATGATAGTGTGGATGGCAAGATTTACTACACAGATGTATTTCTTGATGTTATCAGGTAGGTGCCAGTCAACTGCTTGGCCGGTGCCCAGGTCACCTGTGACTTGTGCTGATTGTACCAGTAAACTGGGGAGACTGAGCACTACACCAGTACTTAACACCTTGTCTTTGCTACACAGCATCATGCTGAAGGTGTGTTTAACCTGCTGGACACAGGGGCAAAAAGTCTTAGGGAGGTATTAGTATGCAGTGGCCCTGTGATTGATGGAGATCCAGCTTTCCAGGAACTAGCTGTTCCTCACTGCCCTTTGTCATTGATTTTGATCCAGGAGGGCTGATCTGAATGGCAGCAACATGGAAACTGTTATTGGTCAGGGTTTGAAGACTACGGATGGCCTGGCAGTGGACTGGGTTGCCAGGAACCTCTACTGGACAGACACAGGGCGCAATACCATTGAAGTGGCTAGACTGGATGGAAGCTCCAGGAAAGTGCTGATCAATAACAGCCTGGATGAACCTCGAGCCATTGCTGTCTTTCCCAAGAAGGGGTAGGTTTGGGGTTATTGGTGGGGCAGGGGAAAGGGCTGCACAGAGGCAGGCTGGTAGAGGAGGTTGTGGGAGGAAGAAGACATGTGCTATGTGAATCTGCAAGTACCAGTAAGGGGTTGACTCTGAGTGACTTGCAGTTGTCAGGCAGACAATGAATTTGAAGGTTGGGCAGATAGCAGGCTACAGACTGTATTATCTTTTTTGAACCTGAAGAATCTGGCAGTTTCATTCATAACTAAAACTTTCCTTAGGCCAAATGAAATGGTCTTCTCTTCTTACACTTGCCTTTTATCTCTTCAGGTATCTCTTCTGGACAGATTGGGGTCACATTGCTAAAATTGAACGGGCAAATTTGGATGGCTCTGAACGTAAAATCCTGATTAACACTGACCTAGGATGGCCCAATGGATTGACTCTGGATTATGACACCAGGAGGTCAGTGAAAGATTTTCGTATACTTGCATAGGGTTAAGGGATGTAATGAATTTTTTAGCACTCTTAGCTTCATTTATTGGAGTAGCACTGTGGGTTTGGGTTTGGTTTTGGGGTGTTTTGAGGCTTTCTTCTATAGCTTTTATTTCCTGATCCATCCTCTGATTCCGTGATCTTGGTCAATAAATGACTGGAAAGTAAAGAGAGGTTGTATAGATGGAAGCTCACCTCTTTCCCTTTGCCTTCAGGATATACTGGGTGGATGCTCACCTTGATCGCATAGAGAGTTGTGACCTCAGTGGGAAGCTACGACAAGTGTTGGTCAGCCAGATGTCACATCCTTTTGCTCTGACACAGGTGAGAAGGTTTTCCTGCTGCCACCATTCTCCCTGGTGTATTGATGAGTTTGTACAGTGGAGTTTGGGAACAGGGAAGTGTTCCAGTCTGAGGAAACCAAGGTGGCTGAGGGGATTTTACTTAAATCTTCTCTGGAGCTAACAAAGGAAGTTTGTCTGAACAGTGGGGTGTACACAGTCATCTTCTTTACAGTAAGAGGGTAAGGGTTTGAAAAGGCCTTTGTTTTGGGCCTTCTGCCACTGGGATATGTTTTTTTATGGGCACCCTTTGTCTACATGACTAAATATGCTAATAATGGCTGTGATTTTTCTTTGCTGTCTCCCTGAGCAGCAGGACAGATGGATATACTGGACTGACTGGCAAACGAAATCTATCCAGAGAGTGGACAAATACTCTGGGCGGAACAAAGAGACAGTCCTAGCCAATGTTGAGGGATTGATGGATATCATTGTGGTTTCTCCTCAGAGACAGACAGGTAAATAGAAGGACCTTGATTCAGGCAAATTCTTATTGTAGACCAAAAGAACTCTAGAACTACTGCACTATTGTGGATGTCAAGTAAGGATGACATTCTTTTTTATGCTCAAAATACTAACTCATCTTCCCTTAGCTCATTCTTTGTCTGCCTGTGACTTTTCAGCCAAGCACATCTTGATGGTGTTCACTCAACATTGTGTTAAACCAGAAGAACGTGAGGTTTTTGGGTTTTTTATCTCTGCAACTGTGTTGTCTGGGCTTCTGTCTAAAGATTTCCAGTACCTTCCTTTCAAGACTGCCCTAATGCAATTCAGTGTTTGGCTATTGTCATCACTTTCTTAGCAATCAGATGATGGGCATATGCCAAAAACATAATAACTTGCTGGATTTCTAAGACGTATTTCTGGCTGAGCAGAAAAGAAGGTTGTTGTTCTGAGCCCCCTTTTTGTTCAGATGTAACATATTTAGAAAATTTTTTGTTCCTTCCAGGTAGTAATGCTTGTGGAGTGAACAATGGAGGCTGCACTCACCTCTGCTTTGCCAGGGCTTCTGACTTCGTCTGTGCGTGTCCAGATGAGCCAGATGGGCGGCCCTGTTCTACGAGTGAGTTTATTGAGTGTCACTTGGGTAGTAGCTTCCGTAAGTGAGCCACTGCTACTGCTTATGCAGTGGCAACCAGAGCAGCTGAGGCTGTCCAGTGTATAGATCTTACACAGTCATGTATTGGAACCGAGGCCAGTGGTTGTGAGTGATAGAGCCTTCTTGTCCTTTCTGCTGACAGACTGGGCTTGAGATGGGAAGGCTGCTCATACAAGATATAAAGAGTTTTGGAAATGGCCTAGACAAGCCTGTCACACTTGTTTATCTGCCCCACAAAGTTGGAGTCCTACTTATTTTTCTCTGTTGTTCTAGTTCCTGGTGTGGTGCCTCCTGGTCCGGAACCAACCAGTGTAAGTGAGAGGAGTCAAACACCACCTGGCAGACTAGGTACTTCAACAACCAAACCTCTCACATCTCTGGAAACAGTGGAAGGAAAGTAAGTGTTCTTGTTCTCTTGGGGTGTGAAAGCCCCAGCTTTTGCAAGGCTCCACATGCAAGCCCCCTCTGGTTACAATAATCTGAATATACTTATCCCTAGCTAAAGAGGATATTCCAGCTCCAGATTTCACATTCTTAATGAATGAAACTATTATGACAAAGATGCAGTTGAGATGGCAAAGAGCCATTGTTGAGATGGCAAGAAACAGGTGGAGATCCTTTGTGTCCGTTTTGTTGAAATGTGTGTGTAGTCTGACTGTACTGAAGTGTTTAAATCTGCCTTTAGCTCATGTATCATTCATTTGATTGATTTTTGAGTCTCCTAATTTTGAGAAGTTATTTCTGAAAGGAGGACAGAGGAGTCTGTTGCTTCAATTCACTGAAACATCTCAGACTAGACCCACGCAGCTGAGAAAATGGTTCTGCCCTGGGAAGGGCATAGCTTGCTTGGGGCAGAACAGAATCTTTGCAGCTCTAACATTTAATTTACAATGCAGGTAGTTAAGAGACTCTTTTCTGCTAATTCCCTGCAGCCTGCTATTTATACAGCTCAGCAAAAGAGTAGCTCCATAGTATATGGTTGAGTTATTTACAGAGCAAAACTTGCACTCAGCTGAGTATGATTTATTGGATGGAAATGTCTTCATGCTGACTCGGAGACATTTTGATTTTTGCTTCAGCACTGATGCTGAAATTTGTTTCCTGAAAGATATGAGTACACTTGTGTACCTGAGAGGCAAATCTAGAATGAATTGGATATCAAGATAGTGCAGACCGGTAATGATCTATCCATGCACACCCCCTACATATATGTGTGTATAGTTATCTTTTCTCTGGATGCAGAATACGGAAGAAGAAAAAGGAAGATCTGTGGTTTTTAACTGGAAAAGGAAGGGTTATCAGTGCTAGCCCATTCCATCTTTTTTTTTGATGCCTTTATTACTGTTGATTCTACTTTCAGTAAATAACTGAAATGTCCTTCTGTCTTTCAGCTGCTCTGACAAAGATGCCAGGCAAGGCTTGTGTACTCGTGCCAATGAGGCAGTGTTGGCCACCATGGGTGAGTTGCTTTTCTTTAACTCTTCTTCACCAGGGTTGTTCCTCCAGATGTGCTCAGGGCATTCCAATCCATAGTGTCTGAAACTGAAATTTCTGAAACTCAGACTTGAATTGCTCAAATGCTCTCTGAGTAGAGCAAAATGCCTCTATAGGCATTCATTAACCTAGGTGGGGACTTTACCAAGTGACTCTTTGGTCTGAAGAATAGTTGTCTTTTCTTTCATCCTATACCTCATCCACTGGGCTCTTCCCATTAAGAGTACTCTATTTCTCTGTCCCCTTTGTGTTTAGTTGAAGATGGTTGACTGTAGTAATTGCTTCCCAATGAAGGAGTAACCTGTCAGCAAGGGGGGGTCTAACTCCTCCATTACAACCCCATTACAAAGATCTTGACACTGCTTGGTTTGTTGGGGCCTGGGTGGGGGGAAAGTTGACCATGTGTTTGTTTCCTATGAAGCCAAACAAAACCCTCTGCTAAACCTTAATGTGTTGACATTTTAGTTTACATACTTCTGTATGGGTAAAGCCCCAGCATCAGGCATTACACCAAGGTCAGTATTATCCAGTGAAATATAACATGAGTGCATAAATTACTCTTGGTATTCACTTTCAGGAGAAGGACTGCATGTCAGCTACATTATTGGAGGTTTTCTCAGCATCTTGTTTATTTTGCTGCTTATTGCTGCTTTAATTATATATAGGTAAGTGATCTTTTTTCCCTCTCCTGGCCAATTGTAAACTCTTGAGTTGTAGGAGAAGGTCTCTGAAAGCACTAAATCTTTCTTTATTGCCATTTACAGTCCTTCTTTCCTCCATTGGAAAGAGTGCTTGATGATTTTATTTTCAAGGTTTGAGTCCTGTGCCTCTAAAGTGTTGGTCATGCAGTTCTACTATTTGAAAGCTTATTGGCTAAATTTTCTGCAGAGAGCTTATGAGTTACGGACAGGAATGTGAGATAATTCGTATCTCAGTAAATATGTGAGCTCATGTGCTTTCTGACAGATAATTTCACCAGTTACTGGCATGACAGCCTTTGTGATTACATGGCCGTGCCTTGCTGTACTGGTAGCTAGTAAATGGACTCATTCCTGAAGAGCCAGGTGAAGCCAGGATTCTGTCTTTGAGGGACAGTGGAGATGGCTGAAGCCATCCATTTGCTGAGCGTTCAGGAACTTTGGATCCTGGCAGGGGGTTCCTGTGACTTTTCTGACAGCTCTCTCCCTCTAGGCATAATAAGTCCAAGTTTACGGAGCCTGGCTTGGGGAACCTAACCTACAGTAATCCTTCATATCGGACATCTACCCAGGAGGTGAAGATTGAATCCATTCCCAAACCAACCATGTACAACCAGCTGTGCTACAAGAAAGAGGTAAGAACTGCTACTAAGGACATGGGAGCTCATCTCAAGCTGCTGTTGAGTATTACAGGCCTCACTATGTGGAAGGATTCCAACTTGTGAGCATTGACTTTTAGGACACAGAAGGACAGCTTCATTGAATTGTTCAGACTGCTATGGACATCAGCCAGCAGCACTTCTTCCCTAGTGAGCTGTAGTGAATTTGACCTGTCTCAAGTTCTCTGCTTCTTACCCACTCCCACAGTGTCTTGTATTTCATTTGCATTGAGTGATGGCCCTCAAAAGTGCATGAGCCAATTGACATTGTCTTCTTAGGATACAGGTCCTGGTTAGTGACTGTTGCACCAAGGCTGCTTTGGACAGTCACCAGGGGAACCAGGCAGCCAGAAGGGGTTTGGTAACAAGAAAGTGGCTCCTGGCTGTGCATGGCCTGAAAGGGGTGGGATAGGGGAAAAAAATAGAGGCCTTATTAAATAGAGCATTTTAAAGGCCCTTCAGAGGTCTGTACTTTGTGCCACATGATGGAGAGAGTTTAATATATCTTGCAGCACTTAGTTTCTCCTCTCTTTTCTCCTCAGAAGCTTTCTTATCACTCAGATAGCTTCTCATCTTCCCTCTTCTGATTTCCGTCCACATCCTCACGTCAGGTATCACTACTCTGTGTGTTTGATCTTGCCTCCCTCACTCAAGCTCTGCTGTGTGGCTCAAGCGCTGTCCATACTAATTGCTCTTTCTTGGTCTCCTCCTCTGCTTTTATGTCCTTAAACTAGCTCTACTGTCTGTCAGGAACATATAAGTAATTTTCTATGGCAGATTTTTTTGGTCTGGGCTTTGGCTACTCATACTCACTGATATTTTAAAAAGACAATTTCTGTTAGGACTATTTGTGATTATCTGTTAGATCGCTTGGTTCGTCTGGCAGGGATCACAGACTTACAAAGGGAAGAGTTTTCCCTTACTGTTTTTCAAATGTACTTGTAGCTATATTTTATTAAATCCTAGGATTTTTCCCCTCCAGAGGAGCTGGGAGCCTCAGGAAAGAAAAGTAAACAATAACTATCTGCTGCTGTGGAATGCAACAGGTGCATCTTCCATTGGTCCATGTGAATCGTTTTCAATTAATGACCAATCACAGCCACCTGTGCCAAGGCTGTGAGCAGACACAGAATTTTGTTATGCATTCTATTCTATTCTTGTTCTTTGTAGCCTCCTGATATTTCTTTTCTCTATGTTATTTTAGTAGTTTTAATGTAGCATTTTAATATAATATATAACATAATAAGTCAACCTTCTGAAATAGAGTCAAGCCTTGTGTCTCCACACACAGAGAGTTCATCACAACAGGTACTATCCAATAGATTCCCCAAATCTTCAAGCCATTTTAGCCCCATCTTTTAAGGATAAGCCAGTATTATTTATCTGGGAATCCAAATCCTTTCTGTTTTTTTCTTAATTCCAATGCTCCTTGATATACACAGATGTATATTTCCCCACTGCCTCCACTTTCTCCTCAGGGATAGATCAGGTGCTCCTTATTTCCTAGTGAGCCAAGTTAGATTTCACTATTTTCATCTCAGTGTGGTCCCTATTGCCTCTGATCATTTTCGTTGTTTCCCTATAATATCCTTCCCCTGTGCTGCTGTGAGACTTGGACTCAACAGTGGTATTCCAGCTGTGCTTTGCTGAGAGGTGAATCTAGAATGACTCAGATGTAAAGATTTGCAAACCTAGAATTGATCTTCTGCCTACTTTTACCATGTTTTCTGTTTGTTTCTGCTTCCCATTTTGTTTGGTGGTTTTTTTTCCTTCTTTTTTAGGCTGTGTTCTTACTCTTTTCTGTCAGGGAATATGTATAGTTGAATGAGAAGAGCAGCCTCATCCTCATTCTGCTTCCATGACTGAAGAATCATAGAGTTTGGAATGAGAGCCCTTGCAGGGAGGGCTAGTCTGGGGGTGGTTCCTAAAGAACTAAAGGAAGCTTAAAATGGGTTCTGTCATTGTGGCAGTTAAAGCCAGTGTCTGTTTACATGGAGGTCCAGCTCTTTGTCTGCTTCCTTGTCTTCATTCCAGCTCTGCATTGCTCTTTGCCATATTTTTCCATAGACGTATTTTTTCATTCATCTGTCTTCTCCCTAGACTGGTCCTGACCACAGCTACACTAAGGAGAAGATCAAGATTGTGGAGGGAATATGCCTTTTATCCAGTGATGATTCTGAATGGGATGACCTTAAGCAGATTCGGAGCTCCCGTGGAGGGATCCTTCGGGACCACGTCTGCATGAAGACAGATACGGTCTCTATCCAGGCTAGTTCTGGTTCACTGGATGACACCGAAACTGAGCAGCTGCTGCAGGAAGAACAGTCTGAATGCAGCAGTGTTAACACAGCAGCAGCCACTCCTGAGCGGCGGGGCTCACTCCCAGATACAGGCTGGAAACACCAACGCAAGCCCTCCACAGAGAGCGAGGTCTAAAGTACACGTGACTTTGGAAACCGTTGTACCCTCCCTACCCTCTGCTCGCACAAAAACCACAGGACTCTGCCTGCCTGGCAAGGAAGGGCACAGAGACCAGCCTCTCTTGCAAGGGGCCTGAGACTGGGACTGCCTTTCAGCATGGAGCTTGGGCAGCTGTGTTGTTGTGTTTGGAGAAGGAGGACGGGTGGGTTGGTTGGAACCCAGAGACCCTTTTGACTCATTTTCACTGTGTGTGGTTTATTTATATGTTCCCTTTTCCTGGAAGTTGCCACGTTAACTTTCGCAGTGACTCGTCTGGCCTGAATCTGGTTCAGAGTGTCTGTTCCCTGGCAACCTGCAAGTCCTGTGTCATCCAGCTCACGGTCAATGCCCATGAAGAGAGCAGAGCTGCCTCATTGCTGGCTCGTGGTCACAGAAGTACCCCTGGTCATTCCAGCACTAGCAGCACTCTTTGAGGCTTTGTGTTGAGGGGTCTTTGACATGAGAGAGGTCTTGGAATAGATGGGATATACTTTGGGGCTCAAGAGGACACTGACACAGCATCAGGTCACCTTGTAAAGACATAAAGAGGATAACCACAGTTGCCAAGACTCACTTCATGAGAGTATCACTGCTTACTTTCATATCTGCTACTAAAAACTTTAAGGAATGCTCAGATTGGAGCACTGTGTCTGTTGCTGGCAGTGGACACTGCTCCTGTTCTCCCCTTTCCTGTTAAAACACGTTTCTACTCTGGAAAAACAAGAGTCAGCAAATCCCCCTTTCACAACTGTTCCCTGTGGGTACTAGAGTCTGAGTGCTGAACTTCAGACAAGAAGAAATTGATATTTTACTTAGCTCTACAGAGCTAATGGGGGGAAATGGATCTCAGTAAGACCTAAATTTTACTGATCTTTGCATAACTGATATATAAAAAAAGAAAAAGAAAATTTGCTAGGTCCCCACTAGTCCCAATTCTGCAAGGTCCCAATTAGTTTGGCCTTTAGGACCTTTGATTACCATAATAAGGGAAAAGAGAAAATTCCTAGGTCGAGTCTTTCCCAGGAGAATGCTCAGTGCTGACAGTTAGGAACTGCTTTATTACTAGGCTGAGCCCATTTGACCTAGAATGGGAGACAATAATCAGGAGCTGCAAGGGCCATTCTAAGTAGTTGTTTATCAGAATTGCACTTTAAGTTCTTCTGTTACCACAAAATAGCTCTCCTTGCCAATATAATTTTTCCCATCAGCTGCATGAGCTTTAGTTCTCTGGCCTCCAAGACTCTTACCCTTTAGGGAATGTCATCCTACCCTTGCAGCCAAAACCCAGCAGCATTTGGAGCTGGGTCCTGCATGCTCCCAAGGACTATTGCCACCTTTTCATACTCCTTTGTCATCTGTTTGTTCAAAAAGAAAAAAGAGAAAATATTGCTTGACACTTGTTCAAAAACAAAATGTATATTAACCCCTCAAATCGCATGGTAAAATATTAAGCATTGAGTCAGATCCTTGGAAGCAGAACTTCCCTGAGAAGAATTTCTCACTGCAAACTTTGTAACCTCTTTTATCGTGTGGAAGGAGGTCAAGTACATTCCCATCCATGGTGTAAAGAGAGCAAAACATACACTGGGGTGTGGTTCAGAGGTAGGGGGAGGGTACATCTCCCATGCAATATTTTTTTTCAGATGATTAAAAAGGAGAATCATCCTACACTGCTCGAACCTTATTTATATGCTAACAGGCCTGCTACCCCTGAAGAACACAACAGTTGCCAGTAGTTTGCCTGTACTTTTCACAGTAGAGGTAGCTTTGGGATACATGGGGGAAGGTTGCAGCTTTGACCTGGCTAGGTGGCTTGAGACTCTGTCCCTAACTGCACCATTGGGCTGACTGGAGTATATTCCTGTGGAAAATGAACTGGAGCTAAGGCTTGGATTTCCCTGTGTTAATGTGGGACTCTTCCCTATTCCCAGAGGGATTTATTTTTATTTTTTTAAATTAGATTTTTATTTAATTATTTATTTGTTTTACTCCAGCCTTGGAAGCATTGATTTTGTTGGGCAGAGGCACTTTTGGATTGAGGTGTGGACTTGACTGGGAACTGAGAAAGGAGTGCATATCACTGACATGGACACTGCCCATCTAAGCCACTTCACGCAGGGACAACACCAGAGGGCTCAAGCATAAGCAGAAGAATCAATTTGAGCAGAAACCATATGTAGGGGCAGAGGCATCAGGGCTGGGAGTGGGGAGATGGGAGAGGAAGGCTCTGACCTGTAAGAGAGCAGGGTTCCTTAGGGTTTTGGAATGGGTTGTTCTTTTTTCTCCCAGTAGCTTATGTGACCATGCACCAAAATCCTGAGGTGGGACAGGGGTGAAGGGAAACATCTGCCCAGACCTGTCACTTAAGATTAAGTCAGCCTGTCAGAGTAATTGCTGTCCAAGTTGCAAGTGTGGAAGGGAAAGGAAAAACATAGTCAGTCTTTTCAACAACTTATGGTGTTTGTGATCTCCACCTTGATCAATATTCTCTGCTGCTTCTTAGGAGAGACCCTGTGCACTCCAGCCTAACAACCATTCATAACTGCTCTCTGCTCCCTTCCTCAAATGGTTATGGTGAAAAGGAGCAATAAAATGTCACACAGCCTCCTCCACAAGTAAGGGGGGCAGAAATTCGTGTCTTTCTTTCTAGAGACAGCCCCAGTGAGATGCTGCCTTGGGGATGCATCGTGGTTCCCCATTCTGGGGAACAGAAGACCCTCCTTGCACTTAGGATGTTAAGAATGTAGAAAGGCTACTGGAGGATGATCTCTTGAGCACTGATTTACTGTGTAAAAAGCAAACCTCTCTCCTGTCTGTCCCAAGCTAACGTCAGTGATTTCCGTGTGTTCCTGTGTAATGGTTTTAACGTTACTCACTGGAGACATTGGATTTTCTGGAGTTATTTAACCACTGTGTTCAATATTTTAGGGGTTGATGAAATTTAATATAAATTTAGCTTTTCTTAACCACTCTGCCTGGCTTTTGGTTGTGAATCATACGTGTTATTTGGACTCTCCTTTGAATGAGGAACTCCTAAACCTGCTCAGACAGAACCTCAACATTGCTTCATTTGAGAGGAGCAATAAGATAGGAACAGACTTGGGTTCTTAGAAAGCTGAATGTAGCATACACTGTACCCCTATTGTTCTGAATCAAGGACATAATATCTGTACTCACTTCTGCAGATTCTTTCACACATGTAATACTTCTCACTCTGCCCCAGCTTGCTTTTTCACCCCCTCTTTAACATGGCAACAGCAGAAGGGGCTGTTCATTTTGGCGTGTATTAGGACTATAGAGATCTCAAGCCTCTGCTGAGTGGAAAAGTAAGTTCTGAAGAAGAGCTGCTTTTTCGTTCTGTAGGGGGTTTTATTTAAGTTTCTGTTGCCTTTTTTTTTTTTTTTACAACCAAGAGTTTAAATAGTGCCAAAGGCTGAGTAATGAATGAAACGTCCACTAATAACTGACACTGCACTACTGGTGCTAATCTTGTAACACATTCTGTCCCTTTCTGATGAAAAGAACTACCTAAAACATTTAAAACAACTGTATTTCTGCTCATTTCACAACTGAAGCACAGTGCAGAAGCCATTTCAGTCAGGTCATGAAAAATTGCCTCTCTTCCAAAAAACTGATGGTGCTCACATGGCATGGTGGGGAGAGGGCAGTGTAAGATTAATTGCGGTTGTTGCATGGCATTCTGCTGTCCCTTGTCTTCTATTCTGATCACCCATAAAATTTTTTCCTTCAATTTTTTAAGGTGAAGTGAAGAAAAGGAGAGAAAACACACTGTGCTCCAAAACCAGTTCACGGAATAGGTCAGGGTGGAGAGGACACTGTGGGTCACCTGAGCTAACCTCTCTGATCAAGCAGGGTCACCCCAGAGCACATGGCACAGGACAGTGTCCAGACAAATCCTGTGATCTCCAGTGAGGGAGACTCCACAGCTTCTCTGGGCCATTTCCCAGTGCACGGTCACCTATACAGTAAGGAAGTTCCTCCTATTCACGTGGAATTTCCTGTGCATCAATTTCTGCCCGTTTCTTCTTGTCTTATGGCCGGGCACCACCGAGCAGAGCCTGGTTCTCCTCTGACAGCCTCTCTTCAGATACTGACAGACACTGGTGAGGTGCCCTCTCACTCGTTTCTTGAGTTGCTGCTTTGCAAACTCACTGACCATAGCAAAGAGGAGGCCCATTCCTCTGTAACAGGACCTTCCCCAAAGCAGAATCCATCAGCTCCGAGACGCTTTAGCCCTTTGCCAACGGGTCCCGCGGCCTGACCCGGCTGCCTTAGGACGTGCGCGCCTCGCCAGGCGCTGCTCCGGCCGTAGAGAGCCCGGCAGCCGCCTCCTGCACCCTCCCTGGGGACACGGCGGCGGCCGAGAGAGCGGACGGGCACGTCTCGGTAGTTCCCGAGCAGGGTGCGTCCCGACCGGACCGGGCCGGGCCGGTACCGCGGCGGGGCGCGTTCCCGCGGCGGGGCGCGTTCCCGCGGCGGGGCGCGTTCCCGCGGCGGCCCCGCCGCTGTCTCGGGAGCACGCGCTGCGGCTGCCGGATTCAAATAGGCCAATAAGAGGTGCGGGCGCGGGCGGGGCCGGCAGCGGCCAATGGGCGCGGCGGACACTGGGAGGTGCGGGCGGTGCTGGCGATTTCAAACCCCGCCGAGCAGCCGCCGGACCGTCACCGGCCCGACCCGCCGGGCCCAGGTGAGACCCGCTGTCCTTGTCCTTTCCCCGGTGAGCTTCGGTCCCTTTTCCGTCCGCTGTCTCGCGCCTATGGGAGGCTGGCTAGGCCTTCCTCCGCCGCCAGGCCCGAGCCTCCCCGTTTCTCCCGGGGACCGTGTCGAGGCGTAGTCCCCGCGGTGAGACATCTCCCCACGGGGGTGGCCCGGGCCCGCGGGCTGCGGCGGCATCCGCCCGCAGAGCCCGGCGGCGTGAGGATTGCGGCTGGTAGTGGGGAGAGGCCGCGGCCTGTACCGCGCCGCGGAGGTGCAGCTCGCTCAGGCCGCCGCCAGCCGGGGGGCGATGGGGCCGCTGGGAGCCGCGGGCTCGGCGGCTCCGCCAAGGCCGCCTCCGTTCGTCGTGGGCTTGGGGCTGCCGGTGGGGGCCTTCCGTGGGAGGCGGCCGGGGGAAGGGGGCACCCCTTAAGGGAAACGCGGACCGGGCGCCTTCTGTCCCCTGAGGCTGCGTGCAGCATCGGTTCCCTCTAGAGTGTCCTAAGCAAAACGTTCTCTGGGGTGATTGTAGTCCTAAAACCAAAAGCGCGAGCTGATCTCTTATTTCTGCAGCTGTGTTGTTGGGTGCGAGTGTTAAGATTGCCGGAGCCCCTCGCCAGGAGGTGCTTCCTGTTGAATCCTCTCTGGTATAATGTGAAGAAGAGCTGGGTGGAAGTGTGTGTCCCATGCTTCTGCGCACACACCTTTCCCGCATTTCATTTTGATTTTGTTTCTGAAACAGATAGACAGTACTTTTCAAGTTGGCGTGCAGAGGGTTTTCCTCCTGAGTCTGGACGTTTTTGGGTCGGAAGACAGAGGCTGAGGACTGATTCTTCTGTGTGCCTTAGGCAAACCAGGATTTTGGTCTAAGAATAAAAAATTTTTAAAAAATCATATGTGCTACAGTTTTCTAACTGATTTGTATTTGTTTTGTATCATCTATCTGATTATGCTGCAGTTTTTGCTGATTTTAGTGTTTGTTTTTCTGCTGAACTGCAGTGCAAGTTGCCTTGTGCAGGTGAGAAAGGGATGAGTCGTTGTCGGGATGTTGAGCTACCAGCAATGGGAGCCCTTTCTAATGTATTACTTTTGTATCAAAGAAAGTGATGCTATAGGCTTTCAGTGAATCTATTAGTTTGAAACTGTAAAGCTGCTTAGTTCAGAATGCATGGAGTCTTGAATATTGGAGTATTCTAAAGGTGTACTCACAGAAGTCTGTTACTAAAACTTTGAGACAGGTTCACCTCAGAAGGTAGAATAATTGAGTGCAAATTGCCTGTATAGTTTTGACTCTTTAGTGTCTGTTGCGACGAACTCTCTGCGTGTGGAGACACGAGGCTTGACTCCATTTCAGAAGGCTGATTTATTATGTTAAATATTATATTAAATACTACATTAAAGCTATACTAAAAGAACAGAGATCAGAAGGCTACAACAAGAACAGAACAACAAAATCCTGCTACTCCTCACAGCCTTGGCACAGGTGGCTGTGATTGGTCATCAATGGAAAACAATCCACATGGACCAATCATGGATGCACCTGTTGCATTCCACAGCAGCAGATAGTAATTGTTTACATTTCTCTCCTGAGGCTCCTCAGCTTCTCAAGAGAGGAAAAATCTCAGCAAAGGATTTTTCATAATATCATGGCTACAAGTGTCCAACGTGAGATCAGTTGATTGTACAAAATTTAGAATTTGGTTTGGTTTTCTTGCCTCAGGCTTGGCCTTTCTTTAAACTTCACTGTTTTGATAGCTTCCCCTCATATTGGACTTACAGATTCACCATTTGTTTTTTTTTTTTTTTCTATTTCAAGAATTGTGGTAGGGCTAAGCCTTATAAGCAACACTGAGAGAGTGATATATCAAAAAGGGCCTTTAGGTACCACAGACTGTTTCTGAACAAATGGTTGCAGATGTATTGGGAGTAATTCTCAAAAACACCAAGTTGGGTAACTAGGTGACCTGCTACAGGAGAAATTATGTGACGACTTGATGAAAAAAAATTGAATTTTAGAAGTATGGGAGTTATTCAGACTGCTTTAGATCTGTATCGATGGAAGGTTTCTCCCTTGATATTGTAATATGGAAAAGGGAATGCATGGTGATGGAACCTGATTCCTGGTTCTTGTACACATAGGACTTGTATTTTGCCAGACTTAACTTTCAGGCTGGCTCTTGTCCTTCCCCTTGTATGGGCCTTGCATGTAAGCTGGCCTCTGCCTCTGAGAACTTGGTCTGCCACAGTGGGTCTGTGCTCTCATGCCAGAGTCTGCTAAAATGCAAAGATCTTGTTTCTGTTTAATAGTCCATGCAGAAAAGCTGAATTTCAGTGTAATGTTATAAATTGTTTCACTTTGTGTGTTTGATGATAAATTTACAGCTGAAAAGCACTTAGTATGTTGTACGCTCCTTCAGTCAACTTTTTTTTTCTACCCAGTTGTCACCTGCAAATGCAGCACTTCTGTTTGCCCCTTCTTATACATCACTAAAGCACATCTTGAACAGTACATCCAATTAGAAACTGCTCTGCATATTTTGTGGAGTAGAGATAACTAATCTTAATTATCTAATTTGGAGGATTTTGTTGTGTAGGATGCGTGACTGGAAGGACACTTGAGAGATGTAAATGCTTGCAAACCTTTAAATAAGGTTTTCAAAACCACGGTCAGTGTTCATCTGGTTCCCTTTTTTCCTGTTCCTACCTCTCCTCTGTTTCACACTACCAGCAGCTGTCCTTATGTGATTTATAAAATAAATGTATAAGCGTGTATTGCTAATTTGTTTGTAAACTATTTACTGTAAATGGTTTGTTAAGTCTGCCAGAGTAGGATGGCATTAAAGCCATTTGCATCTGTAGCAGAGTGGTTGGTTTAAGACAATATAGTCTGAGACTAACATGGTGTTGCTTTGCTGATGCTTTGTTGTAGACTATTCCCAGTGGTTCGTGTTATATGGGTGGAGTTCTGAGGTGACATTGAAAAGCCTTGTACCCTTTTGTTTAAACTAAATATTGCCTTGCACTGGGCAGTATTGCTCTGGCTTGTTTGAATAGTCTCTTGACCTGAGCATTTGTACATTGTCTGGGTTGTCTACGACAGCTCGGTTGCTGCCAATGTCAGATGTTGAAAAGCAGAAGCTGCTGTGCATGTTTGTGCCTTCCTGTTGCAGGGGGTAGAGTGAGGTGGTGAGAAAAGTAACTTGGGCAATTATTCAGTGGGAAGCATGGCTGGTGCTGGTGGTGCCTGGAAGAGGCTTCTTTCTTCAGCTAGCTAAAAAGATGGCTGGAGAAATACAGCCTTACATCACATGGCTTGATGCTCTTGTGAGGAGGAAGCAAGTGACACCCAGTTCCCACCATACCAGCTTCTTCAGTTGCTATTGTCGCTATAGAAAAGGCATCTCAAAATGTCAGACGATGGGCTAGAGAGATTGCTGATGAATCAGCTCCAGCAGAGTGCTGTCATTACACATCTTGCAGCAGCATGAAATGCGGGGATGGTATGGTGCCAGGCTCTTCGTTCGTATCTTCTTTGGAAGGCACTGTTTCTCCTTCCCCACGGCTGGCCTTGTTCCTGCTGTCGGGTTTCAGAACCGCTCCCTCCTTCAATTAGGGATTGCTGCATGATTGGTGGCCTGGGATAATGTCTGCTGCATGCTCGGGTTTGACCGCAGCTCCCTCTGTTAGAGCAGTGATTGTTCTGACGGGCATGGGCGTTCGGGGTATGACTCATGAGGACAGCAGGCCTGGCGGGCCAAGCTGCTCACTGGTCGCCGGCCCGGCGGCCCCTTCTTTGCCGAAAGGCGGCACCGCGGCCGCCGGCAGGGCCGAGCAGCGCCTGCTGCCGCTCGCCCGGCCCCGCGGGGGCGGCTCGGCGGGCGGCGCTGGCAGGGCCCGACCCGGCCCGGCCGCGGGGCGGGGGCGGCGGGCACAGACAATGCCGGGCGGGCGGGCGGCCTGCTCGCCGTGCCCGGCCGCGGCCTGCGGCCAGACACCCGCGGAGTGGGAAACGTCGCCGGGCTGCGGGGACGCCTCTAGGGCTGCGGGCAGAAGTGGAGGGGGTTTCCTTCTGGAAGGTGCTGGGGATGGCGGGGGCGCCGCTAGTTGGAGAGGGAAGCCGTGCTGGAGGGAGCTTCCCTCGGAGAAGGAGGGAGCTAGTGATGTCTCCGCGGGAGCTTTCCTTCATCAGCAGTTCAGGCCGTCCTTTTAAAGAAAATCGCATGAGCCTTTTCACGCCTGAGCTTTGTAAAACCTCTTGAGAGGTGGGGGCCTTTGCAGCTTACAAGCAGAGTCCCACTGACATCTTTCACTCCCAACTGTCCACCCTTAGAATTATGTCAGTGCATGCCTGTGCACTTGCCCGTGTGTTGCCCTTTTCCCTTTTGCCCTTCTCGGCTCCCTAAGACTGGCTTCGCTCCAGGCTTACCCATGCAGTTACAAATTGCTTTTGGTCCTAGCTGTAGCAGAAGGTCAGTTTATTCTGCATTTTCTCTCACTTTCATATGAATGGAAAAGAACGGCCCTGGTTACTTTCAGAGTGCATGTATTAAAATGTATTTTTCCAGATAAATTAGGTATTTGTATCTCTTACGAGCAGCTTGTCGTTTGTGCTATTAAAATTTCACTGAGGTGGGTTAGGACATACAAGTTAAAGCAGGCAAGAGAGAATTTAACGCTGTTTGTTTTTGAATGCCATTTCATTGCTGCTGAAACAGTAGCTTCCCTTTAGCATGCATTTCTCCTTTTTCTTATTGTTATTCTGAGGTCTTTATTTTTTTCATCATGGGTCTGTATATCTTGCAACTTACAATTCATCTGTCAATTGAAAATGCCAGCCTTTAAAATTATATTAAATTTTTATTGCTTACTGTGTTAGGATTACTCAAGTCTTCAACATTTTTTCAGAGCTACTTTATGTTGTGTCTAATGGGAAGGTTTGGCTGGCAAATGAAAAAAAATACCCGTGTTGGGCTAAACTTCTAAGAAAGTGAAACTTTGTCCTTTCAGAGCCAAAGAACAAATGTGACCCAAAACTGCCATTAAACAAATAAACAAATAATTCTTTCTTCTGAGAAAACTGTGGCTGCACTACCAGAGATCTGTCTGCTAAGAAGTGTAGTTTTATCTGAAATGTGACATCCAACTATATACACTCCAAATTTATGCCCTGTTGTATAGGAGCATTTCAAACTGATTTTTCCTTTTTAAAGACCTGTCTTGATTTTTCTGAACTTATTCTTGAGTAATGCTTTTGAGAACCTTTCAAATTATTATATATTTGATTATGTTCTTGTGCAACAGTAATATTCAATAGGTGAAATAGGGAGAATATTCATAGGTGAAATACTTCTCAATAGGGAGAAATAGACAATAATTATCAATAAATAGCTGGTTTTGTTTAGCATAAAATGGCTTCCTAGTTTGCTATTGTGCATCTGTAGAAAATGGTCTGGAAGCTGACCCTTCACAATAAAATACAGTGATAGGTTGTAGCTGTGATATTTATTAAAAATCTTAAGATTTTTTTTCTCCTCCTGAGAAGCTGAGGAGCCTCAGGAAAGAAATGTAAACAATAACTGTCTGCTGCTGTGGAATGCAACAGGTGCATCTTCCATTGGTCCATGTGGATTGTTTTCCATTGATGACCAATCACAGCCACCTGTGCCAAGGCTGTGAGCAGTCACAGAATTTTGTTATGCATTCTATTCTATTCTTGTTCTTTGTAGCCTTCTGATATTTCTTTTCTCTATGTTCTTTTAGTATAGTTTTTATATAGTATTTTAATATAATATATAACATAATAAATCAGCCTTCTGAAACAGAGTCAAGCCTTGTGTCTCCACACACAGAGTACACTGCAACAATTGGTGATGAATGTATGCTTCAAAAAAAAAAATCACATTTTAGAATGCTAATGGTGTAAGGACTTTTCCTTAGCATACTATAAGCTTATAAGTTAATGTGATTCAGCTCTACAAATTGTAGCAGGAAAAGCATTTATTTAGAAGTTAAGAGCTGTTCAGAGTAGTACATGGTGAATCCAAACTTTGATGTTTTCGTACTTTCTCGCAATCTTTTAGTGTGTTGATACATTTGTTTCCCAGACTTATATTCATTTGGGAATTCTCACTTTTACGTTTTAAATTCTTGCATTTGTGCTGCCTTGTACATGCTTTCCACTCTTGCTGCATTTTGCATGATCTCCCTTTAAAAGATCCTGTTCTTTCCTTGATGGTCTTCATTTTCTCACTGTTCTGTAATATCAAGGTGCCCTGCCAAGACCTGTCAGGAAAGATTTGTTATTCACCTCCACTACTGATTTCTTGGGTGACTTGCTTTTGGAAATGTTGCATTGACCACTTTTATGACAAGTGTCTCTCACAAAACTTACTTTGGCAGTTCAGTTGCTTGTTTTCTGGATTTTATCAAAATGAGTGTTCTTTCTGAAACACTTAATTCTGTTTGTTCCAAGTTGTGGCTCCAAAAAAAAAAAAAATCTATGTAGGTCAAACACTTCCTTGCTGCACATTCACTAGTAATAACAGAATTTAGCTGTGTTATTGTATAATGAGGCCACTTGCTATTTGGTTGTTGAGAAGTAATGGCTTGAGGTTTATGTGTCTTTGCAAAGAAGCTTTTAAGAAAAACCTTTTTGTCAAATGTGGGATACTCTGTGATCACACAGAATCCAGCGCCTTAATTGAAAAGAGAAACAATTGTCTTTTATTCTGTTAAATGCAAGATGTAGACAGTCCAAAATCTTGGCATTAGCAGACATGAGCAGTGATGAAGCTAGAAATACTGGATGTGTAAGAAGGAGCTTTCCCTCTGTGACCGTGGAATACTTTCTGCGAAACTGTCTGTTCTAGAGGGATTTGTAAATTACTGGGGGGAGTGCAATTTTATCACTATTTTTAGATGCCAGATTCAGTGCAGAAGGCGACTTAACCCATTTTGTAATTGAAGTATCGATTGTAGATGTTAATGACTAAAAATAGTGGGGGAACTGAGTTGACCAGACTGAAAAAAACCAGGTGAAACACTGTTTCATGGTGATTCAACTCCCTTCCCCACGTCTCTCTTAGAGCGTGTGATTCCCCTCAAGTTAAGCACATTATGATGTGGGAAGGGAAGTTTGAGATGCTGTAGTGTATCACTGCTGTACAAGCAAGAGGTTGTACTTTGTGGCAGTGAACTGTTGTGTAGGGGTAAGGATAAAAATAATTGTAAATCAGTATCAGTCTGGTAATGGACAAGCCTTTTTAGTGGAGTTGCTGTTGACTTTAGGGTTTGGGCTGAATTGAGGTTTGTAGTACTTGCTGCGTACTTGATTGAGGACTGTCCTATAGTAAGGCTTCCTTCCTTGGCAGGACAGATCTCTGGAGAGAAATAATGTTTCTTTTTATTATTGAAGTAGGAAGTTCATACTTCTGTCTGTTTTCTTAAAAAACAGTGTAGATGTCTAGTACAGGTGCCAAAATTTTATCCTGGTGTTTCTGTTGCTGGCATGTGTGTTCATGCTTTCTTCCCCTTTTGGTTTTTGTTCAGAATAACTACTATCCTTGTATTGTTCCTTATGTGTTCTTCAACAAAAAAAAGTATAAAGAGGCAATAGCTTGAATTTGTTCCAAGTTTGTGATTAAGAATCAGAGCTACCTAATTTTCTATAAAGTTCATTCTGCTTGTTCTTTGCAAAGGTGCGTGTGACTTTGGGGAGAGACTACTGCATCTATTTATGTTGTCTGCATCCACACTGAGGAAGTTCTCCATTATTTCTATATTGGTGCACTCAAATGAAGATATTCCTAATGCCAGTTTATACTGGCAAAGCTGTCTTTGCTGACAGCACTTGGCTGCAGAACTAACTTGAGGGATGGGTAATTTTACTGCTGGAAACTGTTCGCTGTAGGGCATGCCTGCATCCATTGCTAGGTGGACTGTTTGGAAAGCTTTTCATGTGAATTCAGTCTTATTTCTTGCTTTTGGAGAGAAGTCATGGTCTTCATAGAGTTAGATATGTTTTACCCCCCACTTCTGTATTTGCCATGAGCATCTTGCTTTTGGGTGTGGGGTAGTGCTTTTTTTGTTTTGGTGTGCATGTTTGGTTTCTGTTTTTTGGTGGGTTTGGTGGGGTGTTTTTTGTTGGTTTTTTAATAGGTAAAATGCATTGAGTTTGAATCAGGAGTCTGTTCATTTCTATTTCATTTTGAACTCTCAGTAGACTGAAGGAGGGATAAGAGAACAAATGAGAGGCTGGGGCAGAGAAAACATAAGCAGGAGTTTAAGCAGATGAAAGCAGATCCATTGCAAAAGGCTGGTGGGGTTTGGATGCAGTAACTCATTGCCCTTTGACGTCGTATGATTGTTTGGGATTGGTATGGCCTTTGAGTTCTATTCTCATTGTGAATTTTAATTTGGACTATGTTTTTGGCAGTTCCTGACAAAATCCAGTGGAGGAATGTTTTTCTTTCTTTGTTTTTTGTTGGGGTTTTTTTTTGTGGTTTTTTTTTTGTTGTTGCTGGGTTTTTTTTGTTGGTTTTTTTTGTTGTTTTGGGGTTTTTTTGTTTTGTTTTTTGTTGTTGTTTGTTTTTTGTTTGTTTGTTTTAGTAAGTTGAGCATTAAAAAAGATAGTGAAACAGAATTAACAGTTCAGTAGGATGGGTTTTAGGTAGCCTCACTTTTGAGTACTTTGCTTCTTACATAATAAGCAGATCCTTTCATTCTCACTGGCTTACAGTCCTTAGGCCCTCAGAAAAAAGTGTGCTTCTTTAGAAGCATGCTTGCTACCACTGTGCTGATGTCAAGAAAAAATATCCATACTGTTCTTTTGATGGGAAAGGGAATGAAAAGGGCAAACCATAATAACGCTTGGATACACTTGTTTATGTATGTAGTCAGCTTGTGTTCTGACATTGACTCTTGTTTTACTGCCATTGGGCAAATTAATAGTTTATGCAATTATAGTGAGAGCAGTATTAACATCCATAGAAACCTGTAAATATTTAAGGCAAGCTTAGTATAATTTGCTGTGGGGCTGTGTGTATTGGTGACAGGTAGGGATTTTGGAGTTCTTTGTGTTTCTTATGGTTTTTCTTTTTTAATTATTGGGAGGTTGGGTTGTTACTTAAGTATCTTCTAACTTATCTGGCAAGGAATAAAAAAAGAGCTGTTGCTAGCCTAATTTTGCTGTCAGGTTAGCTGTATGTCTTAGTGTTGTGTGGCTGATAGAAGGCTTTGAAGTACTTGCTTACATTAATTTATGTGAGTGAAAATATGCCTCTAATTCAAGGGATTACCTGTCTACAGAGACCCTCTGACTGAATTAGGTGAAGTACTTTGTAGGCCAAAGGCTGAATTTCTGTTAGGAGCATTTTGCTAGTGTTGTGTACTTATATGCCTGTAGTGATAAATTGTTGTGTATGGCTGGGTTTTGGCTTGGTCTGTGAATTCAGACTGATGTGTTGAAATGTGTTACTCCCTCTCTGGTTTGATTTTGTGCTTATAAATAACACTGGGAGCCCTTTCTACTGCTATTTTCATTTTGCTGACCTCTCTTCTTCAGACTGGTTCTCTCATTATTTTCTGAGCAGTCAGATTGTTTGTACAATAAGTCTGAGATGGGCATTGAGCCTAAGATCTCATCTGTCATACCCTAATAGTCAGTGTTCTTATTTTAATCTAAAGGAAAGGGAGAAGGGGGAAACCACTAAAACTTGAATGACTAAGGATTTAAACACTACATGTGGCAAGAAATTGATCTCTTGTTGACAGTTGCTGATGCTGGCTACATTAGAATTAGGGCAAAAATGGGTTTTGTTCCTCTTGGTGAATCTTCATTTCAATTGTGCTGTTTGTAAAGTTGTTAAAATGGCTGTCCTTACACTTGCATCTGATTATTTTTTGACACTGATTCATGGCACCTGTTGCTAAAAGCATGTGTCAGTAAGAGCCAGTTTTTAGTGTTGATGGGAACTCATTTTGGTTTAGTGCCTTAGCTGTAGTACATTCTTCCTCAAGCTTAGGTGAGGTTATATTCCACATGCCTTTTCAGTTTACTAAAAGTTTCACCTATTCAAACTTGTAGCGTGAGAAATACTACAAATTGCACTGCTCTCTAATCTTTAATGGCTTCTGGTAATTTTCTAGAGCTAAAAAAATAGTGGTCTGATTTTCAATGTGTGCATCTAAATATAATTACAACCTTGGATTGCATATTAGCAATGAGATTTGCTACAGAACTGGGGAGTTGTATTGTTTTGGATTGTTTTGTTTTTTGTTCACTTGTTTTGGGCGTTTTTGTGTGTGTTTTGGTTTTGGTTTGATTTTTTGGTTTCTTTCTTTTTATGTTTTTGTTTTATGTTTTTGTATTTTTAGGTATAAATATGTATTCACCCAATATGTATTCTGTTTTCTAACTTGTTCTTATCTCCACAGAAATTACTGTAGTTCTAGAAAGAGCCTGATTTACAATGGGGGACGACAGTGAGTGGATGAAATTGCCCATTGATCAGAAATGTGAACATAAGGTTGGTAATCATGGATTTGGTTTGCTGCATATCTCTGCTCATTATGATTTTGTGGTGTTTCTGTAACTAAATACTCTGTAATTGGGTAATCTTGACAGCTGCACGGTGAGAATGTCAACAGATCTGAAACTGCATCAGCTCTATCCAACCTAGAGGCTGAATAACCTCTATTAAGCAGATTTTAGTAGCGTTATATGGCATAAGCTTGTGTGCTGACAGATAAGTACACTCATTCACTTGGAGAAATTACTCATCTGTAGCTGAAACTGTTGCTTGGCTCCCACCTCCTCATTGCTGTTTGCTGGAACTTATGAAGAGCAGGGGGAAGACTGGCATCTCTCTATCCCATATCATTCTTGGCGGGAGAAAAAACAAGTGTTTTGTCCTGTTGCATGTCTTTCATGTAGACATTGAAGAGAAATCTGCAGGTGCCAGCTTGCTGAGCATACTTTCAAATATGATTGAAGAACTTTGTGAGAGTGGTGAGTTAAGGTTGTAATGGCACAACATTTAAATGTCCAATTTCTGGTTCCAGCTATGGAAAGCCAGACTAAACGGTTATGAAGAAGCCCTTAAGCTCTTCCAGAAGATAGATGATGAAAAGAGTCCTGAATGGTCCAAGTATCTTGGGTTGATAAAGAAATTTGTGACCGACTCCAATGCAGTGGCTCAGCTGAAAGGACTAGAAGCAGCGCTTGCTTATGTTGAAAATGCTCATGTAGCTGGGAAGTAAGTAGCCTTTTCTTGCTGCTCTTAGGACAGTTTCATATGCCTCTCTGAGAAAGGCTGCAGCTGCATGTAAATTGTGCCGTGGCCGCTATCAATTCTGATCTCTACTGTTAAGAGCTGAACTTGCTTTCTAATCTAGAGAACTTGCCGAATGGCAGGCTTTCCTTGTGGATGGCCTCCATGTGCATATTAACTTACCACAACTTGCTTGCAGTGGTCTAAAAAACTACTGAAGGCACTAGTAAACATTTCTGAAATGGTGAAAAAAATTAATCACTAATGTGGTGGTGTAAATGCTGTGAACTGGAATCTCTGTTCTTGTTTGATTGAAACAGTCTTACCTGTACAGGAGGGAGCCCTTTTTTTCAGTGGGATATTTGTGTAATTCATACATTAAATGAAATATGTTTGTGACATTGCATCCAGCATAACCACTATGAATCTTCATACCTGCCAATTTCTTCACTGGATGTCTTGTAGTACTTCTGTGTTGTCTAGCTCATGAAGTAGACCATAATCCTGAGGGTGAAAAAGCACATAATAGGTCAGGTTAGTGCTTTGGTCCACTGACTTTGTGACCTGATGAATTGAATAAAGGTCTTACTTAAAAACAAATTAACAAACCCAAAGCTGTGTTTGAAAATCTAACAACCTTGCGCACTCCTTGATTTAAAATTTGTGTTAATGATTTAGTTTATGTGAAGGTTGGAAGTGTATGTGAAATACTGTGCTGGGATTATGTACAGATACACTTAACTCATTACAACATATATAATTCCAGGACATGGCATTTATTTGTGAACCTCAACTAGAGAGTGTTAATACAGTCTTGAGAATGTCTGCTATTCACTGTTGTAGTCTGGTATTAGAATGATAATATAATTGTGATCTGCGTTCTTTTATAAAACTAGATGTCAAAGCTATCCCTTAAAAATGTTGGGGTTTTTTTCCAAGGTTATTTTAGGATGTAGTCTCTTTTATGTGAAGACGTGTTGGGTCTTAATCTGGATTTGGTGCTGTGTTTTTTTTTCTGTGGATAATGAAGTAGAACACTTAATTCACATAAATGTTCCAAAGGTAATACTCTCTCATCTTTCAGGACAACAGGAGAAGTAGCATCAGGAGTTGTAAATAAAGTGTTCAATCAGCCAAAGGCCAGGGCAAAAGAGCTTGGTGAAGATATATGTCTCATGTATATAGAAATTGAGAAAGGAGAGGCAATACAAGAAGAATTATTAAAGGGTCTGGACAACAAAAACCCAAAAATCATAGTAGCATGTATAGAGACACTGAGGAAAGCACTAAGGTAAGCTTTTAGTTCATGGTGTTGTGGTTTTCTTCTTTGCTTTTTCTTCACTCCAGCAATATCTGAAGTTTAATTTTATTGCCGTCTTTAGCAGGCAATTTTGTTATTGTTGAGTAGAATGCATCTTTCCTGAATTGGTATTTTTTGACAGCAACAGTTGGCAACATCATGGGATTTGTTAGATGTGAGGGTTGTCTATGTTGTACTAGCCTAATCTGGATCTCTTTCATTCATGGTAACTGTTTACCAAACTTGATTTTCCCAGCCTCTGAGAGAAGGGCAAGATTAGTGTGTCTTGTTCCAGACTGTGAAGCTTCTCTTCTGAATATCTGTAATAAGCTCACTGATGTGAAAACTAAAACATAGTTTAGTTTTTTGTTCTGGTTTTTTGGTTTTTTTTAAACCACTGTTTTCCTCTCTGATGTGAGCATATTTAATTGGGTACACAGTGTGTGTTTTTAGAAGAAAGGAGAAAAAAAACCAGTTCATTGCACAGTAAGCTTCTGTTGTCCATATAATAATTCCTTCATGGATAAGGAGAGCTGCTAGTGCTCCCTAAAAATCAAATCCAATTTAAGATGATGTAGTAGGCTTCAGTATTAGATTATTTTTTGGTTCCACATCAAGTTTGTTTGCTGCCTTTGAGTGAAAAATACTGGGGCTTTATGAAATTCTTATACTTGGTGTATATATTATTTACTGACCATTAGGGTTTTTTTTAAGGAAACAGAAAATTTTGAAATTAATGGACAGAATACTTCTTTCTGAGTAAAGCAGCTCATGTGAAAACTGTATAATGTATGTGGGGAGTGCCTTATGTTATACGTCTTTTAGAGGACTTGCTGAGGCATACATAGAGATGATCCTTGTTAAACTGATTGTTTCAGGCTTTAGTAATATCAAAATAAAGCTTTGGGCTTAACACATTACCTATGATTCTGCTAAGTGAAACTACTGTCCTATATTTGAGAATATATTGTAGCTCTTTTAAATTGCTTATCTGGTTAAATGTCCTTTTAACAGTGCAGTGTGATTAGAAACCTGCATAAACTTCCTCAGTATCTTTCAACTAACTGCTTCTGTAAAATGTGCCACATGTTTTTTTTTATTACTTGCAGTATTTTATTATATTTGTGATGTTAAGATCAAATACTCGCATGCAGCCCTGTTGGCTTAAACTCCATCTTCTACTTCTGAGTTGTGTTGCTACTTAAATTTTTCTAATACTTTGGTAGGCTTTCTGCATTGATAACAAAATTTGTCTGTGTTGTACCTAGGTGGGTAGCTTGAATGCATAACTAGTTTAATTTCTGGTGTTTTCTATCATGTGCTAAGGTTTCTATTCTTTCTTGTTATATAAATTAGATTATATGAATTGGATACAAATAAGTTTGCATGGGCATTTCTCCAAATATGCTCTCTTCTAAGTCATGATAGAAAAATTGAATTATTGGGCAACTCATTTGTTCACATATTTACATCATGTTACTTCCAAGACCTGTTTTGAAGGTGTTTATACGGAGTATTTTTTTAAAATTGATGTGGAAATAAAATTATGTGCACTAGAATTTCTGGAAAGTGAGACATGTAGATTTTAGTTCTTGAGCAGACTTTTTTGCTAGCTTTTTTATGTGGAACTTGAATTGGAGGGAGCCATAAGAAAAAGTGTGATTAATAGAAAGGTGATTTCAGAATTAAGAAGAAATGTTTCTGAATAAAAAAAATTAATGCTTTTGAGGTGATTTATATATGGTGCCTTAGTAAATACAGCAGTTAACTTTATTATGAGTTTGAAAAGAAAGTTATTGTGTTCTCATTCATCAGTGATTGAAATAGGAAGTTTTGTGTATTAAATGCAACAGCATGCAGAATCTTCTGTCAAGGAAGGGTGTTTGGCTGGTGAAGCTTGTTTTATGTGTTCCTTCAGTGGCACGTATTTCAGCACATATGTTTTCTGTGAAGATGACCCAAGCTCACTATAATTATCTGGTCCAACAAGTGGAAAAGTGACTAATGCTTTTACTGCAGTTTGTTTCCAAGGATAGACAAAGGAGGTTCTATTCTGATTAAAAAAAAAAAAAGTAGGTCATACAAATTTTGGTCTGAGGACAACTTCTTTCTTCGTCTTTTTTCCCCCCCGGCAGGGGAGCTGATTTAAGCACTGGACTGGATTAAGTGCTTTGAAGTAATTTGAGAGGCCTGATTTTGTAATTCCAAGCTGGGTGTGGAGGTTCATTTTGATAGGGCATATGTTCTTTAAATTTTATGGTAGCATCTCAAAATAATGGTTTGAGTAGATGACAGAATTGCTAAATGTGCGCTGGAAGACTTTCATAGACTGTTTTTTAGAAAATGAGTTATTTGTGGATCACTCCCTGTTCATGGACACTGATGCTATTCTGTGTTTCACTGTCAGTGAATTTGGTTCAAAGATAATCTCACTGAAGCCAATCATCAAAGTATTGCCAAAACTTTTTGAATCTCGGGAAAAGGCTGTTCGAGACGAAGCCAAGCTCCTTGCTGTGGAAATCTACCGTTGGATAAGGGATGCTTTGAGACCTCCATTGCAGAACATAAATTCTGTTCAGGTAGGCAGGAAGTATTTCTGTATCCAAACATTTGATTCTCATCCTCCCTGGTTCTGTGATGCTGGCACTCTTAAAGCCAAAACTGGAATGTATTTTTTTAGCTCCATTTAACTCTACCCAAAATGTTGGTCACTCCTAGTCATTTGTAAGGAAATTATAACAGTGTTTGGTTGCTCTGAACATACATGAAGTTGTGGAGTGAAGCTTTGTATTGGAACTGAGGATGGCAATTCAGCAGTAGAATGTAGCAGAATAGTTGCCCTTATAAAAGACCCTTGCAGTGAAAGTCTTTGAGTCAATAATTTTCATTCTGTTTTCTTTTTTCCTGAATTTTTTTCCTCTGTGCATCCCTTCATACTTATTCTGATGATGGTCAGGATGTGACTGTTTCCCTTCAGGAAATAGCATTGAATTATGATAGACTATTTCATAATTTTAAAATTTTACAAGTTATGCATCCTTTCCTCCTACCCACTTGAGTTAATTATGTTCAGGTGGAAAACAGTAGCTTGCTTTAAATGGGCATGGTTAAAAAAAACCAAACAGATTCATCAAATGTAGCTCAGCATGTTTGTTTCATCTCAGTTTTAGTGTGCATGGCTGTAAAGGAAAGCTTCCTCCATGCTCAGCCATTTTTATTTCAAAGTGTCTACAGAGGGTCCACACCATTCTGAGAGGGGCCATTGTTCTGACTCTTCTACTATTAGTTCTTATGTAAATGCTGTGCAATAACTTTCTCTTCTTTGACTGAGTATATCCACAGACTTTTGAACAGTGAATGTGAAGTCACTCCTTTAGTGGCAGAAAAAAGATAGTAATGAAAGGTAGTGCTGTCTTGGCTTTGAAATGGGAAAACTGTAATGGCTTGCTTGTCTTGGAGTATGTCCGTAATGTCTCTGATATGATTCTTTTCCCTTTTGGCAGCTAAAAGAGCTGGAAGAAGAATGGATCAAAGTGTCATCAGCTGCTCCTAAGCAGACCAGGTTCCTGCGTTCCCAACAGGAGCTGAAAGCAAAATTTGAGCAGCAGCAGGGACTTGGAGGAGATGCAGATGGAGGTAATCTATTTAATCTGTGAACTCTATTGGCAAGTATATTGTATATAGTTGGTGAAGGAATGCATTAAATTGTAAAGAAGCTTTTGCTCAAGCTGGTGCAAAACATGGAGTGCACTACACAAGAAGAAAACGTGTCTGAGGAAGAAGCTTTATATGAAAGAGTATCTATCTTTTGAAGTAGCAAATTCACAACTGCTGATGGCACTTTCTGAGCAATGAGCCTTAGGTGGTGCTCGAGTCAAAATTTTGTGTCACTGCTTATACATTTCTCTCTCCTGGTTGCAGGAGATGATGATGAGGAAGAGGCGGTACCACAAGTAGATGCATATGAGTTGCTTGAAGCTGTAGAAATTCTCTCCAAGCTTCCCAAAGACTTCCATGAGAAAATAGTAAGCATAAACTTGAATACTACCTGTTAATTCTTTGTATCGCTGATGAGTCTTAAGACTTAGGGGCAGTTCTGCAATGTGTGCTTTAGTGCCATGTGGGTAATAACAAACTGGCGTTAATAACATACGGGCTATCGTAAATAAGTTTTAAAGTTTGATTTAGCTGCAAGAAAGCTGTCATTTTAAGGGGCTGAGGTGTGTCCTGGGAAAGGACTGTATTTCATATTTCATTGCAGTTACTGATGTTCAACTGTAGGGAGACCTTGATTTTCTCAAGCTGGAATCAAGGGTTTTATTCTAAGGCCTGTGGCAAGTAGGCTTCTCTAGAACTGTTTCTATTTATAGATTAATGTAAATTATTTGCTCTGCAGGAAGCAAAAAAGTGGCAAGAAAGGAAAGAGGCTCTAGAGGCTGTTGAACTGCTAGTGAAAAATCCCAAGCTGGAGTCAGGAGACTATGCAGACTTGGTGAAAGCACTCAAAAAGGTAATCAATAAAACTCAGAGTGCACATATAATTTAATATTTTTATAGTTTATTTGTATGATAGTTTAAAAGTTACAGTTGATATAATACTCATGAGTAGAAAACTACTAAATGGAACAGTTGAAATAACCCAATCAGTGGCCTGCTGATTATTGTAAGAAATTCTTCCATTTCTCTGAAACTGATTTTTCTTTTCAGGTTGTTGGAAAGGATACAAATGTTATGTTAGTTGCTTTGGCTGCCAAATGCCTTGCTGGACTAGCTACGGGCCTCCGAAAGAAATTTGGACAGTATGCAGGGCATGTAAGTAACTGAGTATGTACTTTTTTTTCCTGATTTTATTCATGCTGGACACCTTTTTTCCCTTTCCCTTTTCCCTGTCAAGCCTTGGTATTTATCAAAGGTATTCTTTGTACAATTAGGAATGCTTACCAACCCCTTAAAAGAGTAAGCGTTGAAATACTTGCCTAGATCTTTGTAGCTTAAGTTTGAAAGGACCTTCTTCATTCGTATTCAGCAACATGAAACTTTCTGTTGCAATATAAGTCTTCTGTACTAAGAAAATTTAATTGTTTTGCCATTAAATGAACTTTTATTTACATTACCTTGTCCTAGAGATACCCCTACAGGAATGCATTTGTAGACCACAGTGGAAAAAACAGCTTCTAAATCAGAGTTCTACTTAGCACCTCCTTGGTGTATGTTTTATGTTGGTTGGGTTTCTTGCGTGTTGGGGGAAGGTAGGTGGTGGGTGTTTTGTTTCCTTGTTGCCTGGATTTTGTGGGGGTTTTTGTCTGCCTTAAATAGCAAAAAATTCTGAGAGTTTTGGTACCAAAATGTTCTGGTGCTCCAGTTTAGTGCTGTTTCTTCTCTCCTATGGTGCTCTTTTCTTACCAGTAGCTAAAATCAGGGAATACAGGGAAGCTTAACTAGTATGTGGAAGCAAAGAGAGCTTTTAATAAGTTGCAGTTCTCACTCGTTTCTCAAGCCTGTGTCACTGTGTTCTTTAAGCTGTTGAGTCAAATTTTTCATGTGGTGTGCAAGAGTAATGAGGTTAGAGAACTGATGTGCCTGGCTGCAGGTAGTGTTGTCTCTGAATTGGGAAGTTGCTGAATCTCACTACTTCGGAAACATTCAGGTCTCTTGAACGCTGAACAAAAGTTTGGACAGTCACTTTCATTCTGAAAGCTGTCTGTAGTTATAAAAATGATTCTGGCATTTGTTTTATAGTTGATTTCTGAAGGTTAACCCTTATTGCTACAGAGTTAGTGTTGAAAAAGCCAAGCTTCTAAAACAAGGGTGTAGCTCTGTGGTTGCCAAGCAAATGGCGTTGAGAAGATGTCTTTTTCAGTAGTGTAATGGCAGCTCTGAATTGCATAATCTCAGTACTCATTTTAGCAGTTCACTTGATTTGTTTGCTGGATTTATTTACTTGTGAGGAAGATGCAGACTTCTCCTGAGAGTGGGCATTGAAGTGTTACAAAACAGAATTGTTGCTAGAATTGTATGATTATAGACTCTTGTTACTTAAATGTAGGACTGCAATGCTAATCTGCAATCTGTGTTCCAACAAGAGTGGTGAAATCGTGCTTAAAATCATACTCCTCACTGTAATTGAGTACATGTGTGCCACCTTCACCTCTGACTGCATTTGTATCCCTGGACTAATTTTTCTTCTTTCCCTCTCACATGGGGTATGGTTTCTAACTTCCATGTTAAAAAAATGCTCATTTTGCCTGTCAGTATTTTCTAAAACAGAGGCCTAATGATTTTAATTATCTCCTCCTTATGACATTGTTCTCTGTGGGGTGTAGGGGTATCTAGCACCTGCAGTAGCGTGTTTGTCTTTGTGGTGCTGTCTGTATTATCGAAGGTTTTTTGAGTGTTGAAGTCTGTGAACTGGGAATTTGGAGGTTGCAGTCCAAGATACCACCTCAGTACTTCACAAGGGGTTGGGATTCCATAGTCAGCTTCTGAGTAGAAAGCAAATCTATTTTTTGTTATGCAGGAGTGTATAACTTTCTGTAAAACATCTGACTGCTTCCAGATGATGAACTGTTACGTTTATGAAAATTTTGAGAATAGCCTGCTTTCCATAGTTAAGATCTGCATGTTTCTGGCTCAGTGACAGCAGTCCTTACTCTTACAGAGTCCGTACTAAAATGGACTTGATCACATTACTGGCACATCTGCAGTGTAGTTATTTTTACTTTGTTTTCCCCCCTTGAATATTTTATCTATTTGGGGGTTTTTTTTATCAGTGACTGACTGAGCACCTAGACTAGGTAGAAATTGCTGTCAAATTCCAGTATGGCATAGTTTACTGTCAGATGTGATTTTTCAAGGTGGTAGATCTTAAAAATATTGCTGCAGAGAGGATTCCAGTTGCTTTAGAATCATGATCTTACCAGCTGTGGATCAGATGAGGGCTTCTTAATGAGCCATGCTTAATACTGTCAGAAAACTGGAAAAGAGGGGACAGGTTAATTGCCTTCTTGGATTCTTAGAACACAGCAGCTCAGCACCCTTTATGTTGTGAAATCATTCATTTCCATTCTATTGCTCTGTATTCCAGCATAATTCCATAATCTGTAATTATGTGAATTTATAGGTATGCCTTTTGTTATGAATTTGTTTAAAAATTTGTATTTGTTAATAGAGTGACTGGAATGAGTTTAATGTTGGAAAACACCAAGAATAAGCTAGTTCAGACTGCCATTGTGTACTTCTGGAGGGGTACAGTGGAGATGTTTGAATTACTGGCTTCTCTGCAAAGTACTGTGTGGTAGACTATCAGGCTTTCCAGTTATGTTAGTGAAGAGGGATTTGACATTTTTGTTCCCTTTTCCATAGGTTGTTCCAACAATCCTGGAGAAATTCAAAGAGAAGAAGCCCCAGGTAGTGCAGGCACTGCAGGAGGCCATTGATGCAATCTTTCTTACAGTAAGTAACAGTGAAAATTTCCCCACTGTCTGAGAATTGGTCATGAACTTGGATTTGCTTTTCTCTTTACTGAAATAATGACTTTTTTATTCAACACTGTAGACCACATTGCAGAACATAAGTGAAGATATTTTGGCAGTCATGGACAACAAAAACCCAACAATTAAGCAACAAACATCCCTTTTCATTGCAAGAAGCTTCCGACACTGCACACCTTCTACTCTTCCAAAAAGCCTGTTAAAACCTTTCTGTGCTGCACTTCTCAAGGTAAAGCAGGAGGAGTTGATACTCCTCTGGCATTGACTTGAGCACTGTTGTTGTGAAACCTTGGATAGTTTGGGGAGAAAGACCTGAAGGTAGTGCAGAGACCAGAGAGTTCCTGTGTGCTATGTAGCCCTCAGAGCTTGTTTTTACTGATGTCCAACTTGAAGGTGTCTGTCAGGGGAGCAATTTGGTTTCCTTTATCTTAGCTTTTTTGAAGCTGTAGACTCACTAAGTTGGTAGTAGATTAAGACAGTGATTTACAGCTATTATCCCAGATACTGTCACTTGTATCTTGCACACATATCTAAGTTTTTTTTGGAATGCTATTGTTGAGTATGAATAAAAGAACAACCATCATTGGTTCATACATGGCAGTGACACTGGAGCATTTATCAATGTAAGTGATAATGATGTATACTTTTTTCTTATTGCAAATGGCCCTTTCCTTGGTGTAGGCAATATCCCTGGCTTAAAAAGTTGAGATTATTACAAGATTACAAAACTTTAAACTCTTTATGAACTTTTATGATGTTTAAAGAATGAATGTTCAACCTCTTCTTGTGGAAAAAACCCAAATATGAGAAAATGGCTGTATCTGAGAAAAAATAGATTGGGTCAGTACATAGGGAAACAGAAGTGTAAAACAGCCTTTTTCTTTCTGCAGTGGAATGTCAAGGATTACTCTGTAGTAGATTTGGATTCTAAACAAGGGATGAGGATTTGTATAGAGTATGTTCAGATATGAGCCACAAGTCATATGACATAAATTGTCTTTCTCTGTAGCATATCAATGATTCTGCACCTGAAGTCAGAGATGCTGGATTTGAAGCATTAGGCACTGCCTTGAAAGTAGCTGGAGAGAAAGCTGTGAATCCATTTCTAGCAGATGTAGACAAACTAAAGCTTGATCGCGTGAGTATTGTTATAAATGTTGTAAAAAAGGCTCCATTTATCCATTTAAGATGCATCTTAGGCTAGAGAAGGTGAAAGATGATGCTTTAGCCTAATTAATTTCAGCACAGATTTTTGAATATGTATTTTTTACTTAAGTGTTACTGGTGTTGCAGGGAATCTGAAAATCTCTTCATTCTTATATAAAAGTATCTGGCTGTATTATCTGTGAGGTGGGTTGTGAGGTTTAGTTGTGGCTTTGGTTGGTGGTATATGGAGTTTTGTTTGTTTTTTAACACTTCCTTGTCTGAAACAAGCTTTTAGGTTACAACCACATGGTCTAATTTCGTATTACTAGATAGTATTTGGTATTAAAGACTTACTTCCCAACAAAGAAGTTGTATTTTTGCATAAGCTGGCAGGTATGTTGATTGAATGAAAGTTTTTTTAGTTTGAGATGCTCAGACTTCGTCTTTGAGCATCTATGAGTATCAGTAGAATGTCAATGTTTTCTTAGTATATAAATGCACTTCATTTTGAACTAGGAGAATTATTTTGGCAATATGGTGATGGTTAATGCCACTGACTGGATAACCTTACTTTTTGAAGGAGCATCAGATAATAATAGCATCAGATAATATATTGGAAAGTAAAGTACTTAAACTCTTCACATTTTTTCCACAGTAGTCAAGTTTGAGCCACTGCTGGTAAAGGGACACTGTGCATCCAATTCTGGTAGCTAAATAGCTTCTTTCTACCCCCCCTTTTTTTTTTCCCCACTGCTTGGCAGATTAAAGAGTGTGCTGAAAAGGTGGAATTGGTTTATGGTAAAAAAGCAGGAGGACCAGCTGAGAAAAAAGAAGGCAAGCCTGTTACTGGAAAGGCCACTGCTGTTCCAGGGCCTGCAGGAGATAAAGAAACAAAAGATGCAGTGACCAAACCAGGACCACTGAAAAAAGCATCTGCAGTGAAGGTGAGAGGTTGTCTGACAATCAGTTGTCTGTGGTTACATCAAATAGTTACTTACTGCAGATCAAAGGTAGCATGTTGGACATTTGCCTCCACTGAGCTATCACTGTCCTTTTGCAGGAGTAGGTGAGCCTAACAGCAGAAGGAATCTGTGACTTTCTGGGAATGTAATGAAATCTCAGTTTTTAATGATACAAACTGTCTTGACGCTTACGTCTTAATACCAGATTTTGATTTTGAAATAGTGATAAAAGACTGGAGGCATTCAGAGGAGCCTCAGAGGTTGTAAGATTGATGTGCTCTGTGATATAATACTACTTGGCTGAAGTCAACATTTCTTGTAACTAGCAAGATTACTAGTTAAGTATTGGGTATTTTTTCAACATAATTTTTAGTTTGCTCCTTTGTAGATTTTGAAGTAGTTTGAACTATTAGCCTGTATTTTTTTAAAATTATTCTTTGGATTTTAAAAATTGACTGCAGTAGATGTCTGTAATATGTTACGTAGTTCTTCAAGTGGGCCACCTGGAAGTGAATTGAAGAACAGATAAAATTTTTGAAATTTTTTTGATAAGTAGATAACGTGGAAGAGACACCAGTCACAAGTTTAATATGTAACCAGTATCCATAGGAAAACATACAGATTAAGTCATTATTTCCTGAACTTCCACAAATATATAATTCTTTCCTTTTTCATCTTCCATTGTCCTGTTATGTTTTGTGCAACCTGTAGTCTAAAAGCAATATATTAATTAAATAAGCTCTAGCTTATCTCTGCCTGCAGTTGTTATGCTATTAGAGAGATGTATTTTTCTGACATTAGGATATATAGAAGTGTAGTATAGCAAAGACAGCAGTTCTTTTGATATCTGAGCTAGAGACCTATTTGATCTTGGCTAACTTGTCTGTTACTTTCTAGGCTGGGGTCCCGCCGAAGAAAGGCAAGCCAGCTACAGCTGCAGGTACAGGAGGTGCTGGGCCTAAAGGCAAGAAGGGTCCTGAGACCAAAGAAATCTTTGAGGCAGAGCTCTCTGTGAGTATTCTGCTATTCTCTGAAATACGAAGCCCTCTGTAACCAAAGATTGTAGCTTTGGTTAGTCAGTTCTTCAGGTACTAGAGTTTTTCACAGAGGTTTCTTGTTTTTGTTAGGAGAAGGGAAAGCAGTATGTATGAATTTGTAACTGGTGAAATAGGACTGTGGTAAATACACCTGTTCTTCAGGGTGTTGTTGGCACCAGGCCATTTAAGACATAAAGCAATAAATCATGCTTATACTATGACAGGGGTATATTGTGTTCCCTGAAGTAGGAAGAGATGATGAAAAAAACAGCAATACTTCATATGTAATTTAGGACACATGATTTGCTGAAGGAGTCTGGAATTAAAAGCCTGAGAATACATAATTCTGGAGTTTACATTGAAATCTGAAGTGAAATAAAGTAATAATTAAATGAACTAATATGTTTTGTGCTGTTCATATTAAGTTACATTTCAAAAAAATTACTGAATTCTGCATGTTAGCTGACCATCTACCTACTTTCTTGGTAGGGAACTGGACAAACTCAGGTATCTGTGGCTCAAACAGTACCAAAAAACCTATTAAAGTTTTGTTAGATGTATCTGCAATACATCTAGCATATGGTTTGTACTGTCCATCCAAACCACAGTTATATTTGGAGTGTTGCTTAGAGTGAATAATTTGTATTGTGTATCCAGCTTATATTGTTAGTTATACAGTTGAAAATGAGAATACAGTTCCTGAAGGTGATGCAGACACCTGTGAAACAAGGGAAGTTTTTATCACTAAATAACTTTCATTTTCCATTTTGGTAAAATGGAGACAGAAGATAGGTCTTCTGTCTGCCCTCATCAACTTCTGATTTGTTGTTGTCACTGTCTACTCAGGCTTGATCCAACATTACCTTGCAAATTTTAGGTTACCTCTGCTTGATTCTTTAAGCAGATAGTTGGTATTCAAGATTATTTTTGACTATCTGCAGAGTTTGTTATACTTTCCAGAGATTACTTTTCTGTTGCAGAGCAATTTTAGCAGCTTTCTAAACCCATAAGACTCCTAAACCACAATCCATACTAAAATCTTTCAATTTACAACAGAACCCTTTTCCTATTTTGTAAATGCACCACAGTACAAGGGTCAGTCCAGTATATTACCTGTCCTTAAGGTTGCTGCCCCCTCTGAAGGGACCCAGTGGAGTGTTAACCTTGTTTTGATCTGGCTGCAGATAGAAGTATGTGAAGAGAAAGCTGCTGCTGTCCTTCCAGCTTCTTGTATCCAGCAGTTGGACAGTGGTAACTGGAAAGAGAGGCTTGCCTGCATGGAGGAATTTCAGAAGGTATGTTTGGAACAGTTGATAAGAGAGGCTATAGGGGAAAGAGAAAACAAGTAATAATTTCTTTAGCTCCTTAGGCCTGATAAGTCTTCTGAAATGCTGACTACTAGTAGTTGTATGTCAGCACTACAGGTGGACTAAACAACACTTGAAAAAGCCAAATGGCTTATATGGTTTAAATTCCATAACATTGGTGGAGTAAGTATTTTACCTTAATGTAGACAGTTGTGCTTTTGTCAAAAATACTTGTATTTTGATTGAGGATACTTAGAGGTATTTTCAAAACTCCGAATAATTGTAAAGCTTGGTCTCAAAGACAGCTAGGTTTAAACAAAAGGTTTGCAACAACTAGGCCAGATCTATTACAAAGAAGTTCCTGCTGTTTGTATGTTAGGCAGTAATTGATTATAATCAACTATTTATCAGTTGAAATTTTTATGTTTAGAGGCTTATGAAATACTAGCAGTCTTCACAGCTAGTGGAAAGTGCTTCATGTAGTCACAAACAAAAAAAAAAGCTTCAACTGTAGATGTACAAGTAGTTCATACCACTATACCAGTACAGTAATGACTGAGCTTTTAGTATTTTAGTGGGAAAAGTGACTAACTTCAGTTGGGAAATGGTGACTGGCTGCATTTAAATGCTGCTGCAGAAGCCTGCTTTATTAAAATATTGCCATTTCAATTGAAGGAATAAGCCTAAGAGCTAAACCCCAGTCATTTAGATCATAGTCAGGCTTAATCTCTGCTGTGTAGTCAACATTCCAACATGAAAGCTCCATAATATACTTCATCTTAATAACAAAAGCAGCTTTTTGAGGGGAGGGTGGGCTGTTAGGGTATTTTGTTTGTTTGTTTTTAATTAAGTATTAAATTCCTAGGATTGGAATGGCCAATAGTGATTGTTAAGGAAATTTGTTAAAGAACATTAAAGGAATAGTGGTGTGAATGCTGTAGGTTAAATGTTGGTTCAGTACCTCAGACTCTGTAAAAGTTGCTCTTCAGGTCAATTATTATGCTGTGAATTTCTCTAATTTAATTCAATCTTAAAAAAAATACTTTGAGGACAGTTGAGAATTTCTGTTAGCTTTGTATAATTTGTGACCCACTGGCTAACTTAATGTTCATCCTTTAGGCTGTTGAGCTTATGGAAAGAAGTGAAATGCCTTGCCAAGCCCTAGTAAGAATGCTGGCCAAGAAACCTGGTTGGAAGGAAACAAATTTTCAGGTAATACATTATCCTTTAGTAACTAAATAGTCAATTTCTGTTAATGTAAAGCAGTTTCCAGCTAAAGGGCTGTAATTGTGTATGTCACTGTGGCCACAGTTCTGACTGTAATCAATGAGAACATAAACTCTCAAATTGGATTTTATTTCTGTTGAGAGTTGAGATTCTAGATGTCATCTAAGGAGTCTCTAAAGATTGTCTTTAGGTGTATACGTATACATGTGAATATATATATAAGCATGTGTGTGTGTATATAAGTTCTAAAAGTAGATAATGGCAGCCCAGTATTAGTGGTTGTGTGTGTGTATATATATAATAGTTTGTATTTGTGTGTGTACACGTTTTGTTCATAGTCACACAAAACACCTGTGTGTACAAAATGTGTGTGCATAAATACTTCTGCTATTCAAATGTGTGTATATATGTACAAATAAAAATTTTGTCCCTATGTTAGTATTTACCCACAAATCCATGTAATTCTTATATGTATCTATAGTATTTACCCACAAATCCATATAATTTTTGCATGTATCTATAGATACATAGAATGAGAAAAATTAATCTAAAATACACAAAGACATGAATAACTTTCTTGCTGTTTTGGATATTGCAGGTGATGCAGATGAAACTGCATATAGTTGCATTAATTGCACAGAAAGGAAACTTCTCCAAAACTTCAGCACAGGTTGTGCTGGATGGTCTTGTAGACAAGGTTGGTGATGTGAAATGTGGAACTAATGCAAAAGAGGCCATGACAGCAATAGCAGAAGCGTGTCAGTTGCCATGGACTGCTGAGCAGGTGAGTGAGCAGCAAAGGTATTCTTTCAGTAAATAAAATCAGAAATAATATGTAGGGTGTCCTTTCAGTCTGAGGAGTAAATCCCAAATATTTGATTTTTCTCTGTTGCATGAAAGTGATTTGTTTGCTCCCAAGATGCTTCCCGAGGCAGAAGTTAAATATATATCCCTCTGAAGCTGAAAATAGACTCATAGGATGGTTTGAGTCGGAAGGGACCTTAAAGATCATCTAGGTCCTGTCCCCGCACCATAGGCAGGGATACCTTCTACTAGACCAGATTGCTCAAAGCCCCATCCACCCTGGCCTTGAACATTTCCAGAGATGGGGCAGCCACAGCTGCTCTTTCAGTTCAGACCCAGTCCTCTTTGTCCAGCCACTGTATGTGCTTTTCAAAAGTTTTCTTGGAGGCCTCCTTCAGGTACTAATGGGCTACAAAATGATCACTCTAGAGCCTTATCCAGGCTGAAAAATTCCAATTCTGTCAGCCTTCCCTCATAGGAGAGGTGTTCCATCCTTTAAATCATGGTGGCTCTGCTGTGTACTCATTCTAACAGATCCATGTCCTTCCTGTGCTGAATGCCCCAGAGCTGGATGCTGCACTGCTGGTGGGGTCTCATAAGAGCAGAGGGAATCTCCTGAGAATCCCCCCATCACTCTGCTGGCCACACTGCTTTTGGTGCAGCTCAGAGCACAGTTGACTTTCTGGGCTATAAATACGCATTACTGGGTTGTGTCCAGCCTCCTTGGAGGGGCTGGGTGCTCTCTCTTGCGCACATTCTCCTCTCTCCACTCATCCCCCAGCCTGGGTTGATACTGGGAGTTGCTCTGACCCAGGTGCAACACCTTGGCTTGTTGAGTCTCTTCAGCTTTCCATGGGCTCACTTCTCAAGCTTGTCCAGGTGTCTCTGGATGGCCTCCTATCCTTCAGGTGTCCACCAAGCTTTTTCATCACAAACTTGCCCTCAGGAAGCCCTCAATCCTTTTGTCTGTCATTTATGATGTTAAATGGCACTGGTCCTATTATGGATCCCTGAGGAGTGCTGCCTGTCATTGATGTCCATCAGGACTCTGAGCCATTAACCACTACCCTCTGGATGTGATCATTCCGCCAGTTCCTCACCCACAATAGTCCACCCATGAAATCCATGTTTCTCCAATTTAGAGAGAAGGATGCTGTGGGTGAAGGATGCTTGTCAAAGGCGTGACAGAAGTCCAGATAAATGGTGTTTGTAACTGCACTGATGTAATTGCTCTGTCATGAAAGGCCATGATGTTGGTCAGGGAGGACTTGCCCTTGGTGAAACTGTGCTGGCTGTCTCAATCACCTCCCTGTCCTGCATGTGATTCAGCACAGCTTCTAGGAGGATCTCTTTTATGATCTTCCGAGGCACAGTAATAATGAATAATCATCTAATGCTTTTTTTTTTTTTTAAAAAGCAGGTGTGAATCTGTAATAAAGGTGTCTCTGGCTACCTCTAAGTACTTCAGGAACTTGTGGTTCACTTCAGTTCCAGTTGTATCCTGCTGCAGTGACACAGTTGCTTTTTCCTTTTCTGTTACCCCAGCTTTTTCTGTTCAATTGCCCTGTGTTTTTTTGCAGGTGTCTTGACACCTGGTTTGCCAGTGGAAGTTTACACTTAATTCTCTTCTATTCCAGGTTGTGGCTATGGCTTTCTCTCAGAAGAATCCTAAAAACCAGTCAGAAGCTTTGAATTGGCTTTCAAATGCAATTAAAGAGTTTGGCTTTTCTGGGTAAGTCTTTTAGAGCAACCCGAATGAAAATGTTTCTAATTTGGAACTAAGGTCCTGTTCATCTGAACTCCAGTTCCTTAAACTCTGATGCTAGCCATGTTTTTCTGGCTCTTAAGTATATAATTGAAAGTATCTGGCATTAGTAGTACAGTGGGATCTGATTACACTTGTAGCTGCTTTACTCATCACTCTATCTTCTCTGAAGAGCATGTGTCTTAAGGTACTTAAAGGTGTGGACTGGGCACAGATCTGTGGCGTGGCATACCTGTTACACTCCTACTTGGATACACCTGCACCCAGTTGGACCACTATACATTTTATAGTTGAAAATTAAAAACCACAACTGAATCTGACAACCTACAGAAGAGTGCATAACCAGCATGCCTGTTAATCTCCTTGGGAGACATTTTGAGGTTGATTACAGGTGGATGATGTTTTAGCTGTTATTAACAAAATAGCTGTTATTATGTCTGGCATTGTGAGTGTGAGAAATTATTTCTCAATCAGAACCAGGGGTACTGTGCCATAATTTTTAATCACTAGTCTTTTAACTGAATGTGGTTAAGTACATATAACAGTTTATCCTGACAGAAAATCTCTAAGCAGAGAAAATGTCAAATATCACTTTGACTACTTGGGCAGTTACTATGCCTGCCTTGAGATATTTTGTGGCTCTTAAATGGATAGTGACATTGATTAAGTCTGGGAAATAAACTCTTCTTTAGTAAATTCTACCTAAAAAAATATATTTGCAAAATGGAATGTGTATAGATGTGTTATTAGGACAGCAGTGTTCGAGGCTGCACAGATAATACATACAGGATTTTAAACCTTTCTTTATTTCTCTTGTAAATATCCTTTTGAAAAATGTGCCTTTTTCTGGAAGATCATGAGACTAACTAACAAAAATAAAATAAAAAAGACCCACCACAACAGTAATATACCCTCACTTTTATTGTATAGTCATGTTTCAGACTTAAAATGTTTCTAGATTCATTCCTCAGTATTTCAGTTCTAGCAGTCACATGGATTATGTAGTTTAAGAAACTTTCCTGCTGTGATAATAGTAGGCTTTTGTATAAATTGTTTACTGATTGATTTTCACAGTAGGCTATTCTCCAAACTGATCTTTCAGTAGTTATTTAAGCAGCTACTATCATATACCTGTGATGATGTTTTATGAGTATACATGTTTTCTGCATCTAAGTTAGCTGTGTAAATCTGTCTAGGGGTATCTTTTTTATTTAACATACTGTGATGATTTTGTTTGTTGGTGCTGTTTCCTTGTCGCCCTGATTTTGTAAGACTTTGTTAAGCCGTCTGATGTTTACATTCTTTCAACAAACTTTCTCACACACAGTTCTGTAAATAACTTATGTTTTGCATTCTTTTATGGAGGTGGAGAGAATTGATGGACTCTTAGTCTGTCCAGTGGCATTGGAGAGGTGGCACTGTCACCCTCCAATCCACTGTCACCTTTGGAAAACTATAAATGTTAAAGTCAGAAAATAAAGTTCTTCTTTTTTTTATTCCCCTCGAGAGCAGCAGTGTCTGTGTCATCATTTCGTGCCTTATCACAACAGTTTCCTGTGTTATGTTTTATTTATGGGAGACATCTTTTTTCCACAGATTAAATGTCAAAGCTTTCATCAGTAATGTGAAGACAGCTCTTGCTGCAACTAACCCAGTGAGTAAATTTAGAATCTTAGTCCTGAATTATTATCAGTCCTTAATTTGAAGACTGAGTGCTTTTTCCTCTTTTTGGCAGGCTGTGAGGACTTCTGCCATTACATTGCTGGGAGTAATGTATCTTTATGTGGGACCTTCTCTGCGAATGTTTTTTGAAGATGAGAAGCCAGCCCTTCTCTCTCAGATAGATGCAGAATTTGAAAAGGTATGAAGTGGACCTCTCTTGCTACCAAGTGTCATTAAAGCTACTTTATAACTTCAGTAGCTGGAGTTTGTAGTAATACTGTGGTCTAAACCTTGGGCCTGTAATTGAACCAGATTTGTAAGACTGCACAAAGGCTGCAAATTCATTATGTGTAGCTATCTCAGTAGTCAGTCTTTTTCATTATGAACTTTAAAGTTCCTGGGTTTGTTTGAATAGTATAATGGTTTAGAAGTCTGCTGTCCTATCCAGTGCATTCATATCGTACAAGTGGTTCTGTTTTTAGTGTCAAATTAAAAATTGTAAAATTACTGTTTCTGATTTTGTGTTGCTTGCAGATGCAAGGACAGACAGCACCAGCTCCAACTCGTGGCATTTCCAGGCACAGCGTGGGAGGTGGGGATGATGGTGAAGAAGAAGAACCGGAGGAGGTTGGGAATGATGTTGTGGATCTCTTGCCAAGAACAGATATTGGGTAGGTTTGTATTCTAGCGCCTGAAGATACACTGCAGTTCAAAACTTGGCATTTCTGCTTTCTAGGCACAAATCTATGGTGTTAAAGCACTCAAATACTAATAGAGCTATCACTAAGTAAATAGGCACTTTACCTGTTTTTCTCTTGCAGTGATAAGATCACAGCGGAATTAGTGTCTAAGATTGGGGATAAAAATTGGAAGATCAGAAAGGAAGGTCTAGATGAAGTGACAAGCATAATAAATGAAGCCAAGTTCATTCAGCCAAACATAGGAGAGCTTCCAGCTGCTCTGAAGGGTCGTCTCAATGACTCCAATAAAATCTTGGTATGTTTTTCAAAATCCTGTTTCAGTTGTTTCCAGCTTAAAACTTAAGGTAGTCATGATTTCTGAACCTTGCTTGTTACTGTGTGGTCTCTTTCAATGTCATTAAGTCAGCAGTTGGAAAATAGTGAGCTGTGTGTTACCAGATCATATATTTGCCTATTTTAATAAATATTTGCCCTTTTTTTCATTTAAAGAAGCTGAAATGAAAAATTACCTTTACTCCAAATGTAATATAAGGAAATCTTAAAAGAATTTGACTAATTGCTTCATTTGTGACAGAAGTGAATTGTCCCTTTTTTGAAAATGTTTTAACTTGAAATTTAATTTCCTCAGAATATGGAAGTATTTTTTAGTTTTCAGTGTGATGAATTTGAAGACTGGAATAGGTTTCATTGAGCAAACATTCTAAAGTAAAAGCTTAATATATAGCAATATCTTATTTCCCTGTACAACTGGGAAGTTTTGCACAAATGCTTGTAACACTGCTGTATTTAAAACCTTTTTTTTTTTTTCTTATGTACAGGTGCAACAAACACTGAGCATTCTTCAGCAATTAGCAACAGCAATGGGCCCCAATATCAAACAATATGTGAAAAATTTGGGGATTCCTGTCATTACAGTCCTAGGAGATAGTAAGGTAGGACAGAGGTCATGATCTCTTTGCTTTTTTATGTATCTAAGCTATGCCTGAAAGGTGGTTGGTAGTTAAAACTTCCTTGGAATCTTACCAATGTTTTTAAAAAGTTATTTCCTGAGTGATGACTTATAATTCAAGTATAAATATGTGCCTGAATGTATATTCAGATGTATTTCCTCCTTGTAACTGAACCCAGTGAAACAATCTGGCTTTTAAATCAATGTGGTGACTATATGCATATTTCTGCTGCTGAAAGTACAGTGTTTTAGACACTGAACAGGTTTGCTTGATAAAGTTCCTTGTAGAATTTTTAGTGTATCACTGTGGATTCCAGTGTACATTGTTGTTATCTTTGTCGTTGTGTAGAAGACCTTTGAACTAGGTGTGTGTCGTGTGTAGGTAGACACACGACATTTACAACTGACACTGATGCTTGTATAAATAACACCAGTGTTGAGTTTGCCAGGATGCTGTGGCAAAATCAAGCTTAGGACCATAGGGAAAGAGCTATTTGAAGCAATGGGCAAAAAGGCTTGGGAAGGTTCCAATATCTTTTGCCAGAAGTCATGGGCAATTATTATCAAAGGTGGCATACTTCAGCTCTCTGCTTGGAATGTGAGTAGGAAAAAGAGCAGAAGCTGGATCTACCTGTCATAAACAGTGGAAAGACTTGGACTGGTTCTAGGGCTAGATAAAAATCTCCTGATTCAAACTGTTTTATCTTAAGTGTCTTCAAGATCTGAGATTTTATGTGACTGTTCAATTCTTTTAACTCACCAATTATCCTGAGGTAACAACAGTGAGCTCTTTTTGCAGAGTCAGAGAACTTTTTAGGTTGGAAGGGAACCCCACTGCCAAGACAGGGACACTTTCCACTAAACCAGGTTGCTCAGAGCTCCAGACTGGTAGGAGAGTTGCAAGTATGTGGTTTAAGGATAAGACCAATTGTAATTAAGTTACACTGTTACTAAAATGCATAATACTGACATAACTTGTAAGCACTATAATGCCAACAGAAGACTGTATGCTGTTTGAACACTCTTACTGTGGAAAATTTTTTAAAGTACTCCAAGTGCAAGATTTAACTAGTTTATCAAATTTTTCAAGTTTTTGAAGATGATGGTGGTCCATTTTGGGTTCCACTTCAGTATGTTTATAGTGGATTGAAGAAAATAATCAGCTTGAGGCATGAGTAAAGACAAGTCAAATTTGGGTGATGGGAGCCAAGGCCTTGTCAGAGAGGCTGATGTCCATGTGTTTATCTGCAGCATGTGATTTGTTTGTTTTTCTCAATGAGATAGAAGATGGGAGAAGTTGGTAAAGCAAGGATGCTGACTTCTTGTTTACATATATGTTTGGATGTTACTTCTGAATTTGTGGTTCATACTTAACTAAATGAGTCTGCTACATTATTAGCTTTCCTCAGAAATTCAGCCTACAGGAGAAGGTCTTATGTATAAAGTCATGTCTAGACTGATAACATTTTAAAGAACCATCGTTGTTAAATATTCCATCTGGCTTCTCATGACTTCATATAGCTACTTCAAAAAAGGGTGCTGTTCTAAATTTTGCTTGGAAAAAACAAGATGGAAATTGGTAGGAATTAGAGGGCTCCCTCATTCCTGATTTTTCTCATGTGTATCCTAAATGAGAATGCCTAATAGCAGGCTCCATAATTCACTTGCCTTGATTTATGGATGTGCAGCCTATTTAAGCACTTTATAAGTCACTACCATTATTTTTTTGACTTCTTTGAGAGTTAGACTCCCAGAATTGTCTTCAGTGAATGGTAGAATATAAAAGTAATTTCAGATATAGCCTTTCACGCTCTTTATTTATTTTCTAAAAATTATGGCAGATGAGTATAATGTCTGACTGGGAGATTGCTGCAGCTGATATCATCACTGAAACTAAATTCTTCTGAATCTTAGACTTCTCAAGCTGCAAATAAGAGATTTCAAAGCCTGTGATGTGGAAGCTTTTTGCTTTCATAGGAAGGATGACTATTGCTTCTTCTGTCGTAATCTTCTGACCCCTCTTTAGGTTTATTCTTTTTAAATCTTGTTCTTGCTGCAGAATAATGTTCGTGCTGCTGCACTGGCAACTGTGAACGCCTGGGCCGAACAAACTGGCATGAAAGAGTGGTTGGAAGGGGAAGACCTGTCAGAAGAGCTCAAAAAAGAAAATCCTTTCCTAAGACAAGAGGTAGGCTTCTGTCAAGTAAACGTCTTATGTGTGTCAAATCAAAATAACCTTATGTGCTGTGGACTCTGTATCTATGCAGACTGAAATGACACAATGCTACCATTATATGGGAAAACAAGTAGCTGTGTATTTGTTCTGACATAAAATTGTTAAACCTTAAAAGGCTAATAACAAGCTTTCTTCCTGCATGAGAGCTGTCATTTGGACTTCAGTGCCTCTAAAATGAAACTTCTGTCTGTTTTGATTAGCGTTTTAAGAGCTAGTTTGTGAACCCTCAAATTCACCACGGGACGGAACTGGAGGCATTAAAAAGAGCAGCTGAAATTCTATTGCTTTCAAAAGGAAGAAACAGCCTGCAAGGAGACAAGGCTTAAAGATTTAAGATAGTTTTGTGTTAACATGCTGTACTTAACTTTTAATTTTTGTAATTGCTGGTGTGAAAATTGGTGTTGTTGAAGAATATTTGTCTGAAAAATGGGTGGGTTTTTCCTACTTACGTTGTAGAATGTAATAGTATGTGAAGGACTGCTATTCAGTCTCTCATGCCTTGACACAGCACTGTGAACACTTCTTTAAAAGCTTTTATTTTAAAACTTTCTTTCAGCTTCTTGGTTGGTTGGCTGAGAAGTTGCCTGCCCTCCGTTCTGTTCCTTCTGACCTGCTCTTGTGTGTGCCTCACCTGTACTCCTGCCTTGAAGATCGAAATGGGGATGTGCGCAAAAAGGCACAGGATGCCCTGCCGTTCTTCATGATGCATCTGGGCTTTGAGAAGATGGCAAAAGCCACTGGCAAGCTGAAGGTACTTCTGTTACAAAGATTAGATCATGTGATCTTGAATGTGTGAATATTAAGTCCTATTCACAGTCTCATGACATGCTGTCTTGAGTCATGTAAACTTGTCTGCATTGAGTATTCTCAGGGAGACTGAAAATAGTATCAGGAGCTGTGAACTAGACATTTCTCTGCTTCAGAAAAGATTACTGCCATTACAAGCTTATTACTTCAAGAGTTTGCTATTTATTCACTCTGATTTTCTTCCGAAAAAAATCTATTTGCAGATAGCTTCCATACCAGTTCCTGTCCCACTCTATGCCTTTCTACTCATATTTTAATGTTATCTCTAGCAGTTTGGTTTGGCTTATGGACCCCTGACTAGGCACGATACTGATGTCCAAAGACCACTCACCTAGAGTGAGTTTACATATTTCCCATAGATCTTGCAGAAGAAAATTTAAGGAAATGTATTTTAACTTGGAACAAAAGTATCTGAGAACAATGATGTTTTAAGATGACCATCCTCCAAGATGCTTAACAGAGCATGATTGTTTCAAACTAATTTGGTTTTGTTGTCTGTAGCACATATTGGAAAGATTAGTCATAGACATTGTTAAATTTATCACTTCTTTTTTGCACTTTTTGTTCCCTAGCCAACTTCCAAAGACCAGGTGCTGGCCATGCTGGAGAAAGCCAAAGCCAACATGCCAGCCAAACCAGCTCCTCTTGCTAAAGCATCTTCCAGAGTGGTAGGAGGAGCAGCTCCAGCCAAATTCCAACCTGCATCAGGTAACGTCTCTGACATTTTGGGAAGTGATTGCGAAAATGGTGGATTTTGAAGCTTTTTGACATGCCAGAGTAATAAATATATTTATCTGAAGAAGAGGTATTCAGCATAGTTAGGGTTCTGCTCTTTCTTGCATTTGAATCAGCTTCCAGTGTAGGAGGGTGTTTCCTTTCCACACAACCATCTGTCAGCTGCTATTTGAAAACTTGAAAATACCTACTTGGTATTGTAGCTAAAAGCAAGCTGGGCTAAAGGGGGAGATTTTTTCTAATACTAATCTGATTTTAATATGATTTTTTTTAATGTTTTCACATTATTCTTTATCTGGACTATTTCCACAGTCTAGTTCACTGTGGGACTGCCAGAATGCTTCTGTGATGGGATTAGGGGACAATTGATTTGAAGAATCAAACTGCTGGGGCTAGCTTAGTCAAGCCAGGTTCAACTACAGCTCTAGATATTAGTCTGCATAGTATATATGTCTGCATTTTTAATTGTTTTGAAAAATTGGCTGAGTACCATAATCTTAATTAGGAAAACTTTGTATGCTAACATGGAATTTAAGGGACTTCTTTGGTGGGTCTAAAAGCCTCAGACATAAGTGTGATTAAGCATATTGTATCACAAACATTTTTCTTATATCCTAAGAAGGGAAAACTGATAACCTAAAATGGGCTTCTAGATAACTTTAAATGGTCTGTTTCTCCAGCATTTACTGATGATTTGGGGTCTAATACTGTGGAAGCCAAGCCTGATCTCAAAAAAGCCAAAGCAGGAGGACTCTCCTCTAAAACTAAGGTATGTTGATTGCCTTTTGTGTAAAATCAGTTTTATTAAGTTAGTAGCTGTGGTTTGTTAATGTGTTGTAGGTAGAAGAGTGTAGTCCTTGCTATGGGCAACTTTTATTAAAAATCTTCATGTTTGTCTGAACTCTGAAATGACAGACATTCCCATGTCACTTACCTGATGACTGCTGTTGTCATTACCTATTTAATTGCTAAAGTCTGTACTGTCAAAAAACAGTCTAATGAGAAAGTCTGTCTTTTCTAAATTTTCCTGGCCTCTTTGCTTTTGTGCTATTGAAACTTCATTCTTGCTATTCCAGGTCCAATGTTATACTTGAATGTTAATTTTGAACCCATGTATCAAAAGAAATTAATCTCTGCCTTAAAGTATGAAGGGTAGGAAGTTCTCAAAGTGCAAAAAGGGAAGGAATATGCTTAAAAACGTCATAAACTCAACTGATTACAGTCAATTTTTGGTTACGTTTTGCTGTTGTTTTGTGTTACAGTAATTTTTTTTTGCTGTTAAGCAAAAGGTTTGTCCTATATATGTAACTAAAAATAACCCAAATTGTTCTACAGTCCCATTGTCTCCATTGTCTGAAGTAGTGCTGTAACAAGAACATTTGCTGTAACATTTGATGTAGGTCCATATTCATGGTAAGAATGAGCAGAACAAACCTTGAAGGATGTTGTAGGTTTGCTGAAGTCAATGCAGTGTTCTGCCAGAATTCTGCTGGTAGAGTTAAGACCTTTGTTGTCAGACAGCTGTTTATTCTTAAGAGTTTCCATTCCAAACCTTCTAACACATTCTCAGCAAAGACTTTTCTATGGCTTATTTCCAGCAGTCAGATGTTAATAGCAGTATGTCCAAGGGTAATGCCCGCCTGTCCAAAGCTAATACAAGGCTCAGCAAGGGCAGTTCGAGTGTGACAAAGAGCCAGTCTATCAAACAGGTACCACGGTGGGTTTTTGGGATGTGTGTGGGTGACTAGCACACTGGTTGAGAGCGGTGTCATAATTCACAGGGTACTACTATGCACTACTGTGGGTGTTTCTTCCACAGCAGCTGAGCACACACTTTTAAACTTCTAATCAACATTTTTCTTTCAGCTTCTCTCTGGCTCTTGTACACATATGCAGCATGAGGGTGGCAAGTATCTAATGCTTGCAGTTGCTGGGACTGAGGCATATATATGGCTTGTGTTGCCTGCTAATACCTTGCTTCTTTCAGGTACAGGGAAAGAAGGTGATAAGCAAGCCTAGTCTGAAGGAAGACGATGATAAATCAGGCCCTATTTTTATCATTGTCCCAAATGGAAAGGAACAGAGGATGAGAGAAGAGAAAGCTCTGAAGGTGAGAAAAATCAGAATGTGTTCACAACTTTTGAAGTGGAGGCTTTTAACGCATTCTTTAGTTTCTAATTTAGAATTTAACGTACTGTGGCATGTGTTAGCCACTGTCCATCTCTTGGAGTCTGATTCTTGAGTTTAATTTTGTACATCAGTTGTGGTGTTTCTTCTCTGATTTTCAAATTTTGTGCATTTATGTACTATTATAAAAACCTAAGGCCTTTTTACATTTTTCAAGTTGTGAAGTCTCATTACACTTAGTCAATTCTTTTCAGGTACAATGTCAGAGTTCTAGGGTGCATTGTAAGTGCTTTAATATACTTATTTTGAGCAGCCCCACTTAGTAATTTGTAAGGAAAATTCTTTTACTGAAAGATGCATGTTATTTGTAACTTGCTAGTAAGTAGGCCTGTCTGGAGCTTAAAAACAATGGCTTTAAGTGATAATTATTAGGATAATAGCATAAGGGTAATCAGTTCATATGTAGAAAACTTGACATGTAAAAAAGGGGCAAACACCACAGATTTTTCATTATTTATTGGCCATAAGAAGGCTTTGAAAACAGATTCTAAAGCAGATTTAAAAGATGTTCAATCAGCAGCATCTGTGAGGAAAAAAGGTATTGCTTGCTGTGAGTTCTAAATGCTGCCTTTTACAGGTGTTAAAGTGGAATTTCACTACTCCTCGTGATGAGTACATTGAGCAGCTGAAAACTCAGATGTCCACTTGTGTGGCCAAATGGCTACAGGATGAGATGTTTCATGCAGATTTCCAGCACCACAACAAAGCACTGACTGTTATGATTGAGGTGAGTTTGGATTTGTGGTAGAAGATGAGGCTGACAGAATTGCTCTTTGCTATGAAAGATACTGCTTGAATTAAAATAAAATAGAAATTCTCTGAGGAGCCTGGGTCGTTGTTCTGTGTGGTTGAAACCTAAACATACATAGAAATCATTTTTAGAGGTATGATGAAGTTGGTATTAATACTGTTTCTCAGGAGAAGGGAAAATTTCCTCACTTCTCTTAGAATTTCAAAAAGCCATGTAAGTTAAAAGTGAATATGTATTGTTCTAAGAATCTACCATTAAATGTAGATTATCTTATCAGACATAGCTTAGCTTGTTTTCTTGTTGAATGGTGTATATATGTGTTTCATTTACGTAACTTTTTTTTTTTTTTAAATGCCTTCAAGCACTTGGAAAGTGAAAAAGATGGAGTCATCAGCTGCCTGGATTTGATCCTAAAATGGCTTACCCTGCGGTTCTTCGATACCAACACAAGTGTTTTGATGAAAACACTTGAATACCTTAAATTGCTTTTCAGTTTGCTGAGTCAAGAAGAGTATCACCTCACCGAAAATGAAGCCTCCTCTTTCATCCCGTATCTTATCCTAAAGGTACAATTTGTTTTTCAGAAACTAACGTTATTTTTCGTGAGGATTATGGCTGGATACCATCAAACACTGCAATATGTTCATTGTAATTATATTGTGACTGGAGTTGAGTCCAGTTGGTGGCTTGTGTGAGATTTGACAGGACATGTTTATTTAACCTGGAGAAAAGGAGGCTCAGGGGAAATCTTAGTGCTCTTCATAACTACCTGAAAGGAGGCTGTAGTGAGGAGGGAGTTGGTGTTGTCTTGTCAAGTAACAAGTGAATAGAATGGGAGCAAAAGGACACAAGTTGTTCTAGGGGAGGCTTACATTGGATATTTGGAAAAATTTCTTTCCTGAATGGTTTGCGAATCACTGAAACGGGCTGCCCAGGGAAGCAGTTTAGACTCCATCACTGGAAGTCTTTAGAAGGTATGTAGATATGACACTTGGAGACATGGTTTAGTGGTAGACTTGGCAGTGTTGATTTAGCCGTTTGACTCGATGACGTTATGGTTGTCTTTTGTCACGGTTACGATTCTATATTGCGTATTTCCCTTAAAAGCCGTTGACAAAAAAAGGATTTTGCCTTGAGAATGATTCTGGCTTTCCTAAGACTATTTAGAATAGTTGAAAGTATCATGAGACTGTATAAAATATTCTGTATTTCTTCCCCTCTTTTTCATTTTTTTACATGAATTTTCCATTAGGTAGGAGAACCGAAAGATGTCATCCGTAAGGATGTACGTGCCATTCTGAACAGAATGTGTCTCATCTATCCAGCCAGCAAGATGTTCCCATTTATCATGGAGGGGACAAAATCAAAAAACTCCAAACAGCGTGCAGGTGGGAAATGGCCTGTTGAACTGCACATGTGCAAAGCACTTGAAATTGCTTTGGTTTACATCTTAAAAAACCCAGCATAAGAATGTTGTGTGGGATGTGAGATTTGCATGCACATGGCGTTTTATGCAGATGGGTTTAAAGGATGAGATTTTCAAGTAGTATCATATTGCTTTTTATTTTTTGGCGTCTTTGTATCTTCCAAAGACAAGTAATCACTTAAGTTGCTATGAGTATTATGAGTTCCTTGAGTAGGGTTGTTTTCTTAGTGAAGCAGTGTTGGTGAGAACAGTGACAGTACTATTTCCCTACTCACCAAGAGAATCAGTTAATCTGAGTAAGAAATGTCTCTACACTGTACATCTGTCTCACCACAAGTAATGTCTGTAATAAAGTTGTGGCATTTTTAGTTCAAACAACTTCCTGATCACTTGGAGAATATTTTATCCTGATATAAACAGAAAGTGAAATTCTGTACATAATATAGTATTGCAAGCTCACAACTGCTTACATGAATGTGATGCTAACTGTAGCATTGCTCATACATGGTTATGGGAAATACTTCACGTGTAGAAGGGTGACTGACAGCTTCTATCTGTGAAGTAGTCTGCTGTAGCTTACTATTGATCCCATAAATCCCCTGGAGTATATCTGTCATCAGCTTTATGATTGGCATTTTTTGACAGTGAATGTTCAAGCTGTGCAAGCAACACAGGAATTGGGAGGGCTCTCTTCCCAGCAGCTTTAAAGTTGAATGTTTGTTATCTTCTTTTAGAATGCTTGGAAGAGCTTGGATGTCTGGTTGAATCGTATGGCATGAATGTATGCCAGCCAACTCCAGGGAAAGCCTTAAAAGAAATGGCGACCCACATTGGTGACCGGGACAACGCCGTGCGCAACGCTGCACTGAACACCATCGTGACTGTCTACAACGTCCATGGTGACCAAGTGTTCAAGCTGATTGGAAATGTCAGTATAACTGCAGATAGGTTTATGAGGGATTTGGGTTAGCATGCTGTGCTTGGTTTGGTTTGTGGGATTGTTTGTTTGGGGTTTGGTGGTTTGGTTTTTCTTCATGTCCTTACACTTCTGTAGGGGATTAGCACTGTTTTGCTTGTGATTGGTCATGGTACATCTTGCTGTTGGTGTCAAGAGCATTTTGTAGTTTTGAAAATAACTTAATACGTCATGGATCCTCTGATGGCTATTTAGTTAATCCCAGGTTGTAGAATATATGAAATCATGGAATGGTTTGGGAAAAAAAAACATTTAGGTCCAAACCCCCTGCTATGGGCAGAGACACTTCCAGGAACTGGATATCCTGTTTCATTGCCTCAGCCACTCTCACAATCAAGAGTTTCTAATCAAATCTAAATTGATCTTTAATTTTAAAGTAATTATCACTTTTCTATCACTGTGTGCTCTTGTTAGAAGTCCCTCTCCAGCTTCCTTGTAGGCCCCTTTTAGATACTGGAAGACTGCAGTGAGGTCTCCTGAGAGCCTTCTCTTCAGTATGCTCTCAACCCCAACTCTCAGCCTGTTTCCAGTAAGAGAGGTGGATATAACCTTGATGTGCATGAATGGGGAAAAAAAAAAAAAAACTGGGAAAAAAAAAATACTGACCTTCATGGGAATTGCATTGTTTATAAAGAGTAACTTCCGTTATAGTCAATTGTACAAGTAACACATCTGATTCAGAGTATTTGGATAACTTATTTGGCCCAAAAAGGCTAGTTGTTGGGGTTCCAATAAGTTCTCAGCTTTTTCTTTATCCCAAACATCCAATTGCTTTGCAGTTGAAGTCTGGTAAATTTTTCTTACTTGCTTCATCTTAATGCATTTCATTTCAAGTGTCAGTACTGTGCCGCTTTGTATGGCTGCTGTTTTCCTCTCTGAAAATTATACTTAACCATAATCTAAAATGCAGTAGAAATTAAATATGGCAGAACTCAGTTTCCAGTGTGCAACAATGGAGAGCTAGTTCACTGTGTTTATAGTTACTGTGCATATCAGATTAAGTACACTGAATTCCAATCTGAATCAAGATCAGCTAGATCATTTTTTACAGTTCTGTTCTCTGGATTTGGCCTTGGTAATGTTTCTAGCAGCATTAAAACTGATGGGAATGTGATAGATATTTTAATGCCTTTGCAACTATTTTGTGTTGTGTCATATGCCATAGGGCATACAAGCTATTGGATGAATACTTTATGGAATATGACAAAGCTGCCCTGCTTTTTTTTTTTTTTAATATTTCCAGCGTCTTGAAAAGTTGAAATTTAATGTGACTTATTTTCTCTACCTAATGGTAACTATTCCCATGAGAGTTAATGTTGTGTTTTCATTAACATCTTAGAGTTCTATCCTATTTAACTGTTGTTCAGAGTGCAATCTGCTTCTGCCTCAGTTTTACATAGTCAGTTTGCTTTTGAATTTTCAAGGTAAAGGAAAAACTGTAGCACCTGAACAATTCAGCTCTTTCTAACCATGACTTCCTGAGCTTCAGTATGATCCATCTATGGGTTCTCAGGAAGGTTTCTAAATCACAGGGATGCTGGAAAGTACTTCTCATGAAATTGTAAAGCCTACTTTTGTTCAAATAGAGTTATTGGTAGTCTTCAGTCTGGTAGATGAGCAGGTAAATATGAATCTCACTACCTGAGTTGGAGCATTAAGTTGCCTGATCTGGTGCTCATATTGAATTATGAGTACATTGAATGGGGCAATTGTTAGAAGAACTCTGTCTTCTGTGGCGAGGTCCAGAGTGTTCAAGCACTGCCTGGTCTGCTAATAGGGGATATTGAAAGGTGGATGGGGCTTTTTTTGTTTGGGGTTTTTGCAGCAACAGATGCAACAATTAAGAACATGGGATAGTACTATAGTTTGAATTCAAGATTGTTTCTTGAAAGGTATGTGGACTAGACATAGGTGTGTTCTGTATTACAGCTTGTCAACATGGTTTAATTATCTCTTGAAGTAGCACCTGATAGTTCAGAGTGCTCTGGCTCTGGTGAGTTTGCTGCTAGGAGGTAGCATTGACAGCTCCCACCTTCATATTAGAGTACTTCAGTCTGCACTGATAGGTATGGTTTGAATCCTGTAGGTGACTGAGATTTCTAAAACCCATACAACTCAGGATGAGTGAAAGCATTGTGTGTTACAGCTTTCAGAGAAAGACATGAGCATGCTGGAGGAAAGAATAAAGCGGTCAGCCAAGAGACCCTCTTCTGCTCCAGTGAGGCAGGCAGAGGAGAAACCCCAGCGTACTCAGAACATCAGTGCCAATGCCAGCATGATGCGCAAGGGACAAGCTGAGGACATGTCCTCCAAACTCAAGTATGTAATGTTACATTATGGCTTCTACCTGCACAGTGTGTGTGCTAGTATGTCAGACAATGTCATTTTAGTTCTTGTATCATCATCTTCGCATGTTGTGAAAAATGGCCAAATAATATAAATCTAAATGTCTGAAATTTTTTTGTCTTGTCTGTCTTGAAATCTTTCTAAATGGTCTTGTGCCTTTTTTCACTGCTTCTCCATGGACAGAATTATGTATCGCACTTATAGGATGTAAGTACTGCCCACTAAACTACTTGGTAGCAAGGCTCTTGTATCTTTCAATTTCTATCCTAGCCATCCCTTCCTGAGGGTGACGGGTTTGCCATGGCTAGTTCTAGGTTATTTACAGGTCTCTGAATTAAGGAAAAGAAAGAAAACAGAAATACAGGTTTCTGTCAAGGTGACTGTAGATTAGGCTGCAGACAGACATGACACTTCCACATTAAGCAAGTGTTCAAAATATTGGGAGAACTTCCAGTGTGTTACACTAAACTTGGTATTTGTTCAGCCGTGTTCTAGTTGTGTTAGACATGAAGCACAGAAATGGATAAGCGTGTGTGAATTGTACAGCCTGGGGCAACAGTACCCAAAAGAAAAAGCTCAGAAACTATTCCTTGCCACCTGCTCATTATTTTGGAATAAAACTCTATGCTAAGAAGTATGTATTCAAATATTTCCTTGAAAAATCTGATATGCAGCATAGGTCATGTGGGGATGCTGTGAATCTTAGGTTCAGAGGAGCTCATGAGGTTGCTCTGTGCATGTGCGTCCTGTCCATTATTTAAAAAAAAGGCAAAAAAAAGCCACTCAAACTTTAAAGTTCTATTCTTTTACTAGTACTGGAAACTGTGCTAGTTATCCCAAACCATGCATACCTGGCACAGGATGGGGCATCTTGTGGTTTACAAGAGAAACTAGGAAGGCAAGTAAGTAGCAGCTGCTATTCTGGCCTACAGAAGTTTGTTTTACTGAGGACTAGGGGAAAGGCAGAGGGAGATAAGGGGCTTAAATATAATCCAAACTGCAAAACCTGTGTTAGTATGAGAGCTTTAGAGCTAGTGGATGCTATTGCTAATATTCTTGCCTCTTAAACTCTCTCCTGGTTTCTGTAGCCAAAATCGCAACATGGGCAGCCACTCAGAAACAACACATACAGTTCCACGGGAATTTCAGCTGGATCTTGATGAAATTGAAAATGACAATGGAACCATCAGATGTGAGATGCCAGCACTTGTACAGCACAAACTAGATGACATCTTAGAGCCAGTCTTGATTCCTGAGCCCAAGTGAGTTTAGTTTTACCTCCTAAGTGAAATCAGCAGGACTGCCTAAAAAGTATTTTGAGAAGGTGTGAATTGATGGCGCTAGTTTCTACATTCAGATTTGTTTTCATAAGAGGGTAGTGTCAGCTAATTTGAAGAGATGGCAAAACAAAGGTCTGTTGTACTCTTCTGAAATCTGAGAGCCATTATTTTTAATGAAAAATATTAGTTCTACTTAGGCATTTTTATAGTTAGAGGATATTGAGTTTGTAAACGCATCATCAGTGTCTTTACAAATAGTGCAATAGACATGGTAAAAAGGAATGATTCCTTCCTTGAGAATCCTCAGTGAAGAATGAAATCCTTTTCTCTTGTCTCTAATTCATCATTGAAATACAGCAGTTAAGCATGCATTAAAGTAGCTTTCCAAAAAGTAAAGAACCCTCTTTTCAACCCTTTAGAATCCGTGCTGTGTCCCCGCACTTTGATGATATGCACAGTAACACAGCTTCTACTATCAACTTTGTCATTTCCCAAGTGGCTAGTGGTGATATAAATACAAGCATCCAGGCTCTGACACAGGTAAGTGAATTAAGGTAGCAACTAATCACGCTGTACCAGACTTTGCCTGCGAGGGTGATGAGTTGCACTGTGGTGGAGCAATCATGTCAGGTGACGTGGGCTCTGCTCAGAATCTCCCTGATGACAAAACTAAGTGCACAGGGGCCATCTGACTCGCTTTAGCAATAGAAATTCCACTTGAAAGATGTAGAATAAGCTTAATGCTTTTTTCATTAGTGCTTCTGTGTTATATTTTTTGTTTTGTCAAATTATTTGTGCTATGAGTTTGTAAAAGCCAGTTAGTCAGTGAAACTTTTAAATTTGAACTGCTTTAGAGATCCTTAGCAAAAAGATTGTCTTGCCCCGTAGTTTTTGCATGGGCTGAGTGGCTTTAACTACTTAGTTTTTATTTGTCCAGAGATTCCATAAAAATTCCAGAATCTATAATGCAGCTGCTGATGTTTTCATTTGTGTAGGAGATAGGATTGCCATTCTCTAAAATATCAGTAATTGATTGAGTTTGGATTAGCAATACAAATTCTCTAGCTACAGGTTTGGGGTGAAAGCTTAGAATACAATGGCCTTGGCAAGTGGATTGGTCAGGGCAAAACCTTTCCAACAGAAAAGTATTTATTGTTATTTTACACTGTTTGCATTATGTTGACTTTACTAGAGTGTTTTGTATTTAAATCTTAGATTGATGAGGTACTCAAACAGGAGGACAAAGCAGAAGCTATGTCTGGCCATATCGACCAATTCCTAATAGCCACATTTATGCAGCTCCGGTTAATCTACAATACACACATGGCAGATGAGAAGCTGGACAAAGATGAGATTGTCAGACTTTACAGCTGTATTATTGGGAGCATGATCACGGTAAGGCTTTGCTGTAAAAGATAAGGTGAAGAGTAAATAACTTCTGTGCAGAAGCTGTGGAAGAATGGAATGTCTGTTCTGTACCTGGGTTAGCTTATTACTGAGTCTTTCTTACGAAGGTTTGTTGCCAACTGCTAATCAATGCATCTTTTGAGAGTAGGTGGGGAATGAGCATTTGGGAAAGGGAAGGTCTCTGCTTCTGCAAAAGACTGCTTCTGCCACTAAGACTTCTATTAAGCTCTGTTTTTAATATTCCTTACCTTTTGAGTGCTGAGTTGCTGGCCTGAGTATTTTCAGAAGTCACTCAGTAGAAATAACTTTCTTCATAGTTCTGTTTTTACTTTTGTGGGAAACAGGGAGATGTCATGATTTGACAGTGTAGTCTAGAGAAGTCTCTCTACTAAAGGATTATGTGCAGGGAAAACTAACACTTTCTTCAATCTGTAGCTATTTCAGATAGAGAGTCTGGCTCGAGAGGCATCCACTGGTGTTCTCAAAGACCTAATGCATGGTCTTATTACATTAATGCTGGATTCTCGGGTAGAAGATCTTGAGGAGAGTGAGCAGGTCATCCGATCAGTCAACCTCTTGGTAGTTAAAGTTCTGGAGAAGTCTGACCAGACCAACATCTTGAGGTAAGTAATGAAAGCGCACAATTAACTGCTCTTCTTTACCTGTTCTCTTATGTTCCTTGAGTGGCCAAGTTTTAGTAATTTTGGAAGCAAAGGCCAGTGTCTGTAGAATCATTCAGCTAGCTAATAAAGAATTATCACTGATTGTGATCAGAATTTGACTGCACAGCTGGAGGCAGGCTAAACAAACCACCTTAGTATGCTTCTTTGTGCTTTGAAGTTCAGCAGACCGTCTTAAATTCTTGTAACATACTAAAAAGAGAGAAGAGCTGTTGCATATCTGCTGGACTAACCCCAGTCTCTGGTGTGCTATTCTGTGGTGAGTTGGTATATATTTTTTTTCTTATGTATAGCACTTTTTCTGTGAAACATTTATAAATTTATTCCTTCTAGTGCTCTGCTTGTCCTGCTCCAAGACAGTCTTCTAGCAACAGCCAGCTCTAAGTTTTCAGAACTTGTCATGAAGGTGAGCCTGTAGTAGAGATTTTAAACTTACATGGTTTCTCTGAATCATCTTACCTGAAAGAAGAGATGGAGTTAAAAAGAATTAGTGTTGATAACTTGAAATATTTCTTACAACTTCTATAATTCTGATCTTACTAGATGTCACATATAGGGACTTTAGGAAGGAGCTTAACACCTGTTAATAGTTTGCAGAAGCTTGTGTACACTAATACAAACTCCATGCAGAGGTGCAGTCCTGCATACAGTCACCTGCTGGGTTTGTTTGATTGAGCACCACACTGTACTATGGATTCCAACAGTGCTAGGCTGGAGCTGACTTCTATCCTGTCATCTGTATTGACAGGCAGAATGAACAGGCAAAGGTCTGCATTTAAAGCATGAGCATGATCTTTTCTTACCGTACAACACCCTTTTGTGAGTGGTAAAATTTAAAGACAGCTCAGGTGTTCTTAATGAGGTTAAATCTAAAGAACTTGTGCTATGTGTAGGTGTACATAGCACATATATATATATATATATTATCTACTGAAATTCCTTCACACAAAGCATTCGGTCTCCAGTTATAGGTAGAGAAATCAGTACCTTATGCATCAACTCTGAAGATCTGGATACTGTACAGCCAGTAACAAAGAGAAAGTATGTACCAGTGCAAATATAGCTTGAGCAGCAGACACAGTGCATGCCTGTATGATGTGCTAGCAGAGTGAAGTGGCTCAGTGATAGTGTTGTGTAACTTCTTATATAATCAAGTGCTTCTTTCTTGAGTTGTCTTGCTTTAAGTTGTCCTCTCATTCCAGTGTCTGTGGAGAATGGTGCGTCTTCTTCCAGAAACCATTAATAGCATCAATCTGGATCGGATTCTGCTGGATATCCACATTTTCATGAAGGTCTTTCCCAAAGAGAAGCTGAAGCAATGTAAGAGTGAGTTCCCTATTAGGACATTGAAGACGCTGCTTCACACCCTGTGCAAGCTGAAAGGGCCCAAGGTCAGAGCAATCACTAGTCATATTTTTTTAAATTCTATGTTCATGCAGTCTTTAGAGTCTTTCCTTTTCTTTTTTCCATTTTTTTTCAATTCCCCTTTTTTCTCGTTTTAGATCTTAGATCATTTAACAATGATAGACAACAAAAATGAGTCTGAGCTAGAAGCTCATCTTTGTAGACTAATGAAACACACTATGGAGCAGACTGGAAAAGCTGATAAGGATACAGAAAAAGGAGCTTCTTGCATAGTAAGTAAAGAAGATGTGTACTGCATCTGATCTACTAAAAGTTAGCCATGTCTAAAACAGCTTTTAAACATTTCTCAGAAGGAGTCCTATGGCTTCATGATGTCCTTGCTCACATTCTGTGTATAAAGTGGCTATGTAGAGCCCTGATCACTTCCAGGTTTTCTTCATCTTGGAAGCTCTGTATCCAGCTACCACGTCTGAGGGTGTCACGGGTTTGTCTGATTTCTTTTTGGTTTTATTCACTTCGATTTTAAAGTCTGCTTTTGTTTATTTTTTCAGGAGGAAAAGGCTTCAAAAGCCAAAGTCAATGATATTTTGGCAGAAATATTTAAGAAGATTGGCTCAAAGGAGAACACCAAGGAGGTGAGTGCCCCCTTCCTGCAAGAAAGAGAGCATGATACACTAGAATGGTGTATGCAGCAGTTGTAGTAATACCTGGCGACTTTTCCCTCCCAGGGTCTGGCAGAACTGTATGAATACAAAAAGAAATATTCTGATGCAGACATTGAGCCCTTCCTGAAAAATTCCTCACAGTTCTTCCAAAGCTATGTGGAAAGAGGCCTCCAACTGATAGAAACAGAACGGGAAGGGAAAGGATGCATTGCTACTTCTACAGGTATGTGTTGTAGCAAAACTGATTGGTTTGTGGGAAGCAGAAATAGAACAGTTACAGGTCTCCTGGTAGAAATTAATATTTGCATATGTTTATGGATTTCTGAAGCAAGCCATGTATTTTCTTGCTGCTTTAGTTGCTTCACAAGGCAGCATTTGTAGGGAGTATGCATTCTTTGTTTACAAAAACAGAAGTTGGAACCACGCTAAATGTCGAAGACATCTGAAAGGCTTAGCAAATGTGGTTCTAATCCATCCTGTCTAATCCTATAGTGTGGGTTGAACATTAAGCCTGTGTTTCATGTGTCTGGTATGAAGAATTGGTTCTGCAAGGTATAAAGCTGGTTTAAAACAGCAGCACCAACTGTCAGATTCTCCATTTACGTTTTTACTAAAATACATATAGGATGCTTTTTAATAGTATTATTTTCTGTCAACTTGGAAAACTTATTTTAAATAACATGAACTGTTTCTGCAGAATTTGTGATGAATTGGATGAATTACTGTAAAACTGTTTGTTGCTTAGTCTTTTCATTACAGATAAATACCAAGGAGTATTTAATAAAATATTAGGGAAGGAATGTGACAAATTATTAGCTGACAGCAAAAGCTGATACACAGTCTAGCAAAACTACCGCTAACCTTTATTTCTTAGTCGTTTCATAGTGTCCTGTGAAACTTGAGCCTTTTTTCTACTGCTGCTCCTTTTCCTATCCCTGTATTGTAGATTCCTTTAGGAAGATGGATGATGTGAGGTTCTTCCAGAACTTCCTAAATGTGTCCACCTATGTAGGACAGAAAATTCTACCTTGCATCATGAAAGTCTGTACAACTGAGAAATATTAGTTCAGCAGTTTTCAAAACCAAATTTATGTGCCACAGTTGTCTTTTTTTTTTCCTCCCTAACTTTAAGTCTGATATAATAAAACATGTTCCATATTGCAACAGTGCTTTATTAAGAGTAAGGTGTAAATGCTTAACGTTAATTCTCCTTTTATCTATTTTAAAGACCCTTGTAGTAAATTAGTGAGAACAAATCATTGTCCATGCTAAGTCTTAAAATTTGCAATTTTTTTAATAATGGAGAAGTTTGTTTTGTCATGTAAAAAAATTTTTTTCTAGTCTCTTGGTAGGGAAGCTTTGAAAACCTTGTTATGTGCATTCCAGAAATCACTCTTTGAGACTGAGTTGGAGTAAAAAGCTTCAAGTTGCACAAATGAGAGATAAAGAGGGGTTAGAATCAGTGGTAAGCCCAAAAGTATAACTAAACTAGAAAAGGACAGACAACTCCAAGTGTTTCCCACCTTGCCAATTGCTCAGTTCTCCCGTTGGACATTATGGTCACTGCTGATGCACATCAGCATCTTCCTCTCCCCACACTGTTCTCTTCAGCTCTTGGCTTCAGTACTTCTAGAGCTGCTCTGCAGCCACGGCTTAAATTTCTCCATTTCTTTTCTTGGTTTTCAGTTGTCACTTTTGCAAGGAAATGAAAGGCCGGATATATCTATACTAGCAAATGCAAATAACAGGTTGATTAATTCTTCATCCATTGCATCTTATTTCAAGGAACTGATCAAGAGGTTTACATTTTTCTGGTGTTTCAAATTTTTTAACTCTCCTCCTTTCTTCCCCTCATTGTCCAGGAATTTCTCCTCAGAGGGAAGGAACATGTGTTCCCGCGCCTACCCGCACTGTGTCTTCGTCTACAGGAAACACAAATGGGGAGGAAGTGGGGCCTTCAATTTACTTGGAAAGATTAAAAATCCTCAGGCAGCGTTGTGGCCTCGACAATGCAAAGGTATTGTACTTGACAGCACTTGTAAATCGCCTGGAGAGGCACTTGATTTGCACTTACCTTTTTTTGAGCCATAAGGCAGATTCCAGTCAGATTTTATGATCTTTCATTTATAATGCATGTCATAGCTACTCACTGCATGTCACTATGCCTAGTGTAAATGGCTTTAATCTCATTACTTGGCCAAGTAGCCTGGCATTTCAATCCACTCTGTCTGCATCACTGGTGTTATGTGCAGGTTGTTTCTGCAGGCCTGCTCTAAAACAACCGTAAGAGCTGATAAAAGTTTGAAGTTCTATATATTTTGGGTGTATTGATGCTGAGGTGCAGGAATGCTGAATGAGCTTATTACTGGAAACCTTGGACCACAATTTCTTACAGTTCTGCGTGTTAGGAATCTAGTGCCAATTCCTAAAATTTGAATTCAGCTATGTGAGAAGTGATGTTCACTCTAGGAATAGTCATCCAGATGCATCACTGGTTTAACCTTTGACACAAATTTGAGTATCAGTTTAGAGCTCTGAGGAAGTGAAGTGTTTCCTAGATCATAATAAGAAGGTAAGTGTAACTCAGATGGAAATGTCAATTGGTAAAAGAAGAGTGAATTGACACTTTAATTCTTTGACAGGTTCAGTCTTGCCAGTTAGTTAAAGTTTCCTCTTCTCATTCTTCCAGAAAACTCATTTGCTGATGTTGCACATAGGCAGGGATTTTTCTCTAGTGTTACAATTTAGGCTGTTCAAGACTCTCACAGTCTATCTCAGTAAAACTCTGGTCTGCAGGGAATTTTTTGATCTTGAAAGACTAGTTTCTTTGTGGTCCTGTTGGCATAAAATTAAACATTAACTACTCAGATGATTGAGCATTGTAATTAGCTTTGCATGGTTCTGACTTTGACAGCAACTGACTTTATTGTTCCAGATCCACTTGTGTTGCAGTGCTCTTTCCCTTTCCTCTGTTTTTATTGCTCATAGAGATGAAAAGCCCTTGATTATGATTTGTACGTTTTATATGGCCTTTACCACTATATGTCTTAACACTTCACTTTCCTCCCTCATAGCAGGAGGACAGACCCCCTCTGACGTCTCTGCTCTCTAAACCAACACTCCCTACAGTTGCATCCTCTACAGATATGCTTCACAGTAAGCTCTCCCAGCTGCGTGAGTCCCGGGAGCAGTACCAACATCTGGACCTGGACTCCAATCAGACTCATTCCTCTGGCTTTGGAACTACCCTGGCTTCATCCTCTTCTGCAGCGGCCAATATTGATGACTTGAAAAAAAGATTGGAGAGAATAAAAAGCAGTCGCAAATAGAGATGCAAAGAGACGGTATCGCTGTTGCTTGGGGCTGTCTTCAGCTTTAGTTTACTAAACTAGAAGTCTTCATAGTTAAATGGCCTCGTTTAGGCCTAATGTATACAAACTGGTTTATGTATAATACAGTGGATTTTGGGGGGTTGAGTCATTGTGGCACAAGTATTTGTACATAATCTGCTTCTCAATGAGCATCTCTTTGACTATAGAAGGCTGTCTGTGTATTAGTTTTAGTGTACAGACCTGTAAACAACCATCCTCTTGCTCAGACTAGTTTCTCATGACTTGGGCTTTTTATTTGTAAAGTTGTCTTTAAAATCTTTTCCTAGTTCTTAACTCTTAGACTTCTAGTGATTTCACTTTTAATTTTGTGAATTCTTCTCCATGTAATCCTTGAACTGTTGATTCTGTATGGACACATGGCATGAAGTAACTAATTTAAGTGTCTTTTGTAAATAAAGTTTGCATTAACTATACCAGTCTCTATAGGAACAGCAGCAACTGCTGGTTAGAGGTCACTCTATTTCTGAATGTTAGTGACTGGGCATCTAGAAACTGAACTAAGCTGACATGAACCTTGGGGTTTGAATACACTGTAAGGAAGATGAGTGGAAATACACTAGCTGTGGGTGCAGTCCTGAGACTTGGCACTCTATGAGCAGTAGTACATTTTTTATATAGTTGCTCTTTTTGTTTTTGGAATGTTTCTGTAACTTGAAACTTATTCATTTGCTGAAATGTTTATTTTGAATTATCTAGTCTTTGTGATGCCTTTACCCAGATTATGTGGTCCCATCTGAGGGAGTTTTCTTTGAGGGAGCCTGCTGCTGTTGATATGGAATAGAGTAGCAGTGGTGTATGGTCAGTGGACTCATTTATCCTGAACTCATCTGATTAAGCAGTGTTCCTCATTCAGGTAAACCTTGCTCACTACATTCTTTTTGCTCTTAAACATCAGATCTTACCATTTTGTAACTAAGACATCTAAAGAGAACTAGTCTGCAAAAGTTGAAGCCACTTTTTCTTTTTTTTTTAATGAGTGAAGAGCCTTTTTCAGAAGCTCCAAATAATGAAGATTTAAGACACACTGCATATTCTTTCTGGCCCTTTCATTTCTAGGGAGGTCGTGTATTTTCACCTTACTGCTGCACTTCCATGTGAAAACTGGTTGTGAAGCATAAATTGCACATCTGTTCCTTAGCTAGAACAGTGTTATTGAAGGGTTGGACAGGCAGGCTTAAAATAACACACATCTATGCTAGATTTTTAATCTGTTCCATGTAGCTGCTGCTTTTGTTGCTTGCTATTTGGACCAGCAGTCTCTACATAAGAGCCATTGCTGAAACTCTCTTGCCTGATTACAGTAAAAAACGTGACTTTAAATTAGTGCTTGTACAACAGATCTATGCCAGAGCTGCTGCAAATGTCTGAAATCTTCCTTTCACAGGACCCCTAGGCTTGGGTTGCAGTTGACATAATGCTGCTTGGTGCTTATGGTGAGTTTGCACACTGATAGCAGGTGACCACAAGCATTCTCCATCCTGTGTTAACTGATATGATGCCATTCATTGCTCCACTGCCTCGATTTAGTAGTCAGTCTCCTCTCATAACCTGAAATGGGTGTGCACTTTTGGAACAGAGCTCTGTTACAAGTGGAGGTTTGGCCCTTATTGGTAAGTGCTGTGGTTTTGTGCACTTAAACTGGGGCAGTTTGTGAATAGTTTGTGTTGGCTACAGTTACACTAGAGTTACTGCCACTACCTCTCAATTACTAGCTGCTCTCTGAAACTTAGTGACATTTAAATTAATCCATATGTTCCTTTACCATATTCAGCAGACATTCTGAAGAACTATTTGTTAATTAGCTCAGGATGTTAAAACAGCAATGCCTGCAAACCTGCATAAACTATTTTAAATATGAAGCTGATTCAAAAGTGAAATACAGGAATAATTGAGTAGCAGAAGATATAGTTGTTTTTACGAATGAGTTTTTGCCCTGTGTCTTTGTAGTGTTTGGTTGGACTCAATATCCTGGGAGTTCTGAACTAAAACTTGTGCACATAAATTAATAAAGCCTAATCTTTAGCCCAGACAATATTTAAATAACATTAAACTGAATTTTCAAAATTATTCTTCTGTATTGTTTGTAACAAGTCAATATGAACAGTGACTTTCTCCAGAAGCTGTATGGTCCTGGTTCCCCTCTTTTGTCACAGATTATTTGATAGTAGTAAAGGGGGTGAGGCTTAACATTTAAACATTAGAAGGGCTAAACATTTTCAGTGTTCAGTGTATGTGGTTATCAATTACTTTAAACAGTCATGAAACTTGAGATGTTGAGGTTTTTTCCTTCACATTTTTTTGAAAGGTTGGTTTTTGTGCTTTATTTGGGCAAAAATCTCATTATTTTCTTAGTAGAAAATTGGGCTGAACAAATTGGGTGGTCAAGAATTTGTTTCCTGCTGTACTTCTGGGTCCTCAGTGGTCCACAAATTCCTGCTAAAGAGGAGTTCATGAAAGACTGAAGCTTGTTCTTGGAGAGATCCCTAAACAGCCTTTATAACACAAGCAAACAGGTGTAGTGCACGATGTTTTCATTGCAGGCTTTGACAATGACCACAATAATTGCTTCCTTCAGAATCTTGCTGTGCAGGTGGAAAATACACAATGAACACCCAGCACCACCTACTGTGTAGGATGTTACTGGAAGTGCTGCTTAATGTATTCAAGCCACTGTTCCTTTCTAGGATGAATTGCACACAGTGGTGCTGGTATTTATTGCTGACCGTTGTTGCTGTGAACATGGTTTGTCTGATCAAAACAGCTTCTAATTGCTTTACTTTTGACATTGGTGTTTTGTGGAATGCTACAGGTGCTGTAGGGTGGTTATCTCTGGTACATACATGGGTCAAAAACTAGAACAGAATATTAGTTGTCTTGAAGGGAGGAAAGGGATAGTGCATGAGGGTATAGTCATGCTTGCTGTGACTGAAAAGGCCATTATGTGAGGTCCAAAACCTGTTGATTATAGCTGGTGGAAGGGAGGGGAATTTGTAAGTACAACAGGCAATTAGCAGTATAGCTAGTGCTGTGGTACTCCTGGCTACTGTCATGACTTAGATACAACTGCTACTAAACTCAGGATGAATAAAAGGAAGAAGATGGGTTTCAGAGCTTTTATTTTCAAGAGCTTTTATTTTCCTTTTGTCAAGTTGTAAGGATATAACTTGTTTTACTTCAGGATCCTCTCTGCTTATGTTTTAAAGTGGAACGTTGTAGCAAAACTGAGACCAGGCAAGGTAAATGCTTCATCTATCTCCCGTGATTTTCGATGACTTTTCGTATCCACTTTTTTAGGCGGAATACATGGGTGTAAAATCCGTATTTGCCATCTCTGTCACAGCCTTCTCCCCATGAAACTATTCCCACTTGATACCAACGGTTGTCATCTGGGTTCTGAAATAAAGAAAAAATGGGATTGGCACAAAGAGCAAAAGACCTTGATGGAATCACAGAATCATTAAGGTTGGGAAAAACTTCCAAGATAAGTCCAACCTTTGACCAAACACCACCATGTTAACTATATGACAGCACTAAATGCACTCTTTCAGTGAAGAAATGCTTCCTGATGTCCAACTTTAACCTCCCTTGGCTCAGCTTGAGGCCATTTTCTCTTGTCCTTTGCTTGACAGGAAGAAGAGGCCGAGTGCCACCTAGCTACAGCCTCCTTTCAGGAGTTCTCCCCTGAGCTTCCTTTTCTCCTGACTAAACAAGCCCAGCTCCCTCAGCCACACCTCATAAGACTTGTGCTCTGTATTGTTTAGCAGTTTGGTTGCCCTCTCTGATCTAAACCTTGGATGTGCCTCAGTCTGTTTAATGATGGATGCTACTTTGTGATTCAGACTGGCATCTCCAACAGAGTTTGTTGGAGTAATTTTGTCTCTACTCTTAAATCTCTAATTAAGAACTGGCCATCACTCATGCGTCCTGCAGGTGATCTCCCAATATGCTGAGAGCTCAGTATAGAAATGGGGCTGGATGACTGCAGGATTCATCTCCATTGCTCACCTTGGGCATGAGCTGGGTTTGCTTCAGCCACTCAGCAGTGGCTCAACTCTGCTGCTTTTTTTTAGAGTATGAATTTCGGCACAGAACAAACCTATCTTGGTGTGTCTTACAAGCTTGAACTTGTTGAACATACCTTCATTACAAAAGGTCCCCCGCTGTCCCCTTCACAGGCATCTCCTCTCTTTAGCGCGTCAGGACTGTAACCTGCAGGCAAGAAGAATGAACATTTGACTGTAGGGGGAGTGGCTGTGTTGGCCATGTTTTCTTTAAGGCTTTGGGATAAATGGCTTAAATATTTTGGGACCCATGAGATTGCTGATTCTGTCAACTTGGACTTCTGTTTCTCATATATGTAAAAATTCTAACTTTGCATCTGTCTTTGCAGCATTCTTGAATCTACCCTCTGTTTTTTCATCAGATTTGCTGTTAGTGTCAGTTGCACTGACACCGTACAACAGCTATAGCTTGAGCTACTGTGCTTTTCTTGTCTTAGAAACTTATTTGTAATAATCCATCTTCCCTCTTCTTCTATTTACTATAGAAATTCACTGTTATCCCCACTTTCACTTTCCTGTCACTGTAAGTTCTGCTTTTCATCTCCCCAGCTGTCTTCCTGAAGTATCACTATGAAGAGGAAGAGGATTTCATTCATTCCTGATGAACTGGATAGTATCTCTGCATGTTCCTATCACCCGTGTCTTCATTTTTTTCTGTATGTCTGCATCTCAGCTATTTCATAGAATGTTGTCTAGAAAGAGAATCCATAAGAGCTCTTTGTTTTCAGCACACTCGTGTAATTGGCTTCTATCCTAACTCAAGCAGGCGCATGTGTTTAGATACAAGCAGCACAAATTTAGTAAAAAATCTCAAGGCTTGCTTGTAGGAACTGATAAAGTCTGCACAAATGAAGAATATAGCAGAAACTATTAAACTGGTACATAAATCCATAGTCTCTTGGTAACTTGAATTCTGTGTCTACTTCCCTTCTCAATCAAAAAGGGTATGATGTTAGAAGAGTTTTAGGAAGGTAGGAGCCTTCAAAATTTGTGGCTATAAGTATGAATGGGCTCCAAAAGATTGAGATAGCTAGTAGGTAGGATAATAGGTGTGCAGCCTTTAATTTAGGAAGTCACTGAACTGCTCTCTGTACTGATGAAAAGATAATTTTATTTGGGCTTAGTTCTCCCACAGCTAGTGCTGCTACATAGTACCATTAGACTAATTCCTGACACAGGTTGGTGTTGCAAACTTTATTCCTAGCTTTAAGTTCTCCAGCTTTCCTGTCTGAGAGCTGAGAAATTTCTTATCATGGGAACATTATTCTTTGTGGAGGGCATTTGCAAATTTATCAGAAAGTAACTTTGCTGCATGAGTCACAGCAGGAGCTCAGAGCCCGTGACTTCCTTGGCAGGTTGTGCCTGTGACTCCAGTGTTACTTACCTGCACAGAACATGTTGTCAGTGACTTTGACTCTGGTGGATGCCTTGCAGGTACTTTGATCTACTATGGGCACATTGACTTGTTGCAGAACTGTGGGCAAGTTGGAGGGGCTGGTGGCCCATGTTTCTTTCAGGTTTCCCCAGCCAGTTACCCTCCCTTTGTAACCTGCCAGCATCAGCCTGTGGAAGGAAGCACAAGTATAATTAAATGTATTGTAACAGCTTTCTTCTGCCTGGCACTCTCACTACAAATAGCCTTGAGAAGTCATGTTTTTCTCTATCTCTCTTCTCCTTACCTCTGCACGACCTCTTTGGTAGGCAGGCAGACAGGATGGATGTAGTCACTGAAGCTCATGGGTCTCTTTAAGTGCATGAGTGCAATGTCTCGGTCCATGTTCTCTTTCCAGTTGTACTTGGGATGGATGATGATTTTATCCAACAGAGCAATCTTCTCTTTATCCTTTTCATATCTGAAATAGTTATGAAGGAAATAACTCGCTGTACAGTAGCAGCTGAGAGTCTTCTGGAGTTTATGATACTCTCAGCTTTGTACCCTCTGAGACAATGCTGTCTTTACATAGGAGCACCCTTTTAGATTTCCCAGGCTTCCTTGCTCCCTTTCACTTCAACCTTCAGGATCAGCAAGAGCAACAAATGACAGCCCCATTAGATCCTGTTATTGAGAGGCATGTAACATTAGTTATAATACTTCTGTGGATACTGAATGACAGCCCAACTCCAAAGTATCTCTTTACTTCAAGAGGAGGTCTAGTTCCTTCTCACTTCATTCAGACTCTTACTTTGCTCTTATGTGCTTGCCAATCCGCACCAATATGTCATTTGTAGTTAAGTTCTTGTCCCAGGGTGGATAAAAAAGACAATGAGCAGCAGTTAGGATCCAGCTGTCACTGATGAGGCTGGCACCACACAGCAGCTCCTGAGGAGACTTTTTGTAGAGCATCACCTGCCTGAGAGATGAGGAGGAAGGAACCCCTTAGCAGGACTAAATGGGTCCTGGTGTCTTGCAGAAAGAGCAGATCTGGCAGTGAGCAGGAAACAGCATTGCTCTATACAGACAAAACTGAGTGAGTAGCTCTGTAGCAGAAGTTTTCCCTGGACATGTATATCCTATGCAGTAGGCCATTTACCCTATTAAAAGAAATTCTTCTTTTACCAGAAGAATTTTCTCATCCTTTTCATTCCAGCAAAGCTGGAAAGAGGAAGACATGAAGATGAAACACTCCAACACATTTGCTTTCTCCAGTGGTTGCGTACTTGATTCAAGAGGTGAGTTTCTTTCCAGGTTTTTAGTACTGCTCTGTCAACCACTTGGAGAAGCTTTGACTAGAATCTGTAATTTATGCACGCTGTCTAAGATAGGAAAGCCCTTTTATTTCTATCTGCTTGAGCTGAAGAGAAGGAAGATACAATTACCAAAGACTGTGCAAAGACAATACTTACCAGGGGGCACTGCCAACTTCTGCGTCATCCCCACCGACAATTCTTCCTGCATAGGAATCCAACAGCTCCCTCTCACTTTTGTCTGTTATCTTTTTCTTCTCAAATAAAGGACGAGTGCCACAATCTGAAAGCACAAGCAATCTGGCTTTGCTACTTACCTGATTTATGGTGGAGAACTCTTGTTTGCAGTCAGCATGCGAAGCTGGAAGATCTTAGAAAGGAAGTGCTTACTAGCTCCATGATTGGAACTGGATATTGACTTTTGAGAGTTCTTCAAGGAGTTTAAATATCTTCCCCTGCTTTTAACAGCTTTTGGCTAGCTTATGTTTCTGAGGAACAGTGAATGGGAAGAAGCTACAGCCCTTCTGCAAACATGCTGTACCTAGAGTTTTTGCTCACCTGCTTCACCTGAACCAAAAGTTTTTTCATCAAAGAAGGGTTTGAACTCTTTAGGAATAGTAGAACGTCCTGATATTCCCTCAAACTCTTGGTTCTCGTCTTCTAGCGAACTGTCTGAGAGATGGAAAGACAAACAAGGCAAAAGGCTTAAGTGTAGTTGCCATAATAATCAGCAATGTAAATGTTCCTTTCCCTACATCAGGGTCTGATGAAGTTTTAAAACAATAGTACTCTTTTTAATGTGCCTTGTCCACCAGTGTGAGTTTTCAGGGAGAACACCTGAGAGAGGTAACAGTGCTATGCACCTGAGGCAGGTTAGTATATGTGATATGTGGACAAACAAGACTCCAGTGTGCATGGTGTATGTACATCCTTGTCTATTCCTTCCAGGTCAAGCACTTCATGTTACTCCTGTTATTTGCCACTGCCTCAAATATGTGCCTACCCAAACCTATGCAGACTTCTCACCGCAGTAGTGCAGATCACAGTAGTCAAAGTAGGGTGATTCATCTATGACACACCAGGCACCCTCGTCATCTCTGTCTGGATTCCGACAGTAATTCTCCTGCAGCTCCACTTCTGGGTCAATTTGTTTTCCATGAAGCACCTCTTTGGCTTTCTCAGAGTTCCATGGCAGACACTTAGCTCCAGACACAGTGACTGAGAGAGTCCCTGTGTAAAGCATGCCTTTCTCTGGTTCACAAGACTCTGTTGGTGCAGGTTCTACGGCCCGTGGAGTAAATGGAACTGTTGTTCTGTCTTCACCTGGAAAGACAGAGAACTTGTGATTTAAGCCACAGCTGTGCATTCAGAAGTGCTATTAGCAAATAACACCAGAGCCCCTTTACTGAAGCAGAGTTCCATGGTGCCTCCTGTTATGTGTAGGAACCCCCACTGTGTTTCCATGCATGTGGTGGCCCTCTAAAATATTGCAGTGTCAGAGATGGTTCAGCAGTATGTGAAGTGAGGCTGGCACTATTCATCACACTTCTCTTTCTCACTAAGATATGAGGAACAATTTTGTGTTTCCTTCTGGGGCATCTTTGAGAACCAGCTCAAGGAATGGATAGGTGTTTCAGCCATCATCATTCTGTTGTATTAGCTCCATCAACACCTTATTCTAAAATGTATAACTGGGCCATATTTGGGGGAGCCTTTTACTGTGGTAATCTACTAAATTTGCAAATTTAACTTTTGCCAATGTTTCTAAATCTAATGGTAAGTGAAAAATTTCCCTGCAAGACTTTCCATGCTTTTTCTTGCAAGTGTCCTAATGACTGCAAGTTTTAAGCAGAATTTCCTGAAGGAGTGGGTACTCAATCTCTTTTGGCTTGGCCTCAAGGGGCTTTCTCCTTGTGCACAGCAGGAAGAGAGACCCCATTTGACTATTCACTGTGGTACACAACAGCCACTGGGCAAGTAGCACTCACCTCTATCAGTGGGGCTGCTTCTGTTTTTTGACTCATGTCAACATGATTATAAAAGAACTGTGCACAAACCCAAGGCTTTTCTAATCCTGCTATAGCCATGTACACACAAGTGTAACTGTAAAATATTGCTGGTCAGAAATTAACTGGTGAACAGAGTAGCACAGGTGCCTGATGGCCTCAAAGCAGAGCAGTACTTCTTCTGTTTGTTAGATTCTGCAGACCAGAGCAATGGTAATGGCTTTTGAAATTTCAAAATACCCCATGTCAAAGTGGTTGCTGACCTCTACGTTTTGCTTATGAGTTGTTGCTTCTAGTCTCTGTTTTAGGAAAAGAAACTTCTGCTGTGTGAGAAGTTCTCTCCTTTACCAATACGTCTGAGACAGAGGCCAAGCCCCAGGGGAGATGGCTGTGTACTAGGGAGAAATGGGAATGTTTAAGTGTAGGGGGATGATCCTCCACATTCAGTTCAATGATGAGAGAAGGGCATCTTCTCTTTACTTGAGATTGTGAGTATTAGACTGCACACCTCCACAGGAGAGAATGTTACGGCAGGCAGTCAAGCACAAACTGTAGTTATTTTGTCCTAAAGGTAGGAATTCAGACCAAAAAACATTATGACTCATGGCTGTAACAAATTAGAGATAACTGGGCCAGGATTTTGGGATGACTGACTAGAAAGTACTGTAGTACATTCCAGGGTACTGCTGACACTGGTTTTAATTTAGATCTAGATTAGTATAATCTAGAGAAAACAGCTTGTTATGTATGGGCAACTCAGTGACTTCTTCCTCAGCTCCTTTACCCTTTAAGATGCAGCTTCTCCACTCCTACTGCCCTCCGTTCATGTAAGCATTCCCCCTCCTTAACCCTTGAGTGCTTTAGCGTCAGTCTCAGTGCAGTGTTTTGCTGTGAGTGAAGTGCTGGGACATACCACACACGGGGATGGGACACGCCTCCCGTTCTACCGTTGGGTCTCGGGTATAGCACCATGGGCCTTCTGAGTTGTTGTCTGGGTTCCTGCAGTAGTTCTCAATGAGGGTGGGATAAATGGTGGCATTAAATCTATGAGAGACCAAGCTGGTTAGGCTAGGAAGGAAGGACACCCCAGAGGACCCTTAAAGGGATATGCAGAAGCGGACTTACTTAGGAATATGTGGATATTTGCTTGTCCACACTTGACATTCAGTCCCAGACTTGGTTTGGCTAATTGTTCCCCGATAGTTCTGGCCCAGCCCAAGAGCGCAGTTACCTGTCAAAATCCCAACACAGTGTAAGCAGTCAGTGGAACTGGATGTTTCATTTTTCAAGGTCATGTCCCTTTAACTTTTGCTGGGTGCATGAGCCTGCAATAGCAGAGGTATCTTCCTGTGAGAAAAGTACACAGCCTAAGCTTTCTCTGCTGCATCAGAAGGAGTTATCCCTGAGGGCTCTGTGCTTTGCTTTGGCTCAGAGCCTTTCTGAGAGGCTGCTCACACCTGACTGTCACAAGGATAAGGATATTTACCCCGTGCTATTTCAGTGCACAAACCAGATTGTTTGTTGAAATGATTACTGGGGAAATAAAGAGTAAGAAATAATTTCAAATTCATCCCCTGGTATTTTTCTTTAAAATTAGATGGCTTCTCCAACATCAGTTTAATTTTTTTTCTGTACAATCTCTGCAGAAAGCAAGTTCCTGGCACTCACTGTATCAAGGAGATTGAGGTCAGCATGAAGTTCATACCTTCTAGACAAGCATCCAGAACTGCCCTGGACTTTCCCAGGCCCTGACATACTAGCAAAATAAGAAGAAAGAGACAAATTATATGAAAGCAATCCAAATAAGCATCTTCATTTGAACCAGTTTATCATCTAGAGACAAAACACAAGCTTAGCACTGCAAAGTGAGCTCTTAAAAGAGGGAGCCATCTCTCCAGGATGAGACAGTGGATAAGGGATAACAGTACTTGCAAGACTCAAAACAACTTACCTTGGTATTTTGACCAAAATATGTTCTGTGAAAAAAAAAAAAAAAAAATTAGGGACACAGAACATCAAACCTTTCTTGGCTACGGCTATTCAAACCAGTAAGAGAACGTCCCATCACAGCAAAAGGAAAGACTAACCTAGCTCTGTTTATACCAATTACTGTGGAGTCAAAGCAAAAAAATACAAGACAAAACCACATCAGACTCGATCAGACTCAGGAATCAAGACAGTGCTGTTGTATCTAAAGAGACCAAAGATGTTTACAACCTTCATCAACCTGCAGAGCAAGTAGTGCAATGGGCTACAGTGCAGAAGTCCAAGCAGCTGGACCTGGAATTTCTAAGGCCACAGATCACATGTAGGTATTGCTCATCTCTGCCATGCAGCCTGAGGCCGATTGCTATTGAAGTACTCCAAAGAGGTAGTGTCTTGCTGGCTTAGGCTCCTAACTGTTTATCTGTTGGTTTTTTGGGGTGTGAAATTCTACAGGCACACCAGCCTTGGGGCTAGGATCAAATCCCAAAAGGATGCAGCACAAATTTCGCAGAGTGAGTCTGGAAACCAGAAAAAATGACAGGGTGTGCAAAAAAGTTTCAGCTCAAGGGAGTCTGAGGAACCCTACCTGGGAGTAGTCAGTGTTTTGACTACTATGCCACTGCATCTGTGAGTGTCTGGGATAGCAGTTCGCATGTGGGGTACCATGCTGAGCTAGAGGAAGATGCTATTCAGGACCAATGGCACCTTGTCACTTCATGCATAGAGAGGGAGAGAAAAGAACCTGAGCTTTCAGGTGTATTCCCTGCAGTGTCTCAAGGAGGGAAGCTCCCTAAGGAAGCCTGAGCTTGCCATGGGGCATGCACTCATCAGCCTCATCTTTGGTTCACAGAATTGAGTATTACAACCCTGGCCCCTGGCGGTGTGGGCAACCTGCAGGTGTGTCCCTACAGAGGCTGGCTGGGGGAATGTTTCCTGGTACGTACCGTCTGATCCGTGGATTCCAGGGCTTCGAAAGCCTCCTCATAACTGCATATCTCCTCCAAGCACTCTCGCTCCAGGTTTCCCTTAAGCATTTCTTCTACAAATCCCTTGTTGGCACGTCGGTGGCGCTTGAGCAGTGACAATGCCTGCCCCTTTTCCAGGAAAACTATCAGGTCAGAACACTGCCAGTCAAAGGGCTGCTCACAGCCAGAGGGCACCTTTGTCTCCCCTTGCAGTTTCCAAAAACCCCATGCAGCTGATGTGGTGATCCCACAGCCCAGCCTCCCCCAGGACACCATACAGAGAAGAGAAGCCCTGTCAAGTCTACACTTGATGATCAGAGCAAATTCTCTGGAATTCATCCCGTCACAGCTCACATCCCTGATAAGGAACAGAAGTGAGAGGAACACGGCTTCCTCAGCAAAGCTGCTTTGCTCATTTGCATTTAGATAGAGGCTTGTTTGCTTTGAGCCTGCTGCTGTCCCTGGCCCCAGCCACTGTATTTCTGTCTTGCAAGTCTCAGACCACTGTGATAAGCACAGATTGGTTCTATTTCATATTCAGAGCCTCTGATTTGAGACCTGGAGACAGGTCTTCCCCTACACAGTAGCGGGTCTGAGAGAACTTAACCTCATGTTAAGAAAAGACATTTAAAAGCTCTAATAAAAGGAGCAGTGAGCAGGAAGGCAGCATATTTTGTATGACCTAAAGTTTTGATAAGGGACAGCTGGGAAGGCAATGGAGAATTAAAGTCACCTAGGTCAGCGAAGAAACTCTATCTCCAAAAGCCCCATGGTTATGTTAGACTTGATCCTGGACTAAGCCACAGTCTCCTCCCTGCCATTTCCGAGGTGACTCATAAAATCCACTGACTTGCTGTCGCCAGCTGACAGATGCAGCTGCATCCTCCTATGTTCACTCCATTCTCAGCATCCTTTTGCTCCCAGCTTCAAGCTTTTAGCCTGTCCTCCTGACTTGAGGAAGAAAACTTGCCACCTGTGTTACCCCTGGAAAGAACTATTCCCATCTTCCTCCTGTCATCTACTGGTACTTCTGCCCTCGAGTCTTACCTCCAGCATGGCTCAAGGTGAGGTGCAGAAGGCTGGAGAGGAGCAGGCCCCTCAGTATGCTGGTTTTGGTCTGCGCCATGCTGTACAGCCCTGGCTTCAGGGGAATTGCAAAGGAAGCAGAATAAGCAGAGTCACAGCCCTGCTGGGTTAATATTGAACCAGAATGAAGAAACACGACTCCAGGTCATGGTGTGTCAGGGACAGTGGAACCCTTATCCCTCCTCTCTTGGCATCTCTCTCTCCTGTCAGAGCACCTTTGTTTCCTTACTTTAAGCTTCCTATTTCATATCTGGGATGATGGCATGAGTAGCAAAAGGACAAGTTTGTCCCTTGCTACAGGTATCTCTGCCAGCTCACAGCCATTAGAGGTATCTCTGCCAGCTCACAGCCATCCCAGCCAAAGAGCTTGCTCCTTTTCCCTGGTTTTGCTCCTGTGCAGCCCCTGGCACCATCACTGCCTCCCCATCATGCTGGTTCGGGTCCCTGCCACTGACTCTTTTCAAAGGCTATACTCTAGCAGCCTCAAACACAGGAAGACTTTGAGATCTCCTTAGCCATTCCCAGTCCTTCTCTTTTTAGCTGCAAGCCCCCCTGATTCTCCCTAGTGCTCAGTTGTCTTTCCTTCCTGCAGTTATCAGCAAGCTCAGCCTCAGCTATTTTGGCACCACAACACACAGCTTCAGTGCTCCCCCTTCTCCCTTGCCCATGACAATGAGCAGAAAGGGTGCCTTTGACAGCCCATTTGAAATTTAGATCTTCCTCCCAGTTAGGTTAGTTAGCAGTGCCATTGGCGGTGCATTCTTCCCAATGCCTTATAATTCCAGCTGACTGGAGGAGGATGAAGCAGCATGAAGGTTGGGCTCCCCCTTTTCTTCCCCCCATAGTGGAACGTACTAAAGTCCATCCAAAAGGAAACAGAAACTATGACAAGCAGGGAGCCAGCACACCCAAAACCAGCCAGGAAAACAAGGGCTTCCAGGAACAGGGAGAGAGGAATGGTCTGGATGTCATGACATCAGCTATTAAGTCAAGAAGTGGACTACCAGAGCTCAGAAGGCTCTAATGATTGCTACAGCAAGCAGACTATCTGCAAGACTGGAGAAAGAGGGCAATGTGGGGGGAGTCTCGGGAATTGCCAGCAGGGAACAAAAGTGCTTCCTGCCAGCAGAGAGCATATTTTGTGCTGTGCCTCTGTGCAGCTGATACATCTGTAATGTTTATCTCCATAGAAGGAGTGCAAATATTAGCATTAGGGTGGCTGAGGAATGACTCTGGACGCTGGTACAAAGAGCAGTTGCAGAGGCTTCCTTCCTCACATAAGAGTATCTGCTGTTTTCATCCACACACATCTCTATTCCTCGCCCTGGATTTTGGAGAGGCGCCTTTAGGAATGGCTGGGATTCTCTGGGTGGAAATGACCTGGGTGGAGAGTGTGTGAATGGGATTAGACACAACCCTAGAAATACCCATGTTTCTTAGCAGGGGAAATGGCATTTAGGCAGAGAGCACAGGCAGGGACAGGGAAAAGCACAAACAAGACCGGTGAGATCAGAGCTGCTGCTGTGTCCCACACAGCCACCTTCACTCCTAACTGGAGGAGGAGCAGCTTTCAATCTCCTCAATCACTTTAATTTCTGCATCTCTGTCTCTTCGTTATAATAACCAGGCAGCATTTACACTGTAGCTTAAATCAAGGTTGTTATACTTATGCAGATTTTTACCCTCTTCTTGTCTTTCCTTTAAAGGAAAGGTCCTACCACCTTCCATGGGATCATGCAGAATATAAAGCTAACTTTAAGCACCGCTACAATACAGCAGTTAAGTTTGGTTATCAGACAGGTATGAATATCTTCTAATACCTACCTATGTCATCTTCTTTAAACATTACTTTTGCTCTGGTTCCTACATTTATTTTGTTGCTTAAGTATTTGTTTGAAAAACCCTTATTAAAACTGATGATGATTCTGTCATTATGTCTGGCTGCTTCTTGTCCAGCTGCTGTTCTTCTTTCCCCCGTGATACAAGACAAACCCACCTATCAGGGCAGCTAGGCTGTTAACTGTAACTGCTGAAACCTTTTATTTCTAGATTACTCAAGGCTACATCTATCACTTAGGTGTCTTCTATTTTTTCACTTTTTGCTTTGTAATTGGAGATTTTCACTACATCCTGGGACACTTTGCAGCCCTTTCTGGTGTCTCACTGCAATGTTAGTAATTAAAGATCCTGACTCCTCACATTGTGGCCTTTCTCATTCCCTCATGTGCTTCTAGGGCTCCTCTCTGTTTCTCCCATTCCTGTGGTTAGCCTCTGCAGCAGCACAGCACTGATCAGCTATCAGCTCTCCAGGGGTGTGACTTCCACCCCTCCAACATTTAACTCTTCCATTCCTGCAAGCAAATTTTTATAATTTCATTTTCTTTCTGTCTTCACTCACCCATGAATGATGGATGCTATTTTCTTTCTTAGGACAAGAGAGTTAAGGTACCTTTACCATCCAGCGTTAGGGCTTGTAACACAGGAGTCTTGATCTCTCTCCTTCTATGTGTTGATTTGTCTTTTTAAGTAAAGAAAGCCTTTGGCAATTTTTTCCCCTGTGTAACTACTTTTTCAACTTCCAGGGAGCAGAATATGGCCCATTTTCTTTGACCTTAGTCTGTGATGGATAGTTTGCTGGTTCAGTAGTTGAGGCATTTATCAATCTGTTCCTAAAGTGAGTTATACAATTTAATCAAAGCAACACCTTGGATACAATCAGAAAGATGAAACCCTTATCCCTTCACACGGGGGTTTCCCCTGTCCCTGAGGGCCAGGGAGCTGCCAGGTGGGGGAGGATTTCAGGACCCAGAGAATTGTCTCCTTCCCTTGCAGCCTGTTCCCTTTCATTCAAACACCTTGGTCAGGTTTAAGCCAGTTTACAAGTTGGCTAGGGAGCGAACCCTAACACCACCCTGAGGTTTAAATGTAACATTTGTGTGCATGCCTGACACCTGGTGTCACCCTGCCAGCAGGAAGGACCCAAATCATCCAGAAGACCTTGGCACTTGTCACCCAGGAGTGTTGCAGCAGCACCCCAAAGCTTTGGTGAAGCCCTGCCAGCATAGTGGACTTCATTACCCAGCAGAGCTGTGTGCTTGCAGCTTGAACCTGTACTGGCAATGGGTGCACAAGATCTCCAGCCAGCTGGGTAATCCACACGTCTGCTGTCCTGACACATAGCCTTCACTGGCACTGAAAGGCAGCATGCTGTGTAACTGCCCCCATGCCAGGCAGGCACACATCCTTTTCCTTGCTATCCTTCTTCCCTTCTCACCAGCATCCTGACAACTGCACCAAATGTAATGCACTGGCATGAGGGCTTGTTATGTATCCCAATAAAAGAGGTACTCAGAGCCCACAATGTAGTCATTAAAATACCATTTGCTGGACATAATACAAGAAAGGGAGAAAGGGTATGGCATTAGATAATCCCATACCCCTTCAGATGATGCAAACACCAAGCTATACAGCACTGCACAGCTATCCAGTCAGGCCACGGCACCCTGTGTGGATCCCATCCATGCTGAGGTTCACCAGCACCATGGTCTTTAGGGCTTTTATAGGAATTTCCTAGGAGTAAACAACTTTATGCATAATTTTGCTGTCAAGAAAAAGGTTGTTCACATGAGAACATGCTGTTTCTAAGACAAAGACATGGTGGTGGCATCATCACCAGGGGCCCAAGGGAATCACCTATGGGCTCCTCAGAATTAGGCAGCTAAGCTTATCTTGCAGCCAGGTGATACGTGCAGCACAGCACAGACATGCTCCCACCTACTCAGACCAACTGTCAGGTGAACAATGTTTCTGTGAAGACCTCCTATTCATAATTGCTCCTTCCACTTCTCTCCTGTTACCTTGGAATAAAGAAGCAGATCAGCCATTTAGGCAATAGGGGTCTGGGTTCTCCCTGCCCCTTCCCCCCATTGCTCCCCCTTCTCTCCCAGTTCTGCTGTGACAGAGGGCACATGCTTCAAACACAGCAAATGAGCCCAGCTCCAGTGAGAACATTCCGCAGCTGTGTCAATATTTGAGTTTGGATAGGCACAAAGAGAGAACAGTAGGAAGCACTGCACCTTCAAATACAAGCCCACTCACATGCCTGTGCTCCAAGCATTCAGGGAAGACTTAGCTCGCATGCCCCTATAGAGAAAATAATTAAAAATTAGGACATCCAAAGGCTTATCAACTGAATTCACCTTCCATCTTTACATCACATCAAAGTGTCATGGATCTCACTCTAGCACCTTGTCTGCAAACACGTCATAAAAGTTAATGAAAATAAATTTAATGTAGAAACCACAAAGAGCAGCTTTTAGGAGTATCACATAACTGCATTCATAGCACCCCAAAAGGGAACTATGCTACTTATGATTCTCTGGTGCCTTGTGCAGTGGGCATAAGAAACCCAGAGAATTTAAAGCTATTAAGAAAGACTAAATTAAAAAAATTAGAGGAATTGCAGATATTTGAGAGGCATAAGACAGAGAGCAATAGCTAAAACTGAGGATTCAGCAAATCAAAGTGGTGTTCCTATAACACGTGGAAAGCGAGTGCAGAACAGGCAAGTCTGAAAGACCTGTTAGGTCTGGTATTGTCAGCTCTTCCTAGGAGGTCAAGTTCACATAGCTGTGCACTTCATTCCTGCAACAGGACTCATTTACAGCAGCATGCCTCAGTTGGCAAACAGGGACTGAAGAAGATGGAGCAGAAGGGATATTGGGATGTAGTTGTGGCAGTGCTGTCTTTTAATGTTTTGGTGCAGGGATAGGAGAGAAGGGAAGAGAGGAAGCAAGAATATGTGAAGAGAAAAAAGGGAAAAAATTATTGAACCCAGTATGAATGTGGAGAGGAAATGGAAAATCTATCGGGGTTGAACTAGTCAACCTTTATATGGAGAGGTGAGGAGCCTTTCAGCTGGGGACACTGAAAATTGCATAGTGAGACACAAAACTACCCTTTTCATGTTCTCAGACAGACTGTCCAGTCACCATAAGCGAAGGAGACTGACAGCAAGCAAACCAGGTGACAGCAGAGAAGACACT